TTTTTTTTTTTTTTAGGTCAAGGGCACTTTGTCAATGAACGATGTGTGCAGAAATATCGCGGGGGAGTTGAATGGTTTGGCTAGTCGCAATTTCGATCGAAAGAGGCCTATCCTTAAGATGGGTTATTAATGTCCAGGCAATTGTGGGGAGATCTTACGCTATTTGAAAGCTTTATATCTGGTCGGGAAAAGGCAGACTCTTATGAACGTGATTGTTGACGGTAGTGAAAGGATGAGAAATGGGGAGGGAGGAAAAAGAAGGGTACTATGAACCCCATGAGAGATCTTCGGAGGGGTTGGAACCAGGGGAACCCTTCTTAAAAAAGTTTTATTAAGTCCTGGCAAATTGGAGCAGTGACTCCATTCGTGATGATAACTTTCTTGAACAATCCTCGAATTAGCAGGCGGGAACACCGTTTTTAAATTACGCCCTCGGTAGAAAAGATAAGATAGTTTATTATTGACATACTCAGTGGCTCGTTGAGACCCACTAACGATCTCTGTAACGACATACATTCGATTTGACATGAATCCACGCTGTCATGACCCATGTACTGTTGTAAGAGAACCAATATCACCTTTGTTGAAGGGAACGCGATGCAGGTTGGCTTGAAACCCCTCCCACCCTGATTCCTTTCATCCGGTGGCACTTCATGAACATCCTCCAGCATTTCGATAGATGGCTGGAATCTCGTGGCAACATGCCTCTGCTCTCAAGTGGATGAGCATGACATCTCGCAGGGTCTCGGATCACCAACGAGCTAGACACATGACCGTGGCGAATCTGCACATCGAGGAGCACGGCACAGGGACTCGCAAGATTCGGTAGTAACAATGGTCAAGAGTGATTATTCATCAGCTATCTTCCTTTAGAACATGGCCCAGAGGCTGATGATTACAAGTTGTGAATTGCCGTTTCCATTGTCTTTCAAACCGGCCAAACACCCGTCTTAAACCCGGTTGTCCCGTGGTAACGCATCCTGGGATATCGTTCTAGCAGGTGATGTTGGCGATAGGGTGCAGCTCTGTATCGTTGCTGATCCGAATTTCCCAATAGGCCTTCCCCATCGTTTTTTCGCGGCAGCCATAAGGAAGGCCACGCCAGTCCCAAGTTTTAGCGTAAGACTCGACCCTCTTCTCCATAACCTTTCTCTCTGGCAGATCCGTGCAGTCTAAGTGATCGCCCCTTGCTTCATAGGAATAGCCGTAGAATTCGTTGCCACCCAAAGCGGTACTATAAGTCAGGTCGCAAACGTTTTTGTCCCAGTCTTCCGTTGCCTTCGCCTTCGTCTCCACCAGTGCCTCGTGCGCCAGATCATGGGACTGTTCACTGAACCAAGCGCAAATCCCAGTAAACATGGTACCAATGGACGCTATGATCACAGGGATGATGGGGGCTACCATCTAGGTTGATGAAATGCGTTAATGATTGTGCTATCTTTGCCTGTATGCCTCGGAGCTTACAGTTCAGAATAACTCAAAAAGAGTTGCGCTTGTACCTGATGGCGACTTGAATCAGCAGTTCTTGGTCGTGAGTCTAGCTAACCACAGTTCGATCAGCAGAGTCCTGTACTTTACGTTAGCACGGTAGTAGTTTCAGACAAGGGAAGGGGTCTATACGCCTTGAAAGTCTTTGTATTCGTTCCGGATAAGGCGGTGTTCTGTAGCTTGCATTTGCAAGACAGAGAGTGGGTTCACACGTCGAATTTACAACGTGAATCTGGTCTTGGTGGTGGCGGAAGGAAGAAGATCGGATGAGAAGAGAGGGAAAATGAGGGTGTTATAGGATGAGCGGAATCGCCGATAAGTGTCAAGATAAGGGGAGATATACTTTCTCAAGGCGTTTCTCAACAAAAGTCCTGGCACCTGTTACCAGTGAATGCAGGCAAGAAAAGCCATTATGTGGATTATCGTGAGCGATTGTCCAAGAGACGGAAACCTTATTCTATTGGTGCGGGGTAGGAAATACAACCTCATTATACACAATGAATTCCGCGACAGCACGTAAGGACCTACCGACAATCTCTATAACGCCACGCGTTCATTGAAGATGATCAAATTCACCTTATCCGGCTTTCACAGCATCATGACCCTGATGCCGGCATAAGCGGACCAATATCATCTTGTTTCAAGGGCACGGGATGCAATTTGACTTGGAACCCCTCTCAGTATGGCTTCCTCATGATGCCATTCCAAGGATATCCCCGAGGACTGCGATGGATTTCTAAAATGACAGGGAAACATGTGTCTGTTTTGAAGTGGATCAGCATATTTCTCGAACAAGCTGCGATGGCCAATAAGATGGCATTTATAACAAGGTCGCGCCTGTCACAGCAATGAATTCTTCTAGAGCACGGTCGATGACCCGCAAAATTCGTGGGAGGCTGTCTGAGATATGATCCTTCTCAAGGGCAAGAAATCCTTCGACCCACAACGATCCAGCAAAGTAAGCCGAAGGGTGTCCCGAGTACAGTATACCACCAAGTAATCATTTCGGTTTTAGCTTCGAGGTTAACAACCTCGGGTCCGTAAAGGATTCTGTGCCCGAGAATCTGGGGTGTTCTAGATTATCCGACCAATCACTATGGCCATGGACTTCGGCCGCCAATGATCTCACCCATCTGACAGTCAGATGTCAGAATTGCATTTCCTAATAGCATAGCTCACTCCTTCTTACGATCCTTCTCATCCCTTCTCGTCCACGGAACCATCTTCCGACATCACAAGAAGTTAGCGTTCCCACAAGGAATTAGTAAAGCACACCCTAACGTATCAAAGTCTCCTCTACGTGACATACATATCCTCCGAAGGATCGCCCTAGCGCAACACCATTCCGAAGACCGTAATTACTTATAGCCCATGTCAACTCACGGAATGCTGTTGCTGACCTTAACATCTTCTCTTCATAAATCTCAAAATGATGAAGAGAATTGCAGTTTTCATTTGCCTCCTCGGCAGTACTGCCGCTGCTATTGACCGCAGCTGCGTTGACATAAAGTTCGACAGCAGTACCAATACGCTTTCAGGTCGATGCCTGCCATACGATAATTCAGGTTACCTTCCTACAGCCTTGGACCTCGACAGATGTTTTGGATATGATGGCAAGGAGCTTACGGTAAGCAATTCCTTGTTTTCATAAGAAGATTGGGGGGACTGACGAGCGTACAGCCGGACGGAAAGAACTTTAGCGACAGCTGTAACAACTGTCGCATGTTCACAGCACCCGATCCGTGGTGGGGCGGGAAGATCTATTGGCTGGGTTGTACTTGTGATGGCAAGGCTGAGGAAGCAACTGCCCCTATTGGTAAGTTCTATACTTCGTTTGTCAATAAGCTATCTTGAGAACCAGTGACTGATGCTACTTTAGAAGCGGCGGTTGCGCATGAGTATGTTCACAACGAGAACGGTGTTCTTGTATGCTAGATATAGGCGATGTATATGAGCGGCACCAGCTGTTGAAGTTGTCTCTACTTTGCTGTCACTATCGCAAATTGAAATGGCATGATGGAAAGCGGTATTTCATTGTCTTCATATGTAGTCATTATGGATAGGTCTAGTTGGCAATGGCGGGTTGAACAAGAGTGTTTCCTAAACCAATAATCAGTATCATCGAGGACATGACATAGCAGCTGTGACTTACCTCCATCAGGATAGACAATCTGTCCATTGTAGAACAAGCCACCCTTTCCAACCAAGAACAAGATCGTAGCAGCCATATCGCTATCATTACCAGGTCGTCCAGCAGGGTTCGACATCTTCTTCTTGATCTCACTCTTATTACCCTCGTCCGACTTGCCAGTGGTCATCTCACTGGGAAACAATCCCGGAGCAATAACGTTAACGCGGACCTTAACATCTTTGCACAGAGTGGCGAGTATGCGGCTGAGATGTGTCACGGCAGCCTTCGATGTAGCGTAGGCGGGTTGACCCATGCTGGAGCCCTTCATCGCGCCGGAGATAGATGAGACATTCACGATTTGGGAAGTATAGCCGGGGACGGCGTCGCGGCCTTTTGCGAGAAGTGGGAGGAAGGCCACGGACATGTAGTATGGCCCTGTGACGTTTGTTTGAAGTGTTTCGGCCCATTGTTCGGGTTTCGTTTTTAAGAAGTGATCAGAGATAGCTTGGGCGTCTGTCATGTCAGGCTCGCCGACCGAAGCTATTTCACAAACAATGTCAGCATAAATCTTGACTATTGACATGGTTCGACTTACAGAACTTAGTCTCATCGTCTCTTGCGATACCAGCGTTGTTGACAAGTAAATGAATACCCTTCGGCTCTTTCTCGCCAACTTCCTTCGCCAGACGGATAGCTTCGTCCTTGGAGCTCACATCACCAGGTAGGACGTGGATACTTCCAGGTCCATCACCATACACCTTCTGGGTCTGCTCAAGGACTTCTGTTCGGCGACCGGTAATGTAAACCTTGGCTCCGTTGGCTACCAAAGCTTGAGTAATCATCAAGCCAATACCCGTGGCACCGCCTGTAACGACAGCAGTGATATGCGAAACATCAAACAAGGCACCAGCCTTGAGGTCGTCATTATTCGCCTTGTCTATAACCAGTTAGCTAGTGATCCATGCAAGACTTTTTTCTACTTACGAATAGCAGCCATTTTGATAGTAGCAATTTGTTGAAACTTATTTAATCTTGGTGGTAAACAGTGAGGTCGTGCAAGGTGGGGAATTGCGCGAGAGCAGAATGGCAGACGGGCAGACTTAAGTAAAAACATGGAAGACATAACGTTGTCGGATTTGTAACAGTGAATTTCTCAATGACGGCAGGACCTGCTCTTTATGATGGGGCTTGCTTCGTCTAACACGTCATTGACTTTTTTGTCTTAGACTGAAATAATATGGGCACCGTGATAGAATTTTGACAGTGACCTCAATGTGATCCAATCGGCACGCATTCATTCCGAATCTCGCTCGGTATATTTTTTGTTATTATCCTCTCTCCTAACCTTCTCTGATTCAAGACCTTACACAACAAGTTACTGTGGTTGTCTTCAGTTGGTCTAATTGACGCGCTGTGGAGCTAGGGGCTGTTGGACGGACCATACCATGTGGAGACAAGGTGCTGCACGATGGCCCTTAAAATAGAGGTGTGGGATTCTAGAAACTGTCGTGGTTGTGTTTTTTTATGATTTGGTACTGGAGTTGACAAATAAAGCAATACAACAGCAATCACAGATTGTGAACCTAAATAATTACCAAAGCGATACGTTTCAACCTGATAGCAATCCTGCGCTTCTGCTGTATCAATGTCTGGTAGCTGACTAACCGTAAGATCAGGCATCATTGGGTATTACGCATATTTAGCGCACGTGGTATATATTCAGGTTCTTTACAGCCCGGGGATACTAGACCGATCTCTCTTCCATTGTCATATCCTCTTTTCATTTCAATACATCGTCCCCACTACATTTGACCGACAATGGATGAGCCTAAACTACAACTTCAGCATCTATCAATTGGTAGCGAAGAGATTTCTCCATTCAAGGGGACTTTGTGTTATAAGTGCCTTGCGATTTCTTGGAAGCTAGATGATTTCGGGCATCGTCAGAGATCAAGAGGCTTTTATGACTGGGCTTTGGATCACTATGAATCATTTGGCGAGCTGGAAGCATCTTGTGAGGCTGGGTGTCCGGTGTGTCAAACATTCTTTTTGCTCCTGACCTACGATGGTCTAGTATCCGGTAGGGACGATCCCTTGCGTTGGTTTCTTGATTATATAGATGATTCCTGGTGTTTGTATTTTGTAAACCACGAATTTGATCTTCGACGTCGGTGGCCCATGTCTGAGGAGGCCAGGAAATATAATCCCACACTGACAGTTCCAACAATAAAAGGTATTATACCTAACTAATGGTCCGTTCAAAACTGTTGTTGACAGATTTCCACAGCCTTCACACCATCAGGTCTGACAAATGATTTGCGTGCTCTCCTCGACGAGAGTATCAAACCCTGGCTTGAAGCCTGTGTATGCCCCGGAGCACATACGGAGTGCCCAAACGTGCCGCGAAATGAAGAGGTGGACTATCGCATGCCAACGAGATTAATTGATGTGGGGTCCGAGATACACCCCACACCAAAACTCATCAATTCAGCGGACTTATCACAAGATGAAAGAAGGTCAGCATACCTGATCCTAAGCTATCAATGGGGGAAGGGAAACGATTCTGCACGAACAACCACGACAAACCTAGAAGAAAGAGAAGATCAGATTAAGATTCAGAACATGCCAAAGACAATTCGAGACGCGATGGACATTACTCGACTGATGGGCGTACGGTATCTCTGGGTTGATGCTGTATGCATTATCCAAGCTGATAGAAATCTCGGCTCACGGCAAGAGGACGTTGTGAAAGCCGACTGGGAAAAAGAGTCGATGAACATGGCAGCTTACTATTCAAACGCCCTCTGCTGCATCGCAGCAGCAAGTGCAAAGGATAGCTCAGAAGGGTTCCTCACCGAAAGGCAAGTAGCGAGATACAGTTACAAAAAGTGGCATAGCCCAGGAGGCGTCTTTTTCCTGTCGCCGCATGCCGTTAGGAGGCGTTTCCGAAGCTCGCTACTTAGCAGGGGTTGGTGTCTCCAAGAATGGCTTTTGTCTCCTCGTGTCCTTCACTGGACGTCCAATGGACTGATTTGGCAATGCTCACAAGGATTCTTCTGGGAAGGTCAGGGTGGATTCCAGGGAGAAACTCCGGAATCCTTTCGCGAGCGGCCCTATTATCCCAAGACTCGACATACAAAGGACTGTATACTCGACCTTGGCTTTGAAGACAAGCATACGGAAGGTATATGTCAGATACTGCAGTGCAACCAAAGTGACATGGTGGGTAAGACCTGGACATCTTTAGTCGCTCAGTTTGTTCAGATGGACCTATCATTTTCTACTGATAGGCTTGCAGCCATTCGGGGGATAGCAACGAAACTGTCCGAACGCCATGGGCTTGAATATTTCGCAGGGTTGTTCCGGTCTCATTGCGTTGAGCACCTATTTTGGAGACCAGAAGTCCCACAGACACCAATAGAGGGCATCAACACATTTCCTACCTGGTCTTGGGCGTCATCACAGGGTGAAATCTCTTTCCGGGAGGGGATGGGGCCCTGCACTTCTCTATTAAGCGACCTCCAGTCGTTCCCCACAGCTGATGATCAAGGTAGTCCCTTAAACTCCACAAATAAAGAACTTCGATTCACTGCACCGCTGGTTAAGCTAAGCGATCTTGAGCTTGAAGATGCAAATTCTGGAAGTGAAGGAAAATCAACAGAGACCGGAGATTCCTCCAATACTTGGCCAGAGCGCAATCGATACAAGGTCGGGGCTGGAAGTCCGGTTTGGCGACGACTGACATGCGTTATACACATTGATACTTTGGCGACTCCCCTGCCTTTGGCTGGCCGTGCCTATTTGTTGGTATTGCGACACGACCACAAGGCAAAGACTCTATACGATGGACTTGCGGTGCAGAAGGATGACCGAGGTTTCTACCAGCGGATTGGCATATTCCTCGTTGGTGGACCACCAGGGGGAGATAGGGAAAGTCCTGAGGACCTTCGAAAATGGAAAACCAAGGTAGTAATGATTTGACTTGAATGTGTATTTTTTTTTCAATGGCTACTTCCACCGTTGCCTCTGATCGCACTTTTCGGGTCTATGCTCTCACCCTTGAAAAAACTGTCGCGTGACTTCGTTATTTATGTAGTGTCAACTCATTATGTTTTACATTCCCGAAACTGAAATAGTTAATACGGTTCTTCCTGGTCTGAATTCTAGAATGAATCATCATCATGCTTAACCAAACTCAATACTGAAGACAGAAATTCATAGGGTAGTTTTCGCTCTAGGTTATCTCGCTGAATTTGTCCAGCGGGAAATTCATCAAGAGCCGACGGCATCTCGCATTAGTTCCGCACTAACAGGGATGTTGGATACGAATTGCCGGACAAAACAGGGTTACATCATAGCGAACTCCGTAAAACATGGTCAATGCATTGTCAAGACAAGACTTTTTCATGCAGATCATTCACAACTGTTATCCACTTGGTTAAACCCCGCGGATGCGCGGACGGAATTCGCGTCGTTAGATATGCCCGAGCGATCAATAAAACGGAAAGTCCGCGGGATGTTGTACGCAATGCGACACGATGCCCCCATCTGTGGGTTTTCGAGTCAGGAATTTGATATCTGGGGCCTACGATAGGATGGACCTGACGCGTGGAGTCGTAGGCGGCGCTGGTCAGTGGCTTCATTGTTGCATTGTGATGGGGATCAACGTCCTGATGTAGCCGTGCATTATCAACATGCAGTTTCCTTTTATGGAGGAATTAATGCTTTAAGAAGCTGAAGTCCCACCATCAAACGATCAGATCATTCACAGCAACCTCTCACACTCGACACTTTACGGTATCATCTTTTGACGCCAACATGGCTGTCCTTCACTCTGATCTAGTGTCTACTTTGACACTCAGCGGTGGTTTAGCAATTCTTGCTTCAGCACTGGCTCTTTATACAACAATCCGCGCCATCTACAATGTCTTCTTCCACCCCCTCTCCAAAGTCCCAGGCCCAAAGCTCTACGCCACAGCTCAACTTCCCTACCTCTGGAACATAACTCGAGGTCAATGGATCGCTCGTCTCTCAGATCTGCACGACCAATATGGCCCTGTCGTTCGATACGCTCCCAACGACGTCTCCTTCATCACCGCCGACGCCTACAAAAACATTTACGGCCACAAGACAGCCGGTGCTAAGATCTTTGAGAAAGACCTTCGCGCCTACCGACAGAAACGGCCTGCTCCAAATCTGATCATCGCCAACCATGAGGATCATAAGCGTCAGCGCAAGCTTCTGTCGCATGCGTTTTCTCAAAAGGCTCTTCGTGGTCAGGAAGGGCTTATCAATCATTACGTTGACCTCTTTATTGAACGTCTTACTCAGAAGGCTCAACAGGGTGAGGCCGTTAACATGGTTGCATGGTACAACTTCGCTACATTCGACCTAATCGGTCACCTCGCTCTCGGTCAGCCCTTCGGATGTCTTGAAAGTGGAAACTACCACCCCTGGGTTCGCAGAATCTTCCATACCATGAAGAGCGTCAGCTTCTCACAGGCCCTGGTCCGTCTCGGTCTCAGAGACTACATTCCTATGTTGACACCCAAGAGGTTGCAGAAGGCTACAGAGGAGCATTGGCAATTCACTGAGCATGCAGCTGGCGCACGACTCGATGCTAAGGATACCAACAGTCAGGACTTTATGTCGTATGTTCTCCGATATAACGATGAGAGAGGAATGTCCCGTCCTGAAATCCTCGAGAACTCCAGTCTGCTTATCATCGCTGGTAGTGAGACCACTGCTACGTTGCTCAGTGGTGCTAGTTACTTCCTTTTGACCAATCGTGACAAGTATGACAAGCTTGTCAAGGAGATCCGGACGACTTTTTCTTCCGAAGACGAGATCACTGCCAATCGTGTTGATCAACTGAAGTATTTACTCGCGGTTCTCTCTGAAACCTTCCGAATGTGTAAGTGATATCTGACTATGCCTCTGATTGCTGCGATCTTGTGCTGACGTGAGAACTCTAGATCCACCTGTCGCCGCCGGTCTTCCTCGAATTACTCCCGAAGGAGGCGAATTCATGGAGGGTTACTACATCCCGGAAAAGGTTAGTGGCTCTAAAATTATGTCATTTTGAACTTATTCTAACTTTAGATCTAGACTTCCGTTTCTGTTCCTCAATTACCCGCCTACAAGTCATCTCAAAACTTCAGAAACCCAGAGCAGTTCGTTCCCGAGCGCTGGTTGGATGATCCTCTTTATGCGAACGATTCTCGAGCTGTGGTACAGCCATTCTCAATGGGACCTCGCGACTGTCTCGGCAAGAAGTAAGCCTACTATCAAATAGTGAGAATTTAAGAGCTAACATGGTATCGCAGTTTGGCCTACGTTGAGATGAGGCTCTTGTTAACGCGCTTGCTTTGGAAGTTTGATCTTGAGTTGATGCCTGAGAGTAAGGATTGGTATGATCAGAAGATCTATATTATCTGGGAGAAGAGTGAACTCAAGATTAAGTTGAAGGAGGTTGTCCGGGAGAAGTAGTGGCGACGAATCATAATTTACAGCAGTTAGTGCACGGAAGGGATCGGATGCAGGAGTGGACAACAAAGTTGTACAATTTCATGGTCTCATCTATGCTATCGTATGTCTCTTCATATCATCATTCTCAGACCTGGCTCCTCTTACGCGGTAAAGTCCTTGTGAGCCAACTCGTAAACAAAACCAGCAGTAACCTTGGCATGCTGCATAACATGATCAAAGTCAACGTACTCCATGGTATCATTAGGAGTGTGAATGTGAGGGTTGTGGTTTCCGAAAGGAGTCTCGAACAAGAACGATGAAGGGTAACCATTTCGGTGAGCAGAAGCGTGGTCAGAGCAAGCATAGCCACAAGTAGACTCCTCGTAAGAAATATCAGCATACTCATCAATGAGAAGCTTAAGGAAGTCATTCTGAGCAGCGTTTGTGAAATCGGTGACAAGACCGAATCGCTCGATGCCGTCGCGACCCTTGTAGCCGACCATATCCTGGTTCAGCATAGCCTCGACTTGAATGCCGAGACGGGAATAGCTGTTGAAAATGTCTTGAGAACCGAGAAGACCGGTCTCTTCGGCAGAGTACCAGTGGAACTCAACAGTGTTGAGATGATCACCCTTGGCAATGCGCTCATCCTCGAGGAAGGCTCCAAGAAGGTTGAGAAGCATAATGGATGCAGAGCCATTGTCATCAGCACCAGGTGCACGACCCGCACCACGGTCATTAGAAATAACCGAATCAAGATGCGATCCAGTAACAACAGTCTTAAGTCTCACCTTTCCAGGAATAGAAACAACGATAGAAGGTTGCGACCAAGCCTGGTGCTGGATAAGACGGACTGAAGCAAGAGGGTGCTTGCTCTTCTTGATGACCTTTTCAACTTCCTTGTGCAGCCACTGCGCAGCCTCAACACCGTAGCGAGAGTTGAAGTAGCGGTTGTGGAAGGAGGAGAATTTCTTGAGTTGCTTCTCCATGGTCTTGGTCTTGACTTTGCTGACCATCTTTGCGACGTTGGATTGGTGGGAGAGTTTGGTGGGGTAGGAGGGGGTGAGGGCCATGAGGCTGGATGCTGGGCTGTGGTCCTTCCATTCTGTGATGTCGAAAAAGTGGATGTGGTCCTGGGGTTGTTAGTGGCGATGGGGGATGGGAGGAGGTGGGTGCTTACGTCGATCATCTGGAACTTTTCATCTTCGGTGACTTCGACGGTCTCACCGGCGGCGGTCTCGAGGGTGAAGAGCTTCTCAGCGCGCTTCTGTGGGGGAGCGGTGGCTGTAGCACTGGCGGCGAGAGCCGCCATGAGAGGGACTGAGTAACGCATGGTGGAGGGTGATGAGATGAGATGAGATGAGGATATCCAGTCTCCAGTGACAAGACGATCACTTTATATACCCATCTCAACATGCGGGGATCTTCGCTTATCAAAAGTTCGACTACTATCAAATTTACTGCCATGCCTTCGGTGGTTGGTTAGACCGCTCTTACGGGTCAATTGAGAGGCCATTTGCACGGTCATTTTGGAAAGCGATTGGAGTGCCAAGTCCGTCTACTCCACATCAGGAAGCTGAAGAGGCAATTGGGATGTAACCCAAGCCGGGGCTTGGATGAATTCTTGTCAACTAGTGGAGGATTTAAAGAAACATTGAGATAAACATGCTCGAAGTTGGTCAGCACTTGTTCCTGGGAACATGCAGGAACGCTGGGCGTTGAGAGGTTCCCCGCGTGGTTGATGGTGTGGTGAGATGAGATGAGGTCCAAGTCAATTGGTTCATACAAAGGACTCATAATCACCGCAAAGGAACAGCCACTACCATTGGAGAAACTCTCAATTGAAGGGATAACTATATGAATGAGGGATCCATTTGGCTTCAGCTATGATTTAAGCTTAATTGATAACATTCCTTCGTCCCGCTAGAAGTTCCAAGAGAGGGGTAAGTAAGCTCGGCTCAAGGTGGCATCCTATCTGGGCAGGTCGGACGGTGATCCCCAGAAATATTTCCATTATTGGAAGGTGGAAAAAGACCGCCAATCCCGACGGACCTGACAGCGCTTTGCCAAGATATAAACAAATGCTACTAATTGTTCGTATCAAAAGGACCTCTCGCCGTTGCACCCCAAGAGATATTAGTTATTCTCTTGGCTTGCTAAACTTGATAGTAATGTTTTGTCGCATGATGCCTTTCCAGGTAGATTGACTCATGCTATGCGGAACATAAAGGTTCGAATACGGTAAAACAAGAATATTTCATAAACATTTGTATTCATTTACTTCCTCCAGGAAAGCATTCTCATCTATCATCTATCTATACAATCCACCAACTCATTCCATCCAATCCATCAGATCAATCGCTTAGTGGCGGTAGATCTCCATGCGCTTCTTAAGGCGGAAAGCAATAGCACGCTTGCGAGCAGAAGCAGACTGAGTGAAGGCACCAGAACCACCGAAAGGTCCAGCAGCGGCACTGTTGCGAACACGGACGATGCAAACATTGTCAGCTCCACCAACAGATCCCTCGCAAGTCATACCCTGAGGCATCTTGACAGTGAGAGGGAAGTCAGTGTTGGTAGCGAGAGAGAGACCACCGAAGCCAACACCGGGAACATCTTGGACGACTTCGGCGGACTGGAAGGCGGCGGGGTCGGTGCCGCCGGATGTGGCGTCGATGTCAGCTGTCATGGGACCGGCACCGTCTTGGTTGATTTGGCGGTAGGTCATGGTGATTTCACCGTTGTTGGAACAGGTGGGAAGACCATTGGTAGCTCCATCACCAGCGGTAGCAGCAACACTAGCCTCGTTAGGCTTGTCGGCCTTCTCACCACCAGCACCGCCTCCAAGACCACCACCAAGACCACCACCAAGACCACCGAGAAGGCCACCGAGGAGACCACCTCGCTGACGCTTCTGCTTGTTGTTGTTGTTGTTGCGGCCACCCTGAAGGCCAGAAATGTCATCCTCAACACCGACACTGGCGTCAGAGCCATTGTTTGTGGGAACGTTGTTGGCACCGGCACCGCCCATGAAGTTGGCGATCATGACGGAGGCGTCAACGGGGCCGTTACCCTGGGTCCTGCCGAGGGCGCTGGCGCGGTCGGTTCCGAGCTCGCGGTCACGAATAATGGCGGTGTCGGCCTGGGAACCGCAGCCGTTGCTGGAGCAGTCACGAGGAGTGCCATCAGCGATGGTGAGACCAGGCATGGAGACACCGTTGGCACCCTCAACTGAGACGACTACTCCGTGAGCAGAAGCGGTGGCGATGAAAGCGGGGATAAGAGCGTAGAAATGCATGTTGAATATGTTTTTTTGTTGAGGTAAAAGTAAAAGAAATTGGGTATCTTAGTGAGAGTAGAGAGGTAGGAAAGATTAAAGTTGTTGAGTATTGAAATAGGCCACCAGGGCTGAGAAGGTAAAAGAGAAGATGGTAGAAGAGATGAGATGATTGTTGGTTGATGAGAAGTTATCCAGACAGAGAATCAAGAGTCTTATATAGACTTTTGGACTGAGATGTTGATCGTTTATCGCCTTATGATACTGTCACTCAGCCTCCCAACCCATTGATCTCTCAAACATCTTGGCCAGTATCACACCTCAAATCAATATCAGCGCACAGATTCTCGTTTCTGTTTCTTAGCCTGCGACATCATAGCCACCTCTTTTTTCTGTATCTACGTTTGAAGTTTCCAAATCTCCAAGTTTGAAGTTTCTAGATGCCCCATGTTGTGGTGTTTCACGTTTCGCTCAGACCACCCAAGCCGTGGTGGATCTCACAACTCTCGGATCCGAAACGCGAACTCTAACATGCTTGGCTAATTTATCTGTTGCGATTGGATCGTCAGATCTGCAGAGAAACAGCTGTGGCTGTGCTGCTGTCGGTATTTGGAAGGCCTCTCGTGAGGGCTGAATTGTGCTGTATGATCGACGTATAGCTTCTTTCTTTCGGTATTCCCGTTGATTATTGGTATTTTTAGTGGTGAAACTTTACTGAGAGACCTTGGCAGAGGCGCAGTTGAAGATATGATCTTACTGGACTTGGCTAAGCTATATCATCATTTGACAGTGACACTATCACTAAGACACAGGCAAGTGACAGAGCCACAAAGATTAAGTCTGCAGTACATTCTACATATCCGTCATACCTTCTATGCCTGGCAATCTATCCATGAATGTTAAAAGTAAATAGGAATGCGAAAACTTAATCTACTCTATCTAAGTTGTGGCAACAACATCCATAGCAGTCAACATTCTCGATTGATTGACCTGAATCTGGCTGATCATCTGTCTGGACTCCAACCCCAGCTCCACTGTTTGCAGTTATCTGATAAGCTGCGATACGCGATAGGTTGGGTTCACAGGCAGTGCCCAGCGTTTCGTGGCAATCCCCGACAAAAACATATTCTATTTCCGCACGATGAAGAAAAAAACGCTTAGATCCCAGTTTAACATCTCTCGGATCACAACGTTACCGAACACCCTGGTCTCCCCCAACTCGGCGCTTACCGGTCGATCTTACAACCCTCGCTTCAGTTGTTAGTGCTGAAACCTTACGCTAAAGCCCCGTTTCATAAGCTCGAAAACCAACCTCGGGAACCATAAAGAATAAAGTAAAAAGAAACTTTAATAACCCAATCACTGTTTAGTTTGTCTTAGTTTTTGACATTGTCTGTTCGGGATTTGTCATAGCGCGCATAGCGCTCATAGCGCCTTGTTTGAAGGCTGCGACATGGAACCTCCTTGTCGCTTCAGAGATCTGACAGGCAGGGGGTCTTGATTGTTTCATGGTGTCACCGCCGAGGTTTTCTTATCACATGTCTGATATCGGCAAGGAGCTTGCGAGGCTATGAAGAATGCAACACTGGGAAGAAATGCGACTGGATCTTCAGATATGATCCACACAGGGGATCGTCTTCTGGAAAGGCAGTGTAGCATCGCAAAGTTGCTTTTGGCGGCTAGAGTTATTCTCCTAACTATGATAATTGAGAATTGATATGGTTGATGATACGGTAAGGGTTTGGGAGTGAATAAAGTCAATTGCAAGCTAAAACAATAGTTTATTCGATAAGCTTGTAGTATAGAGTAACTTTGCCGATGTTATCTTAACAGAGTCTACTATAGTTTACACTTTGAGTATGAACTTTTCGCCACTTGCACCAGCTTTGAGGATGTCAAGCATCTTCTGCGCTGCTCCCAAGCCACCTTCAATGACGTGAGGTCTTGGGGCGATTTTGAGAGCCCCATCTTGGAGATTCTCGTAAAGCCATCCTTCGAAGAGCCACTTCGTAATGTCGGGATATTGTTCAGTGAATCGCGAGCAGTCCGTGTGAATAACTTCAACTCCACTGGGCAAGGCCTTGTCGCTTTGAAATGGGAATAGCGTGCTGAGCTTGATTCCCTGTGAAGAGTCGACTGTGTTGAGTATGTCCGCGATGGAATTGAACGAAGACTCATCAGATCGGGCATCGAGAACGCCTCGAATCTTTAGTCCTGCCGCTTCAACAGCTTGGTTCAGTTTCCTCGCAACATCCGGGTCGCGATAGTCCCAAGCCTCTGCCGCACCCAAGCTCTTCAACCATTCGTGATGCTTTGGGCTCGCAGCCACATATACAGACCATCCCATTGATCGGGCAATTTGAAGTGCCGAAATCGCAGTTGATGAAGCACCGCTCCATATGAAGATAGCACCACGTTCCTCATGGCGTATCTTCCTCCTCAGCAGCCCCATACTATCAAAAAGCGCAATAGATGAAGTGATCATACCAACGGGAAACACAACACCTTCCTCAAATGAAATACTATCAGGCAGGTGAGAAGTCGCGACCTCATCCATGATAGTATACTTCTGGAACGCTGCCTTGTCGCTATTAGGGTAGATTACTCCAGTGGCAAAGCCCGTCACGCGATCGCCTGGCTTGAAGCGTGTGACCCCAGGTCCGACTGAGATGACTGTGCCAGCGAGTTCGCTGCCAAGTACACCTGGGAATTCTTCGATTAAAACTCCAAATGATTGGACTTTCCAGTCTGAGGGGTTGGCAGCAACAAATTCATTGCGGACGAGGAGTTCGCCACGGCCAGGTGAGGGGATGGGGCGTTCATCAAGAGTGAGAGTGCCTTGCTTGTTTGGGAGCAATGAAGCAGTATTTGGTTCAGAGATATTTCCCATGATGTCAAATTCGTAATTGATGCGACGTTAATTGAGAATAGAGATGTGAGTATAACATCTCTGAATCTCACAGCAGTGGCTATGAATATGTACTTCACTCTATACGATTACGAACGCAACACGTAGTTACCAATCAACTCCGTCGGTGCATCTCAACCGTCATGACTCCTCGCAAATAGTTGCTCGCAGGCATTACAAATCAAGCCATGAAGTTTAACGTAGTTAACGCGATTCTTGTAGAAACGCGTGTGATTGGCTTGTGTAGTGGTTGCATGTCAGCAATCGTCGTAGAAGGATTCAAAACTGAATGCAGGTACGGTACTCCGTAGTCGGCTGACTCTCATCAGGTTGCATTTTGTTAAAAGGTAAGGTTAGATTAACAATAATGAGGTCATCTCGCAAATCATTTCTGGTAGGTAAGTTATCGCGACGCGTTTCAACGCGCGAGAGGTAAAAATAGAAGCATTTTCATGGGTGGTTGGAGAGTCGGGGTAATTTAAAGCCGACTGAGCTCTAGTGATTGGTCGGGAAAGATGGATCACTGAAGATAAACTTCTGACGTCAGTGAGACTTTTCGAATCTTCCCACGCAGAGATGCAAAAGCTTATGAGATATTGACATTCTGTGCTGGATCTGATGGTATCATGCGCTTCAGGATACACTGAGAGAATGGGGGTAAAGGATTGAAGTTGTTTGTGGATTATTTGCATCTTATCTGGTTGAGGTGGTAGTTGTGCCGTTTTGCATGCATTTTTCGACAATGATCCGGGTGATGTACGACGCTACTACATGACAATCGATGGTGCAAAAGTCCAGGACCACTGATTTAACTACTACTTAAGCTTGAGCAACAGATAAGCTTCTTCCCAATTCTTTTACTACTCTTTTCACTGCAGAGTGCTGCTTTCTAGAGCACCCAAATTAAATGTCCATTCCTTACCCTACAGTGTCAGCGCAGATGGACATGAGTCATGAAAGCTGGTGTCTAGTGCAAATACGAGTCGGTAACCATGCTTCTCCGTCGGGTCACGGATCTCGTCAGTTCGGTAGACATCCAATCAAAGCTCACGAACGCTGAGACAAGCAAGCGAGTTTATCACCCAATGATGACACTCGAATCAACCCCGCCTTGTCGCAAAGCATCGGATTTCTTCCGCCAGAGTATCATAAGCACAGACCTTGCATAGCATAAAACACCAACTGCCTCCAAGCCAAGCCCAAGCGCACCACCAGCCTCCCAAGACAGAAACATCATGAATTTCTACCCGCCACCTCCCGTCATTAAAGCAAACGTCTGGCTTCGCATCCCAGACGACAAACGCTGTATCGGCCAAGAATCAGAATGGCGCGGAGGTTTCGCGGGTTCGTTCAAGCACATCTTCCTTGAAGGACCTGTTTTTGACAGTGCTGGGAATTTGTATATTGTTGATATTCCTTATGGGCGTATTTTGAGGATTGATAAGGATAAGAATGTTGAGGTTGCTTGTCAGTGGGATGGTGAGCCAAATGGGATTGTTGGGACTGCGGATGGAGATTTATTAGTTGCGGATTATAAACAGGTGACACTACTCGATATTGCTTCTTATTTACAAGATTGACTAATACGGTGCAGGGAATCCTCTCATACAATCCAGAGACTGGGAAGATAGGACCTCATCTCACGAGAAAAAACCTCGAAAGATTCAAGGGTCCAAATGATCTCATCGTCGACTCTAAAGGAAACTTGTACTTTACAGATCAAGGCCAAACCGGCATGACAGACCCAACAGGGCGAGTCTACCGCTTATCACCAGATGGACGCCTCGACACACTTCTTGACAACGGTCCTTCACCAAACGGTCTCGTCCTCTCCCGCGACGAGCGCTTCCTCTACGTCGCCATGACCCGCGCAAACCAAGTATGGCGTCTCCCCTTGCACGCCGACGGCACAACCTCCAAAGCTGGTGTATTCTTCCAGTCCTTCGGTAACGCTGGCCCTGATGGGTTATGTCTTGATGAGGAAGGGAACTTGTTTATTTGTCATCCTAGTCTTGGAAGTGTGTTTGTGGTTGATACGCATGGTGTGCCCAAGGCGAGAATTGTGAGTGGTTCTGAAGGTATTAATTTTACGAATTGTTGTTTTGGTGGGAACGAGCATAAGACGTTGTATATTACGGATAGTTTGGAGGGGAATGTTCAGACTGTTGAGTGGCATTGTCGCGGGGCGGTGGCTGCGCCGACACTGAAACAGAAGAAGGCTGAAGCATGAGTTAGTCAAATACAAGTTGAGATTATGTGACCAAGACTCAAATGCGATCAATTACTTCGTTTTTGTGTTATTGTATGGCGTTCTAGAGGAAATGCATGATGATCTCCAGTGCTCAAGCTCCATAGATCTCATGCTCGTCATGTCAAAACTTCGCGTCGCGTACAACTCCCGCCGACCCAGGGTATCTCCAAACACACAGTGACATACAGAGCACATCAGGAAAATTAATTTAGGCCCATTTCGGCCATTGTCCTAGGTAGAAGACTTCGTGACCCTACGCTAAGAGGATCCCATCTCTACTGCCGACAGCCAAGACATCTCCGAAAGTGTCATGAACAACATCCACATTCTCCTCACAACAACAAGCTGATCCCCAACGTCTCCGGATATCGGCATCCGTTGCGCGTCTGTATATCCTGTTATGGTTACAACTGCACAATTCGCCGAACATAACCCAGCGGTGTTTTTCCCCAGCCCATTTCCCCATCAGTGCGCCCTCGCTTGAGCATTGTAACCTCCCTCTTGACTCGTCACCTTGGTCCGGGCTTCATCACGAGGGGAAATACAAGGTAAACCCCTCAAAGGTGGCACCTGGAATTCGTCCGACAGCACTAGGAGATACCCCGATAACAACCGTTTTTGACTCCACGCTAGACCGGGGATCCACTCCTTGAACCTGGGGAACTCGGGGAACAACAGAGATTATCGGCCATCCCCGCCTTTTTTCTTTCCTGCAAAGGTCAAGATTTTCTCCACGTCCTTGGCAAGGTTCTTGTTGGAGAGACACGGGAATAATCCTACGTTTTGGGAAGTGCCGTTGGGACACGATATATTGCTGCTTCGTCTCCTTGGCAATTTTGTTTCTTCAGGCTCAGGACTCTAGCCAGGTTCAACATTTCTTGTTCAGAGCATCAACTTTCTTCCTTCCTCAGTGGCGAGACTTCTCTTCAATATGGCGAGACCAAATATGATCAAGGCCACAAGGAGGGCCATCAAAGACAGTCCCAAAGAAATCTTCAACTGGTATCTCCTAGCATGTACATGCATCTGGAGTTTCTCAGGTGTCGCCAAGGGCTTCGATGAAGGTATACACACTCCCTCTCAATCCTAACCCATCACAAATAACTAACTCACTTCCAGGCAACATCGCATCCCTCGTCATCATGGAAATCTTCAAAGAACGCTTCGGAATCGATAACCAAACCGACCACGAATACGCCAACACAAAAGGCTGGATCGTCGCCATCGCTACAGCCGGTGCAGTCTTTGGCTGTCTGGGCTGTGTGTGGTTGACTCAGAGACTTGGTCGAACAAGGACGTTCCAGTTCTTTACTGTGGTCTACATGGCTGGTATTTTCGGCCAGACCTTCAGCAATGGTAACCTGGGAGTACTATACGCTACTCGTGTTATTTCGGGTATTGGTATTGGTGCTACTACCGTCTTGCCCTCGGTTTACATCGCAGAGGTAAGTCAATGCTTCAAGCCTACACTAATACCTATACTGACTGAATGTGTTAGATCTCTCCCCAACCTATTCGTGGTCTCTTGACCCTCCAATACACCTGCTGTCAACAACTCGGCGTCGTCTTCGGCTTCTTCTTCAACTACGGCGTAACAAAATACCACGCCGGCACAAACCTCCAATGGCAACTCCCCACGGCCCTGCAACTCATCCCCGCCCTAATCTGGGGCGTCGGCACGTTCTTCACCCCCGAAACCCCCCGCTTCCTGCTCAGCCAGAACAAAAACACTGAAGCCCTCGCCGTACTCTCCCGCTTCAGAGGTCTTCCCGAGGATCATCCTTACGTTCAGTCTGAGTTTCAGGGCATTGAGGCGCAGCTTAATCATGAGATTGAGATTGTGGCTGGTGCTAATACTTGGGATCTCATCAAGGAGACCTTTGCGGATATTAGCAACAGGAGGAGGTTTACGCTTATGTTTGCTTGTCATGTTTTTGGCCAGTGGTCTGGTGCCAATGCTATTACGCAGTACAGTCCTACTATCTTTGGATATCTCGGCATTGAGGGTACTGAGGCTCGTTTCCTTGCGACTGGATGCTACGCCATTCTCAAGTTTGTCTCGGTTCTTATCTTCTCTGTCTTCGTCATCGACTTTATCGGCCGTCGTCGATCTCTTATGACTGGTATCACCATGCAGATCTTCACTTTGGCTTTCGTCGGTGCTTATCTCAAGGTCACCAATGGATGGACAACTGAGGAAATTGAGGCCAGCTCTTCTGCCATGGGTGCTAGTCGCGCTGCCATCGCAGCTATTTACATCCACGCTATCGCTTGGTCCATCGGCTGGTTCTCCATTCCCTACCTCGTATCCGCCGAGGTCTTCCCCATTCGAATCCGCTCCATTAACGTGTCCATCCTCATGGCTGTCCATTGGGCCATGTACTTTGGCTGCTCTCGCGCCATGCCTTCTCTTCTGGCTGCTACTGAGCGATATGGCGCTTTCATGTTCTTCCTCAGCATCTGCACTTGTTCGCTGGTCTACGTTTACTTTGCCATGCCTGAGACTTCTGGACGATCTCTGGAGAGCATGGATAAGTTGTTTGAGAGACCTTGGTACACCGTTCACAAGATTGCTTATCCCACTGCTGATGACCTGAAGCCTGCTGCCCGGGAAATTATTGAGCCGGAGATGAAGGATCAGGAGTCTGTTGTTTCTAAACATGTTGAGAATCGCTACTAGAGGGACAATTAGTTGTATGATGAATTGAATGAGGGGAGTAGTTATGAACTAAGTTGACACCATGATAGTTTAGTTGATAAATGAACATCATCTGAACAGTTCATTTTAAACCTCTCCCTCTTGACCATCTTCACAGTGTTGATGATGAGCTTGACTGCTGAGTGCTGATACACAAGAGACCAAATAACTCGACCACCTCACGCCAAGCCGTAGGGCATTTGTTTCTTTCGCCCTAACTCGAGTCTACTCTCCCTCTAGTCTCAATTAAGAGCAACAAGTTCTTCACAACTTGCGGGGTTAAACACGTGATACTCTCACGACCCACGTCACATCCGTTGGAGAATACATAACTAGCCATCTCCCCAGATTCCCGTTGCGAGCCCCCCGGAATTTCTCCTGGCCAATGAAATACGCTGAAATGAGTCCTCCAGTATCTTCACGTCTACCGAGACTACCAGCCTGCCAAGCCTGTGCACAGAGGAAGACAAAGGTTACTCAACATTGTCCTTTCGGTGTTTACTCAGTGGGGCTGATTGGCTTTAGTGCGATAATAACAGACCGAGTTGTTCACCTTGTGAGAGAAATGGACTGGAATGTCTTGTCATAAATACGGATGCTGATGGAAATGGTCAATTGTCACGAGCGTAAGAATTTATGTCCACAATGGTCACATTGCGCTAATAGAGTCAGGATGATTGATGAATTGGAGAAGAAAGAACAGGCTTTATCTCAAAGACTCGCGGAATTAGAAGCCAGTGCAGCAGCGCACGATCCTAGTACTGTGGATACGACCAGCCCGGATGATCGACACACGAGATCGATAGCAGCATCTTCACCTGCGACGAGAGAAGGCGCCAGTATAAGGTATGTTTATGAAACCGTTGAGGTTTAACACGTTGACTGATTTATTTAGCTTCATTGCGCATTTATTTGCTGATGCGAATTGGAGAAAGTCTCATGCGACTTTGCTGAGAACACTGGCGGATGCCCCAGGTGCTGGTGAGGTCTCCATAGCGCCATGCTCGTTACCTTCCGCAGCTGAGACACAAATGCTTTTCGAGAAATAGTTAGTCTTACAACGACTTCGGTCCATTTTCACTGCTGACTTGTTCCAGTCTGAGCTGGGCACATATACAGAACCCATTCCTCCTTCGTAGAAGTATCTGGGCCCTACATCACCGTCTATTCAGCAGTCCGAACACCTCTGGTCAAGTAACAAATCATGATCTATTCAGAGCTTTTATGATCTGTGCTATTGGTGCCGTTCTACCTTATCGGAACAGACTGCATAATCGACATCCAGAAGCATACTATAACGCCGCGTTGCAATATCTTGGAACTGAGTTCCTGACAAGAGGCTTAGACTCTGTTCAAGATCTGTTGTTAATATGTAGATTTGGCATCTATCACCCGATCGGTATGTTTCACCCCACATGACAATAGCCATTGACTGACGTTCTGTAGGTACATCGATCTGGGACGTAGTAAGACTCTGCGGTCGCCTCTGCATAGAACTAGGCCTCCACTCCAACCCACACATCCCCAACGACCTCCTCCAAACGCAACTCCGCCGCCGCATATTCTGGCAATTCTACCTTATAGATCGCTACAGCTCTACAACTCTCGACCGTCCCTTTTTGATCGACGACAATGACATAAGCACCAAATTCCCAGTCGAAGCAAGCGACGAAGAACTTGAAGCAGCAAATAGTCAAGTTCAGAGCCTTGATTCGTTCAATTTCAACCGCGAGCCGAATGTTCAGAACGAGATGACCGTATTCTTCGTCTCTGTGCGACTCAGGCAGATATCTTCCCATATTCAGACGGAGTTTTCGAAACTAAGAAGGAAGATCGTTGAGTCTTCGCCGAAACGTACTCTGGCGGGACATGTACACGTTGTCATGACTAAGTTACTCAAAGAGTTGCAAGAGTGGCGGAGTAGTACGCCTATTATTCAGGAGCCTAGTTGTCTTTATGAGATGCAGGAGTGGTATGATCATCTCCTGGCTCGAGAACGACTCTCGGTGCTTCGAAGGGCTATCGACCTTGTGCCAAAGGTTAACGGATCACCCCCGAAGGAGATCCTTACTGTTTTTCTGAGGTCTGCTTTAGAGACGATTAATCGGTATCATCATCTCTGTCAGAAGAAAGAAAAGATGATAACGCATACTCGAAGTTACTTCCACATGCTATTTACGGCGGGTCTATCGGTAATGTACTGCACGTCTGTGTCGAAGCAGATCTCACCGGAAGATCTGCGAGCGTCACATGAGGGGCTACAACGGTGCCAAGAGCTATTGAGGAGTGTCACTCTGCAACTTCCCGATGCAAAAAACTACGTTGCAGTCTTCGAGGCGCTCCTTAGAGATCATTCGCAAAGGCTATGGCCAAATATTAGGGAGCCGCCGATGAGTCTCCCAGCAGATGCATCAATCACGATTCCGAATGAGGTTGGGAACTTTACAGAAGGCGACTTTCCTCAGAATCTGGTCGCAGGGCCTTTACCTGCTGATATGAGCGATTTTACAGCCAACAGTCAATTCTTTGAACAGGGTCTCAACCGTCCTGATATTCTGGGCCCTGTGAATCAATTCGATTCAATGCCAGATGAGAACGACATCGGCTCGGAGTATCAAGATGGAACAGGTATCAACTGGGCATTGCTAAACTACGATTCACTCTGGAATATGGAATCTGCCTTGGGTCATTACGTCTATGGCGATCCTAGCAATCCTGGTGTATGGGAAGGTTTCGATTTTTAGAATGAAATGTCAATTTGTTGCTTATAATTAAAGGTCTATCTTCCTAGTTGCTCAACGCAAACTCTAACAAATACCTGGCTGCTGCCATACCGGTTTGCATCTGCGTCTCAGCAGTAGCAGCTCCAATATGTGGCGTGCTAACAACACCACTCCCCCAAAGAGAATGGTACTTCTCATAACTGGGTGGTTCCTCCTCATGACAATCCAGACCAGCACCCCAGATAAGACCCTCATCCAAAGCGCGCTGTAATGAGGTTTCATTGACAATGCCTCCACGAGCCGTATTGATGATGATGGCCGTCTTCTTCATGCGCTTCATTTCCTCGTAGCTGATGAGGTTTCTTGTCTCGGGTGTGAGGGGCATGTGAACGGTAATGACGTCTGATGATTCTAGGACTTCTGCCACGGAAGATGCGCGTGTGTGGGGAATATCTGCCCAGGCATCTGCCGGGAGGAAGGGATCATATGCGATGACATCCGCTTCGAATGCGCCACGGAAGATCTTGGCGACACACTTGCCAATGTTGCCCATACCCAGAATACCGATGGTCTTCTGATGCAGAATCAAGCCAGAGCACTTCTCCTTGGGGCAAAGAATGCCAGAAGACTGCTTAGCGACGATAGAACCGACTTGACGAGCAGAAGAAGTGGCCAGCGTCAGAACAAGCTCGGCAACAGCACGGGCGTTAACACCAGGAGTGTTGAAAATCTTGATTCCTCGCGCAGCACAAGCCTCAGCGTCAATCTTATCGATACCAACGCCCTGCTTGCCAATAGCAATCAAGTTGGGACAGGACTTGATGTCCGCTGCTGTCAAGCGGGATGCTCTGACGAGGAGGTAGCGGGCTTCGCGCCATTGGCTGTGACGAGGGTCATCTATTGTGACAGCGTCAAAGTTTTCCTTTGCGTAGGCGATGACATTGGGGTGGAAGGTATCCAACAGGTAGACTGTTGGCTTGTCTGAGGAGGAGACGGAAGTGTCTGGGGGAGTTGATGATACGATGCCTGGAGCCATTGTGAAGGTGGAGATGGATGGGATTGAAGATGATGGTTTGTGAGGGGTGAATGTTGGAGTTGATGATTTGAATTTTTAAGTAACTGTCCTCTGCAATAAATCGAGATGAGTCAAAGATGAGTCGGAATACCACCGATTATCCTCCGATAATGATCGTCCCTTCAGTCCCGCGGGTAGTCAGTCTTGAGGGTGGCAGAAGAATTGCCCGCCGAGCGTAAGAGACGAAATAATGTGATTAACTTAGACCAGATTTAGGCCACTTTATTCTGACAGCCTAAGTCTTAGAGGACAATGCGCGGGTAGTATCAATGTAACGGAGAATGTCCGGTGGTGATGGGCGGCCCCACTCCGAACCCCACGATCCCCTCGGCTCTGGGGTTCGGCTTTAATCCATCCCCCAAGCTGGAGGGGACTGTCGGGGGACTTGAGATCGGACGTGGAGAAATCTACGGACGATAACAGTTTGTGACTCTTCTCTCTTTCTTTAATTGTTTTAGAGTTGTATATTAATACCACAGAATCACCTTGCCAAATTCGTTTTCATCAGCATCAACACCACAAACAATCACTAGATCCTCAACCACAACTACCCTTTCACCTTTATTCATCAGCCATCATGTCTCTTGCCCCGATCCCACACAGCCTGAAAGAGAAGATGGCTAGAGATGAGGTGGCCTACACCATGTCCATCAAGCTCTGCAAGTCTATTGAGATTGTCGGCATGGCCAAGACAGCTGGCTTCGACGGGTAAGCTCCCATCAATTCTCCAAACGAATACACAAAACTAATCTACCCAGACTATTCATCGAGACAGAGCACAGCTCACTGGATCTTGAATCCACTTCTCAACTCTGCGTCGCCGCTCTCTACGCAGGCATCTCCCCCATCGTCCGCGTCCCCAGCAAAGACCCCTGCTACGTCTCAAGAGTCCTCGACGGCGGCGCTCTAGGCGTTGTAGTCCCCCACATTCGCTCTGTTCAAGACGCACAAGACGTCGTCAACGCAGCCAAATTCCAACCCATCGGCTTCCGCTCCTCCACGAACGGTCTTCCCCATCATCAATTCCGCAGCATCCCCGCAAAGCTCTCCAACCCCGTCACCAACGACGCCACTCTCGTCATCCCCATGATCGAGACGCTTGAGGCGTTGGAGCTTGTTGATGAGATTGCTGCTCTGCCTGGTGTTGACTCACTTCTCATTGGTACAAATGATCTTACTGCTGAGATGGGCATCCCTGGAGATTATGAGAACCCTCGTTTGACTGAGGCTTATGAGCGTACTCTTGCGGCTTGTAAGAAGCATGGCAAGTGGCTTGGTGTTGGAGGTCTTCATGCTAGACTTGATCTTGTGGAGAAGTTCTGCAAGATGGGTGCTAGATGGGTTATGGCTGCTACTGATGGACCTCTTCTTATGGGTGCTGCTACTAAGCGAGGTGCTGAGATGGCGGCTCTTAACGAGTCTGTCAAGGCTGCTCAAACAAATGGTGCCCCTGCTAAGGCTGTTAACGGTACAAATGGGCACGCCACGAATGGGGCTACAAATGGAGTCACCAACGGAGTGACGAATGGGGTTAGCAACGGTATCCCAGTGGCAGCATAAACCACAGTATCCGTAAATTAAATTGTTTAGCATAGATTTCACTCGAAATAGTTAATATTGGTCATTCGTTGGTCCGTGTTGAAGCGAGAACCTGGGGCCCTAGTCTGTTACCCCATAAACTGCCTGCCGCTAACCTGTTCTTAACCCCACGTGACCCTATAGGAACAAGTCCGATTAAATCTGCATCATCCCCAGATTTCCCCTCGGACTCTCTCCGTCTCTTCCTACCCAAGATCAGCCTTCCAACTTCCAACATGACAACAACTGATTGGCGTGACATTCCCCGCGTCTCAGACCCTGCACGGAGCCCTAGTCAACCTGTGCCGCTGCAGAAGAACGGCCGAGCACCCTTGGCTTGCGAACGGTGTTTCAAGAGGAAGCAAAAAGTGAGTCCGATGCCTAACTTTCGGGTGACGGAAATGATTCGCCTAAACTGCCGTCGGATCATTATGTTCCATGTCTTGGCAAGCTGGAATCTGCGTGTTGACAATTGGCTGATAATCACAGTGTGACAGATTACGCCCTGCGTGCACATCCTGTGCCGATCTTGGCGTCGACTGCATTGCAAGGTCCCAGCAATTCGACTTCAACGCCGAAGACGCAGGTCTGACTCACGCTAGAGTCAACGGCTATGTTGAGTCACTCAGACGTCGCGTCGCTGAGCTTGAACAAAAAGTCAAGATCGCTGAACAACAACATGTTCAAGCACGACGTTCCTTTGGTGCTTCGGATGTCATCTCACCCATCACTGGCAAGAGACGTCGCTCTACTGAAATATACATACCTGTTCTTCCAAGCTCAGGTCCAGCTGTGCAAAATGGAGACGAGCAATCAACTGTTGAAGACACCATGAGTGCAATTGGTCTTCTCTCCAACAAGGCTATGGCAGAGTCTCGAGCCAATACAGGCAATGAACCCCATAAACTCGCGATAATCGAGTCCATCGCAGCAGCTTTGGCCGTAGACGGTCGCGATCCATCCACAGCCTCAACTTCACACCACATGTCTCTAGGAACAGACCAAATAATCCCCTTCACACGCGACATAACAATGCCCCACCTCCAACGCTTCCTCGATTGGAGTGTCTGGCTCCCCTACATAGACGAACGTCGTCTGATGGAACAATACGACACAGTCGTCGACTCCACCGACAAAGCCGCCCTTCCTCGCTTCAATGCATACATGGCAATCGCGATCGGAATAAGCATGTCGCCAGAAACAAGTCGCTTCTCAGCCCTGGCTACAAATCTCCATACTGCAGCTGTGAAGCTACTCCCCACGATACTCCACTCCCAGGAGCCGCTGGATACGCTGCATTGCATGCTTTTGTTAGCGGTGTTTTCTATATTTAATCCGGCTGGTGGGTCGACGTGGCATCTTATGGGATTTATTATGACGAATTGTATTGCTGCTGGGTTGCATAAGACTGTTATTCCGCAGGAGAGACTTGGTGTGGATAGTACTTATCGGGTTGAGTGGCTGTTCTGGAGTGTGTATCTAATGGATCGGTGGGTGTCTTTACAACCTCTGCAGGGTTTTGGCTAACCTTCTTAGGTCCTTGGCATCATCTATGGGCCGTCCATTCAGCATTACAGACGATGATATTGCTGTCTCTGTAAGTGAAGACACTGGGACTTTCTCCGACACTACTAACACCTTTCCAGATTCCTGAACCTCCAGTAAACGACGACGAATCAGGCCTCCCCGCACAAGTACGCAATAAACTCGCGTTAAGCCGTCACTTAATAGTCCACGCACAACTCATCTCCGACATTTGCGGAAGCGACAAGCCCAGTGCCCTATTCTCATACAGCAACCTCTGCTTCTGGCGCGAATTTCCACCAACAAACAATCCCGACTACCTGGACCAACTAGGGTGTCGGGCCATGATCCTAATAGTCAACCCACCATCCACCACCCTCGGCGATTCTCCGGAGATCGAAGCCGACACAATAACATCCTGCAAGCGCTTAATCGAGTCACAATACACCAAGTCCCGAACAGTATCCTTCCTAGATGCATACAATATCTTGGCTGCGGCGGTAGCATATGTCTGCCTCTCACAGCCAAACCAGCAAGGATTCGCGCAGACGTTTGAAGTAGTCAGCAAAGCATCAGTGTTACTAACACAATGCTCAACACGTTTCTCGGGTCTAAGCGTATTCCAGCAATTCTTACTGTCCCTGTCTACAAAGATCATGGAAGGACAGGGTAGTCTTGAGGTACGTACGAGTCAAGATTTAAGCTTAACCGTGTAATTGACTGGGTTTAGCAATATCTGGATTTCATACCGCCGGAGATCCCCATCCATCTTCGGTCTTTTGTCCAGAACTATGCTTCTTCGAGGCCGCTAACCGCTTAACCCCCATGACCTGTATTTTTGGCTTTAGTATGGCCTGTTTTCTCTTAGCATGCTTCGTCGGCCCCAGTCCGTCAAACAAGGTTTGATTGGGCGGATCTTGTCCGACGGGGGTAATCCGACACTAACACCCCGCAAACCAAAAGAAACTCCAGACTGGTAAACGCGGGGATGCGGGGGAGTCGGGAGAGAAGGACGGATCAGGGAGAGATCCGTGAGAACAGACTACTGTTACTACAGCATTACCTTGGCGATGGCAGGGTCACGGTTGTATAAAGACTGTTGATCCTACCTTCTCTTAACCTCCTCAGCAGGCTCTCTTCTTCAGTCAGCCCACTCCTACCATCCTCTCAGTCTTATCCTTTGACAATTCCTCAAGATGTCGGGCTCCGTTCGATCAAAACCCAACTCTCTCGACGCCAAACGAGATGTCGAATACGAGGAAAATGCGCCTGAACGCGACGAGATCCTTGAGCGATATGATCTCATCAAGGATATGAGTCCCGAGGACCGCGCTGCTCTTGAGAAGAAACTTGTGCGAAAGCTCGATTGGAAGTTTCTTCCTATGGTTACTGCCATGTTGCTGATGAATTACCTCGACCGAATCAATGTTTCCAACGCCCGTCTTGCTGGTAAGCTCTCTCAATCCACCTGTTCTGGGTCTGGACTCAACTAACATTGCTTTCTCAAGGTATGCAGGAGGATCTAGGCATGTCGGACGTCACCTGGTCGCTCGGTATCTCCATGTTCTACGTCGGATACATCATTTCTCAAATCCCCGCCAACGTTATTATCGCCAAAGGAAGTCCCCGAGTCCTCCTCCCCGGTTGCATGATGGCCTGGTCCTGCGTCACAATTTGCATGCCCGCTGTGACCGCCGGCTGGGGTTTCTGCCTCTGCCGCTTCATCATTGGCTTCGTTGAAGGACCCTTCGTCCCTGCTGTCTCTCTGATGACCAGCTCTTGGTACACAAAACACGAGTCTCCTCTTCGAATGGGTATCTGGCACGCTGGAAACACCATCTCACAGGCTCTATCTGGTCTTCTTGCTGCAGGCATCTTGACCAACATGGAGGGTGTGGCTAACCTCCGAGCTTGGAAGTGGTTCCTTCTTCTCGAGGGAGCTGTCAGTATCATTGTTGCTGCTTTCAGCTTCTGGTTCATTCCCAACTTCCCTGACTCTACTGGAACATACTTCATCACCGAAGAGGAGGCCCAGATGGCCCAGTACCGACAGGCTGTCTCAGCTGGTGGTCTTTCTGAGGATGACACTGGTGGCTACTGGGATGGTTTCTGGATGTGTATGAAGGACCCCTTTGCGCATCTCTTCGCCGCTATTCACTTCTGCCTCATCATCGGACAGTCCTACAAGGACTTCTTCCCTTCAATCGTCGCTACACTTGGATTCTCTGGTACTACAACATACCTCATCCAGGCCCCTCCTCCAATCCTCGCCTTCCTCGTCACCCTGGTCATCTCTTGGTCATCCGGTAAACGTCTGGAACACGGATACCACATCATTGTCCCTATTCTGTTCACCATTGTCGGCTGTGCTGTAATGATCACAACTCTTAACGTTGGAGCTCGATACTTTTCCATGATTCTTCTTGTTATCGGTCCTTTCGTTGGTCTTAACGTAAGTCACATAGTCCACTAATCTCAACCGCTTATACTAACTGCAACAGCTTCAAATCTCCTGGGAAACCACCGTTGTTCCTCGCCCTCGTACAAAGCGTGCGGCCCTTATCGCATACGCCAACTGTGTCTCCTCCGTGTCTCACTGGTTCACTCCCTACTTCTTTCTTCGCAACCAGGAGCCTTACTACCAGACTGGTGGAGGTGCCATCATTGCCGGCTGTGGTCTTGTCGTCATCTTTGTTTTGATCACAAAATGGTATGTCAACAAGAAGAACAAGCAGCTTCAGGCCGCCGAGGATGCTGCCGGTGAGCCTAAGGGATGGAGATATGCTGGATAAGGTAGAATTCTATGTGTGGAGGTATGCTGCAAGGCATCTCTACGCCGCAGTGGCAATGTTTGAGCAAGGCAATAGCTGAATGAAGATACCTGATGAATAATTATCGTTGAACCTTGCTACTACCGAAACTATCTCCGTCCACCTTGTGGTGTGCTAATAAGCTTTACCGTGCCCATGTAGCTACTAAAAGCTCTAGCAACCCCTCCCACAAGACCAATGGTGGTCATAACAACTTCCAAAACTAGCCGTCTTGCTGCATTTAACTCCGCTTGTTCCGACCGCAGAACATGAATTACCACCAGACTGGAGAGCCGCGAGGAATGTGTTCCGCGCTTTGTTGGCAGAGATGCTGGAACAGACGTGAGTGCAGGTATAGGTGCAAGTCGAATTGCTGGCCGAGGTAGCAGAGCAGGTTCTCTTGCAAGCTTGTACTCCTGCCACTGCGGACAGGGCGTAGATGATGAAGAGTGGGTTGACCATTGTTGTTGAAGTCTGAAGCATGGTCAGTCTTTATCCTCGTCGCGTTTGTATGGACAGTCCTACTCGGGCGGTGATTTGAAGATAGCGTTTGCTTGGATAATAGGGCTTGAGTTGCGCGATGTTTGCGTAAGTCCGTGGGGATCGTGATGTTCGGAGCGATGGCGGTTATATATGTAGAGTCGAGGAGGTATCACCGGCTCATCATCTCTTCAAAACGGTATGGAAATGCTCAAACGCACTGTTATGCCATCATCAATACTTGTAGAACCTGTCTACGGTCGCACACTGTACCACGAATAAATGCGACTTAGCACACGTTCGTAAGACTTGTACTTGATAGAGTTACCACGTGTTCTGGATATGCATTGCAGGCATCTTAAGGTGTGGTGCCGTCGCCCTAGACAGTGTTTTGGGTACGGAAGAACTATTCGCATCTATTCTAGCCCGTCGGACGTGTGTAACAGACACCTACTTGCCCGAGAACAGGCACTCTGTCTGCGTCAATATCGTTTCACATCTTTCTCTGCCATCCGCATGTTCGCTTACGTCGCCTGAAAGAGGAAATAAGCACGCCCGAGGGGTCCATACTGTGTAAACCAATATTGGAAGTAGATGAAATGTGTCTCATTAAGCGAGAGAAGCTTACTTCAATTCGACGTAATAACTGAGAATGGCTGGTGTTCTGTGAAATTGTTGTATGCCAAGTGTATGCAGGGACTTCGGGCGATACAGGTACGGATGTAACATTCTCCATTACGACCCATTAAGATCGATGATCAACCCCACGAGGAAACCTGGGTAATGTCTTATGTCGTTCGTTAAAGCTTTTGCTGATCGCATCCACCAAGTCTTTGGTGCCTTGGCTCAGACTGGGCAATCGGCCAAGGTGATCGTCCAGCCAAGAGTCGGCCAAGCAGTCTGTGTCAGGTATCGCCAAGGTCCTCCACCACCTTTCACAAAGCGGAAGGACCCTGAAGATCTGTTCCACAACTACAGTTCCTGAAGCCATTCTTCTTGCTACTTGTTGCACGAACACTAGAAGCGCAAGCGTCACAAAACGAGGGAACAGTTAAGTAATGTAATAACGTATTAACTTCATTCATAGTCCACTATCTAGTACGGCTTATCGCCATTCCATATGTGTTGGGTATTTACATCCAGCCTCCATCTCATCCTTCATCTCGTCCTTAAGCAAGGTTTCGCTCGCTCTTCTCGATAATTGGAGGAGGGCGCTCAACCTTCTTGAAGAGGACGTACTTCTTGAACATATAAGGAAGCCAGACCTGAGTCTCGTAAGACAGGAACTGCTTGGTAGGAACAGAGAAGACCTGGTCCAATTCCTCGAGAGTCATCTGCTTGGTCTCACGAACGAAGCAGAAGATCATACCCCAAGCAATGAGATTGAGTCCAGCGTAGAAGGCGAAGGCTCCAGTGGGAGTCATAACGGTTCTCATACGAGGGAAGGTCAGTCCAAGAACACCAGCGAAGGTGTTGTTGATGCAGACAGCCCAGGCCATACCCTGCTCACGCTGGATGGTAGGGAAGACCTCAGCGGAGTACTGGAAGGCGACAGGTCCTTCTCCGAGACAGTACGCGATGGTGAAGAGGTAAATGAAGAGAGCGACGGGTGCGATCTTGGCAGCCTGGTTTGTGGTATCGTTCAGAAGGGAGAGACCAGCAGCCAGAAGGAAGATACACATGAAGGGGAATGTAGCCAGTGTCAAGGTTCGTCGTCCCTTGGTATCGATCAGGAAGAGGGTGGGAATAGTGAAGACGACCTGAATGGCACCATAACCCAGAGAAGCGTACAGAGCTTGGTCGTGGGTGAAACCACTCTCGGAGAAGATGGTCGAGCTGTAGAAAGAGATAATGTTGATACCGCACATCTGCTGGGCAAGCATGACAGTACTGGCACCGTAGTTGGCACGTCGAATGCGAGGAACAGCGAAGCAGTCCCAGAGACGCTGGAAGTAACCAGAGCCAGCAGCGACCTTGAGCTCCTCATGGTAGATGACGTATGAGTAGTAGTAATCGCGGGCACCGATGATGGGGTGAGCTCGGAGCTTGGCCATGGAGACGAAGCCTTGGGAGATCTTGCCGTGCTTCATGAGCCAACGGGGTGATTCGGGGCAGAAGTAGATGCCGACCATGAGGATGAAGGCGGGGATGAAGGCGGAGCCGAGTTCGAGACGCCAGGCGATGCGAGGGACGTCCTTGACGATAACGTTGGCGCAGAAACCGAGGAAGATACCTGGGGTTGTTAGTATTGTTGTCATGAGTTTGTAGGGAGATTGACTTACCGATGACGACCCAGAGTTGCCAGAACATGACGAGGGCACCACGAATTCTAGCAGGAGCCATCTCAGCGGAATAGATAGGCACGGTAGCGTTCTTAGCACCGATACCAATTCCCATGATGAAACGGATAGCAAACAGTTCCTGCCAATTGCGAGAAAAGCCAGAAGCAATAGGAGTAGCAGTCAAGCAAGCAGCAGTAATAAAGATCTCTCCACGACGTCCAAAGTAGTGGTTGAGGGGATCAACAATGAAAGCACCGATCAAACCAGCAGTCAAGAAGATGATAGAGTTGATGATACCGATAAGCCAATCATTATCCTTAATGCCAAACTCTTCGGGGAAAGACAGGTTAGCACCGTTGGCACCAGTCTGATCCCAACCCTGAGTAGCAGCACCGACGGCACAAAGACCGATGGAGTACCACAGCATCTTGGATCCATGCCACTTGTGGTCTCGTTCGTAGATGAGAGCTTCGCGCTCGTCGTCGAGAAGGTCGACGGACTCGAAGTTGTCGGGGTCACGGGCGATGAGGGCTGCTCTGCCGAACATCTCGGCGTGTTCGGACATGCCATTGGTCTCGCAAAAGAGGCGGGCGTCGGCGATGGTTTCTTCCTTTGTTTTGCGCTGAAGACAAAGAGTTAGTGATTGTTGTGGTAGTTTGGGTAGTGGTGAATCGTACCTGAAGAGGGTTCTCGACAATGTTGACGGCGGTAGAGCCACGACGGCCTTGGCCAGCGTGCTCCATCATCTCAGCACCGCCATGAGAGCCGGTCTTGTCATCGTAGTGATGATCGGCCTTGTCATCATAAGAGTGACCGGGGGAGATATCTCTGTCAGCCATGATGAATTGAATCAATCACTGAGTAGTTTGCAGAGAGAAGCAGTGACAGAGTGAATAAAGAGGAGAAGACTGCAGATCACAAAAAGACAAGTTCATGGCAAAGAAAGGGCCCTGTATATATAAGCTTAAAAATAAAGACAGTGGTCTGGCAACCTTCTGGGGTCCAACTGGGCAAGCCGAAGTGCCAAGCCCAGGCAGCAAGTTAACAGTCTTGGCCGGCATGATATCACCCTGCCGCCAAGGTTGGGGAGGTGGAGACGTCTAGTGCTACCCCATGGGATCAGCGCGGAGAAAGGTCTGGGCTAATTGGTTGGGGTAGTCAAGGGTGAGATTGCAGAGGGCGGGTCGTGGAACCTTTTGAGACGATGATGCTTGTTTTTTTACTTGGATCATCAATTCCAGCAGATGATCATTTCCTTGTGTAGAGAGCGTTTGTATTAAAATCTCACATGAATCCTATAGAGTAAAACAGTACATAACCTTCGCAATTGTTCTTCGCCTTGTTCATATGAGGCATATCTTCTCCCTCAGCTGAGATCAGCCCAATCTCCGTTCCCCATCCCCAATGAATAAACTACTGTTAGATGCGGAGAATAAATGGACTCTAGCCTCCAGGCAACACAATTCTTCTCCCTCTCGTTCGGCAAACAAAGGGAGAAGCAAAACCAAGCTTTCCCCCTTGTAAGAAAATATCCCCGCCATTCCCCACAACTCTGCCAAGGATATCGTGTCTTGGCTCGGAGCAAGTGACCAATTACCTTCGAGTTTATTTCACTGCCTGTTTTTTAGATCAGGAATTGTTGCCCGAGGATGAGAAATTTACGGGCGTTTGTTCCCGGTGTGAAACTGTAAAATTTTGCTGATCCTCCACATGTTCTGGTGGAGGTTGTCCACAGAATTAGCTCGTCGCTCGGTTATGTCTGGAAGCTCAATTGACTTTTTGTGGCGATGGAGCTTGGGGAGAAATTCTGATGCCTGGGAACTAGCAGTATTTTAGTACGAGAGTGGTTTTTAGTACGGTTGCGGCTCTGGCTTGACCGATGACTAGTGGCGACCTTATCCTTTGAATATCGTCTGATCAGTTCATATCTCAATTGACGCGATGGATCAACAGACTGGTGCAGCAGATCTCGCAAACAATATTGGTGTTACACTTGATCTATTACCATACTAGGAAAGAATTGTCAGAAGTCAGAATTAGCTTTAGAGTTATTTATTTTGCCTTCGTAGAGTGTTGTTCACAGCGCGTCTGGTCGAAAAGCCCATCGACCATTGGGGAGTGCAGGGTAGCATGTCGCGCTTCAAAAGGAAAAAATCCACTACTACCAGTTGGATCACAAGCACAAATCAGTGATGTCACCAAGGAAGCCCAATGAGGTTAAGTGAGACTGCAATAAGCACCATGCACAATTCAATTCAATTGACGTTTTCTGTGCTAGCTAATAAAAATAACATGTGACCAACTAACAACCCAGTCCAGCCGGATATACGTTTTTGGATGATCACACGTCTATACCCTCCTTGGTCCTTCTATCATCCACGATCATCAAGACCTAGTTCATCCAACCTGTTTTTTTTTGTCTTTTGTCTTTTGTCTTTTGTAGTTTTTTTCTGCTTTCGTCAATCATTGGAGGTTTCTTACCTCTACTGCCTCTTACCAATCTTGTAAACAAATGAAATGCAAGTACAACAATCCCCGAACCGAAGAGATTCCTCAAACCTGTCCTGCCTCTCCAGGTGCCAGTTCCTCCCAGCCAAGAAGTCCAACGCGAGGCCAATCCTGATGTGGGTGATAAAGGTAATCATTGGCGAATTGTTCATCCAGCGCATCTCTGTTGAACGACAGGTCCTGCACGAATGACATCGAAGCAGGCTGCCAGTCATGCTTGACGGGTCGAACAAAGTCCCAGTGCTCTAGACTTTCTGCAGCAGCGTCTCGTCCAAAGAATTCGTATTCGAGTTGTGAGAACTTCTTGCCCTGCGCGAAGAATGACTGGAGACCACCTGACAGGGGCGGAGCATCATCCTTCCTCTTGAGGGATGTATCGATGATCCAAAGGTTAAGCAAGCGTTCTTGTCCCCGGAGCACCCTCCACATGTTTTGGAAGTTCTCAAAGTATCGTGACGTATAGTATTCGTCGTCATGCCATAACGGGTTAAACTCGATGCCGACGTTAGTTACAGTCTGAGCAGGGCGAAGACCTTGTGCCTCTGGGGGTGTTATCATTCCAAGAGCCTCGAACTGGTCGATGTGGAAAATGAACAAGTCTCTAGTAGGAGCACCTGTAATGTATTGACGATCAGGGCCGTTGTTGAGGAAATACATTGAAGGACATCGGGCGCCCAGTCCAGGCCAGTTGAGAGGTCCCCATGCGACCGGCGGGGTAAGGTAAAGCATACGGTGTGCGTTATGCTGCTGCAACTGGTCCACGAAAGATAGAAGAACGACACGTCGCGACTCATGGCAGAGGGTCCACAGAGCACGTTCGATGAGGTACGAGGACATGGCTGTTGTAATGTTAGTTGACAGAGCGTTCTGGGCATTGTCGTTGTTGGGTACATTGTGGTAACCAAACACCAGAACGCCTGGACGGTCGTCACGGAGTACGAATCTCCAGATGATGGTCTGAAGCTCACCAGGAAGTCGTGAGACGTCCAAGATGATTGATTCAGACATGGTTGCGGATTGCGAAGTAGGATGGACTAAGTCGATTTACCAAGGTGCGTTGTCGTGATGATAATTGTTCACAGTTGGTAGCTTGACGTTGTGGTGCAGTAAGAGTCGATGAGTTGCAAGTTGGAAGTCGTGAGTCATGCGGAAAAATAAATACTTTTTGGGAACAGACAGTTGGAATGTTGATTTTAGAACATAGCTGTCACTGCAATGGACATATCGGAGGTTCGCGATGATAGCTGTGCGTTCCTGTCCGTGCCGAATGAATAGATCAATGGTGAATGCTCACAGAAGGCTCACACAACGAACAGAGAGCAATACTCCAGAGAACTTTATGTAATACACTAAGCTATGAGCCGAGAATATGCGAACACAGGCCGTTTGTCATTGAAGAGCCGGAATATCACTGCACACATTGAGAGTAGAAGTCGTTCGTCGCCTTGCAGGTACCAGTAGCGCAGCACTTGGGGCCCGTGTAACCACTTCCACCGCACTGACCCCAGAGAGAGGCGCACTGCATCCAATCAGCATATGTTCAAGATTTGCTAGAAGGATCAACTTACGTTACCGGGCTGAGTGTTCGTGGGAGGGTTCTGAGTAGATGAAGAAGGTCGTGCAGAGGTCTGGAGAGTAGTGGTGGGAGGGTTGGTGCTACCACCGTCATCACCGCCAGGAGCGCCGTTGCAAGAGAACTATAGCTGTTAGAACGAGATGTGGAAAGTTAATTTTGTTTGACGTACCACTGAAGGACCGGGAATGGTGTAGCTCTTGAAGTTGGAGTAGATCTAAGATAAACGGTTAACATTCCCTTCTCGACCAATCATGGGCAAACCATAACTTACGTTGGCTGTATATCCGGGGTCGGTCTCCTTGATGAAACCGGGAATCTTGACCTGGTTTCCAGGAGTCACGCTGCCTCCACCAGAAACGCTAATCTGGGCACAGCTGATGTAGAACTAAGTTCCAATTAGCGTATGTGACGAACAATAATTGTGGCTTCGCTTACCTGAGGGTCGCCCGCGGGGTAAGGGTTGTGGATACCCATGCTCTGGATGCGAAGAAGATACTCGCCGTTGGCGATACAAGCGGGAAGGTTGAAGGTGTAGCTCAAGTACATGGGCCAGCTGGATGAGCTTCCGCTGAAAGAAGGGCCTGTTCATCCTTGTTAGTCGTCTTTATCCACATGGTCTTTGTTCATGACATACCCCAGTCCTTGATCTTGAACCAGTTTCCACTACCATCGTAAGAGGCGGCAGAGCTAGGTGCCTTGGACATGTATACAGAGATAGGTCCCTGGTGGTAGACAGCTGTGTCGAGGGTGAAGGTGATGGACTCGCCAGCCTTGACCGCGACGGTCTGGGTGTTGGCTCCTGAGGCGCCGACGTTACATCGAAGATCGTTGGAGGCGAGGTCTACAAAGCACGAGAATTAGTATACTACCATCAAAATAAAGAGGAAGGTAGAGGCTTACCAGTGACAGGAGAGTTGTAGTTCGAGTTCTGTCGAATATACTGAAACACAGGATACTTGGTCGATCCAACACTAAGCTGCTGGAAGATATAATGCGCAGAAGCGCTCTGAACCAAGGCCACAGCGGCCGCGAAAGAAGCAGCGATCTTCATAGTGATGTTCGTTCAAAGTTGGAGTAAAGAGACTGGCGATCCTGAGATGTTCCTGCATGGACGAACATGGCGGCATATAAAGACATACCAAGAACCGGGTCAAACGGCACAGACTGGCAAGTGATCACGCATCCTTGGTCATTTGTCAATAATACTGACACGATGGTACCCTGAGTGGCATCAATGCGTTGTTTAACCGCTGTTCAGGTCCGAAGACCTAATGGGGAAATGTGCCTTGCAGCCATACCGTTCCTAAATGGGAGACAAAATGGGGCTTTACATGAGGAATTATAAATTTCTGAGCACTTGCACTAGTTGTCATATTCTTTATAGAAGACTCTCGTTTGCTCGATGTTTTTGTCTTCAGTGAAAAGGTCAGAAACAACGTTTTGGCTTTGTACGCCACGCCGATGCATCCTCACTTTAACCTCAACGGTCGCTTTCAACGCCTTGGGAATAATCACCAGGAGTTAAATCAGAACATAACGGTCTGTCGGATAAATCGGGTGTCCAAGCCGTGACTTCACTTTATCATCTCGGACCGGTATGCTCCGTGCTCGAAGCAGTAATATGGACATCCACTATCGGAACATTTACCCGGAGTCTGAAAACTTAACCTTGGCTACGATTGGTCCTTTTATGTTTATTACGGCTTTATTATAACCTCCAGTCTAAGCTCTACAGTACGTAGAGTCATTGTAATAATTCTGCTTAGACTTGCAAATGGTGGTAGAAACTAATACCACTAGCCCTGACCGGGGCTAGCGTCCAATCAGTCAATGCATTGACCCAAGACCCCTCAAAAAAGGCTCTGCTCTGTTCGTTAGTCATCAGTAGAACATCGAAGCCATGTCCACATCGAGGGCAAGGAAGCACAGGGAGCGGCTGGCTTGTGCAGCATGTCGGCAGAGGAAGCTCAAATGTGACCGTGAGAGCCCCTGTGGCAGCTGTGTCCGCAGGAGAGATGTTACATCCTGCTCCTACGAAGTTTCCATCGATAGCGACCGTCGCCGCAACGCCCAGGCCCAGGCGCGTCTTGAACATCTGGAACACCTCGTAGGGTCACTTATGGGACAACGTTCAAAAACCACTATCGGAGTTCAGAATGGTAATGTGGCTTCTGAGTTGCCAAACAGTTCGGACCCTGCGGAACAAACAGGCGCATGGTCGTCTTCTCGCTCAGACTTTTGTTACCAAGATGGCAGCGGTACAACACACTGGTCAGCCATGCTGGATGACATAAGAGCTCTCAGATCCACGCTAGATCCTTTTGAGGAAGATGACAGAGATGATGGAGATACAAGTGCGCCTCAGGCAGGAGTTGACTTGGGAATGGGCGTCATGTTCGGCGCTAGCCTTTCACAATCGGCCAGCATCGAACAAATACTCAATGCTCACCTTCCATCGCGAAGGAACGCCGACCGCCTGCTGTCTACATATTTCCGAACACGCTCCTACGTTACGCCATACATACATTCAGTACAGTTTCAGAGGCAGTACGAGGCTTTTTGGAGAGACCCTCGCGCTGCATCGCCGCTTTGGATATCAATCCTCTTTTCGATACTGTTCATTGCCACCAACATTTCCCGAACGGGTAAGGAAAATGAGGCACCAGGGCCTGGGCTTACAGTTGCTGCCGCTCAGTGTCTCGCTCTGGGCGAGTACTTCCGTCCCAAGGCCTTCTGCTTTGAGGCACTCCTGCTTTATATCCATTCGCACTTCATCACCCGCTTGGAAATCTCTCCAGACGTGGCAGGTCTTCTCAGTATGCTTGCCCACATTGGCACGGTTTCAGGCTATCATAGGGAGAGCAGCGTCTCAAGCCTAAGTCCTTTCGAAGCAGAGATGCGGCGTAGAGCGTGGAGTACATTCATGCAGGTTGATCTTCTAGTATCGTTCCACCTGGGCGTTCCGTCGAGAGTCAGTTTAGCCATCTCTGATACACGTGCTTCAAGCAATCTTCTAGACTCCGATTTTGATGAACGCGTCGCTCAACTACCCTCCTCACGACCGGATACCGAGCTAACTGGTGTGTCGTTTTCCATCCTCAAGCACAAGTTCATGATGATATTTGACAAGATTCTTCAACATGCACTGTCGAATAACTCAAAGACGGCAGAAGATGACCACATCGACTCTTTGGATACCGAACTCAAGACCTTATACGAAAGCCTTCCGGATATATATCGCTATCGTCCAATGGAAAGTTGCATCGTCGACCCGCCTCAGCTTATTGTCGCTCGGCTTTGTATCACCTTTGTTTACTACAAAAGCCTGTGTGTTCTTCACCGTCCACATGTGCCCCAAAGGCGAGAGAAGAGTATTCAAAAATGCTATCAGGCATCATGTACCCTGATAACGTACCTCCTACAGGTTTACGAGGAGTGCAAGCCTGGAGGTCAATTGGAAACTGAGGAGTGGTTCGTGAAGAGTATTACTTGGCATGACTTGTTACTCGGCGCAACCACATTGTGTCTTGTGGCCTTCGCAACACACCAGTCCCCGGAAAGCTATGATGTGGACCAAACGAGTGTACTGGTTCTCTTGGAAAAGGTCAGAGCGGTCATTCAAGATGAGAAATCGGAAGATGGGGCAAGGTCACGATCCAGGGCTTTATCAATAATGGAAGCTACAATTTCTCATTTAAGGGTGCACCAAAGTGGCGAAGGCATACGCACGATGGCCGATGTGCCGGTATTACCACCCGCCAGCCCGATGCAAGAATTCCCAGACATAAACCAGGACATAGGCTGGAAGCCAGGGGAGGGTGAGCAGGTCCCGTACGAAACTGATTGGGATTATCTCAACGAGCTGTTTGGTGCCTCTGATCACGACATGTTTACGACATTGGAAATGCAAGGATTGTAAACATAGTCTGATACAACATTAGAAGTTAACTCGTCGCATGATATAGCGCTATGTGCTTTACAAGCTGAACATCTACAAGCTACCTTGTTGTAAGGATTAAACTTCTACCAAGCCTGAATGCCTTGCTTTGATACGACTCTGCCAACGTCTTCATCCCTCTTCCCCTCCAAAACATCCTTCACAACCGCAGCTCCAATGGCTGGATCAATCGCGCCCTGTGTTTTGTTCTGCTCATGACCAACACCGAGACCGGTTGCAAGGTATCCAGGGCTAATGGCCCATACCTTAGCACCATCCTGACCAAGAAGCCGATGCCATTCCCTAAGCCTGAGTTAGTTCTGTTCTCTTATACTGGCCTGATTCTAAATACCTCATCATCATATTCATGGCAGTCTTACTGCTTCGATACGCGGGCAGATGGAAGTTGTTCAGGGTCTTGGGCCAACCTTTGCTGGCCTGTTTGTTGGCTGGAAAGTTGGGATCCTCAGTCCCGGCAAGAGAGGATGTCCCACTGGCGATGAACATGAGACGGGGATCGCTGGACTCAAGAAGCAACGGGGCAAAGGTCCAAGTTAATACATGGGTCCCGGTGACGTTGACATCATAGGTCTTGTTCCACATCTCTCTTGCTGTCATCTTGCCGGCAGTCGCTTGTTGATCAAGCTGGGCACCTTTGACCCGTTTGGTCAGTATGGCGGAAGGTATTTCTGAAGGGATTAAACCCACCTGCATTGTTGATGAGGGCATCCAGTTTTCCGTACTTGGCCTTGACATATTCAAATGCAGAAACAATGGATGCATCGTCTTCGATGTCAACTTGAATGGCGTGGAGATGGCTGGCGGGAAACTCGTTCTTGAGGTCCTTGACGGCTTGCTCAGCCTTTTGGAGAGACCTTCCTCCAACCAAGACCTCATACTGTTTATCAGAGCCGCAAATGGCCTTGACAATCTGGAGACCAAGACCGGTGTTGGCACCTGTCACAAGCACGAGCTTTCGTCCGTCCATTTTGCTAAAGTCGTTGTATTGTAGGGTTGCTTGGTCTGGTAATGATATGAAAGGAAGAAGAATGGATATGAATTGAGAGTCAGATTGATTTACAATAGTTCGTGGGCTTGTGCTAGATATTTATAACTGGTAATGAGAATATGTTCGGAGAAAGCAGTGTCCTATTGTCCATCTCTAGTTTGGAAACATTCATTGATTTCCTTTCTCCACAATTTCTCGGCCGTTAATTCCGCTCGGGGGGGCCTGGCGATAATTGTTGTCTCGGCCGACAATCTCCATTGCAGCTAAGTCCGGTCCGCAAAACTCAGTTCTCCCAACTAAGTGGAGCGATGCAACTGATCCAAATCCTCCTTATTTTGTCTAATTCTTTCCTCCCGATCTATAAACTCCTGCGTCTGGCGGTCAACTACAGCACCCCTAGAGACTAAAAGCTTCACAACCTTATAGTTGCGGCGCTCAGCTGCTAGTTGCACAGCACATTTCTTGTCATTGTCTTCACTATTCACATCAATTGTGTGCGCACCGAGAAGCCTCCGAATCGCTTCAGGTTTCCCAATTGCAACCACTTCGAATATCGGAGTTTGACCGACTCCGTCTTTGAACTCAAGGCCAGCGCTGTTTGCAATCAACAAATCGATGATATCGTTATGGCCCGCCTTGCAGGCGGTAAAAAGAGGGGACCGTTGATCGTTACCCTATCCATTGACATCAGCTCCCAAGCCAAGTAGAGTTTCTATAAGGTCCCTTTTATGAAAGTAGACTGCCCAATGAAGAGCTGTACCGGAATAAGAATCATCAGCAAGTCCATTGAGATTCGCCCCAAGCTGAGCGAGCTCTGTCACTGTTTCTAGATGATCGCCATATGCCGCTAGGCGCAGTGCTGTTCTACCTTTCGCGTCCTTGGCCTCGATGCTGGCACAAAAGAAGCACATGCCCCTAACTCTTCTAGGCTCGACGCTATGAGAAAGCGCGAATACCTAGCCAGCTTGAAATTCGGTATAGGCATCTATCAAATTGCCGAGCTACCTCTCGGCGTCCACGTGAGGTTCCAGTTGCTGCAAGTCCGGGCATCAACTTGATAAGCTCAGATGCTTTGGATCGCAGATCCTGGAATTCCTCAACAGAATCGGGTTGGCTTTGTCGCATTGAAGATGCATCATCCCAGCCATCAATTAGGTGCCTGTAGATACGCTATGGGTTTTGCAAAGGTTTTCCACATGTTGGATCAGTGCTTTCAACATTAGGCAGCAGCATTAAATGGTAGTTAAGACTGTATATCCTCCTGGCAACAAAGTGGGGTATGGTAGCAGGCACTTACACGGGCTTTTAAATCTTCGCCTTAGCAAAGGTAACCAATCATTCAGACGTTACAATTACAACACTATAGAAACTTAAATAGATTAAAATGTGCCTCGATTAGAAACTTTCTCTCATTATAGGTGATTCCAGTTCTCTTAGTCTGTTTTACATATAAAGCAATAGATACTAGGGGTGGCATTGACATTTAGTGAAAACTTTAAACAATAGATAAATCTTGCGCGGAATTTGTAATTGCCGAAAGGACTTTTCTTGCATGGCAAGTACAGCATTTAAGCTAAAGTTGGAATCTGGAGCACTTCTATAAAAGAAGAGGTAACCGCACTTAGAACTACATCACTGCAGCAGACAAGTCACATCATTTCACTATTCTTTTACCAACACTTATCGCAAAGTCCCACCTCTGTCACTATGAAGCTCAACAACATCTTCGCTGTTTCTGCGCTTGTGTCAATAGCACAGGCTGCACCTTCTGAAGTCGAAGGCGCCCAGTTGCGCGCTGTACGTTTTCTCACCCCAAAACATCGAAGAGCTGATCTAACCCTGACTTGCAGCGTGACGTCAACACTTGCAGGGCACCGGGCCAGCACAAGTGTGCAGTCATTGTTTGGGCCAGTCTTGCCACACTTGGCATCCCCGGAAGTACTGTCGGCGGTTCTGGAGTCAACGTTGTTGATGGCAATTGTGGCACCATCATTGCTGCCGGCAAGCTTAAGCGCGACAGTCCTGGCTTTAGTGCCGATTTTACCACTGCTTACGGTCCTCACTTGTACTTTGGCGCAAACAGTATTGGTCTTCGGAACATCGGCGGTGTCAGGTACCAGTACAATGGCAAGAGTTACAAGCAGGAGAATTGCTTCAGCACTGCTGGTACAAGCGGAACTATGGCCGTTGATGCTATTCAGTGTAACTTTGACTGTTAAATAGACTATGGTACTTCAGAAAAGGCAGCAGCTCTACTCTTAGTACTAGTTCATTAGTATATAATGCATCTAGGCAAAGCGGAACATTACCGGTCTTGAAACACGACGTGAAACAAAGGCCTCGCGAACTTGGCGTGGTAAGTCGTAACAAAGTACAATGAGGCAAGCTCGGAATCGATGAACCTGGCAATGGCACGAGGCTTCTTCCGTGCCAAGTTAGTGTTATCTCGCCAAGTCTCGGCTACCTCAGTGGGTTCTGCTCCGTCCAAGCTTAGAAGATTTAGTAAGCGATCTTCTTTAATAGGTTAGAAGGATCGGTTAGCAGTGACCGGACGGTCCCATTTATTACTCCTTTGATTATTCACCACATGGCTTGTGGGTCCGTATCGGGGAAGACTCCTAATTAAAACAATAGCCTCAACCGCTATCCCTCTTCGAGTAGGTATTAATGCACAGTAACAGGCACTGCAATTAGATGAAACAAATACATAAGCAGAGATTGTAGGAACTTGCTAGTATGATTAATGTCTCATCGGATTGTGGCGCCAAGTCCAAACATCAGCCTACTACTTTCGGTGCTTATCTACATTAGTTGAAACATAGAGTTAGCCGACCGTACCTGGGATATGCTCTCAATTTGGAAGGTCCAAAACCACGAGCATAATCTATGTACATCTTATGACCTTCTTTCCACAAGCGGGATTGGCCAATGGATCGGACGCAGCCGTTTGAGATCTGTATCATCCGTAGTGGTCGTGTCTTTGTCACGGCTCCGGTATCTACATAGTTGCAATAGCACGCTAAGGCTGCACGAATTAGATCCATGATGCAACCACTATCATCCGCCACGTTCGAATCAGGGATAGACAATAAGATCTGGAGTATTATATGAACAGCTCCGATCCCAAATGTTACTGACTAGGGAGGGAGATCTTCAATCCCCACAAGTCTCATCTGATCTTCCTCGCAGCATATGTCCTTCCCATGGCATCGACTTCTGAGAATAGAGGGCCAGAGCTCATGGCCGTTATGGTAACATTTTTTACTACGTCATTTATCTCTTGTTTATTGCGGCTTTATGTGAGAGGTTTTATAGTCCGTGCATTGAAACTAGATGACTTGTTTATGACCTTCGCGATGGTACGTTACTGTTAACTGTGACCACGATCCCAGCAGTGCATAGACATTTATTGACTTGGGTCTAGACAACTTTCACCTTGTATTCCGCCTTCTCGATATACGGTATTACACAGGGTACTGGGCAACGCCATCACAATCTGGAGACAGCACAAATAACTAGAGCTATGATGGTAAAAGGTTCATACGCCAAGAAATCGCATATCGCTAACCTTTGTCTGTGTATAGTGCTTTTGGTTCGGCTACATCTGGTATAGCCTAACTATGGTGGCATGCAAGTTATCGATTGGCCTTTTCCTACTGCAGGTAGTCACTCGACAACTACACAGATGGATAATCTATATCACGATGGTCTGCTCGACTATCTCTGGTGCCCTTTTTTTCTTCATTTCTATATTCCAATGCCAACCTATATCCTTTGCCTGGGATAAATATCAACCAGGGAAATGCATTGACCTGAAAGTAGCTATCTCCCTTACGATCTCGTATAGCATCACAGCTGTTTTCACGGATCTCATCTTCGCAGTACTACCAGGGTTTATCATCTGGAAATTGCAGCTTAAAAAGAAGACGAAGTACTTTCTCATCCCACTACTTGCTATGGGATGTCTGTAAGTAGAACATTCCTTCCGAATTTTGTTTCTTATTATTGTACTAATAGTGGGTCTAGTGCGAGTGTCGCTGTTATCGCTCGATTTCCATACTTGGCCTTGTTCAAGAAACCCGACTTCCTTTGTACGTCCATGCCAAGGCTTTCTTTCTTCAAGTGGTCTTAACGCAATTGACTAACTTCTTATCACTAGGGAACACCGTTGATGTTGGAATCTGGTCGGCGATCGAGCAAGGCTTGGCAATAACTGCAACAAGTTTGGCGACCTTGCGACCGTTATTCAAACTAGCAGGGTTTCGTCTTGGCCTTACTAGCAAGCCTTCGTTCAGCCCATCGAGTTATAGATCAACGACACGGACTGCTAGGCACGAGCAAGGGCAAGGCGGCGTCTCGAGTCACGACACTTATAAACTTCCGTCTATCAGTCGTCCGCCAGTAGCTCTAGATAGCTCACAGATTGGGTTGAGGCCAGGATCACTGGAAGATGGGCTGATCATAATTCAGAGGAACACAAGATGGTCCGTCTCGTCTTCGCATCGAATAAAGAGCGAAAGCAAGGAAGAACTACAGTGGGGAGGGCAGTACAATGCCCGATGGTGATTCAATTAAAAGTTTTGAGTGTCTCCAAATGATCTGGGAATAGAATGGAATCACCTCCAATGTTTTGTCATTACCAGACATCTTATTACCAGATGTGTCACTAGCAGACCCTGAGTACAAACGGGTTCTGACAACCATTCATTGAATATCTATTCAAGTTAATGTGCAACAGTCTCTCTTTACTCTATTCACTGTGACTGGATGTGTTCCAAACAATCAACACAGCCCGACTGATAGCAGAAAACCCTTCCTTATTTCGAGGTAGATATCGCTAACCCTCCAATTTAACGTTATCACTACGCACAGCAGTATACATCTATATCTAGTCAACACGTCAGTAGTCGACATGTTACTACGTAAGGATTGACGTATGGTGATCTTGAAGGCCAGGAAGCACGACGGAAAAATTCGCGACTGTTTGTCGAATTCTTAATTACACTTTTACAATCCAGAAGCACATGCCATGTCCCGGCATGCACCATCTTAGAAGTCGACTTTGGTCATGGCAGTACTGCTATTGAGAGGGGAGGAAGGGGTGGAAAGCACAGAAAAGGACAATTTCCTGATGGATGGGGCATGTTTTAAAGCCACATGTAACCTAGGTAAAAGGAATATTGTAGCTGGTCTGGTTAGCTGCCGTGCGCACTGTGGAGTTTCTAAACAAGAGATCTTAGGGAGATTGCACTGATAAGATAGGTTAGACTTGAGTATGCGACCGATTGCATTGTGACTGAGACTACTGGCCACTGGTAAGCGAGTCGGAGGGAGCTGGGAAAAGACAGGTATTGAAGACACTGGGCAATAGGACAAAAGTCTAGCCATGGTTGCCAAGAATCTGACATTTTACTGTACCTACAAGTCATTCGGGGTGGTCAGGATTGGCCGGTGCAGTGATGTCGTCACTGGGGTTCATTGCTCGTAATGCTTCCAGTAGTGACGTGTCGCTGGGTTGCACAAGCAAAATGGTCAGATTAGTGAGCCACCCTCCAAAGTCCCAATTCTACACGCCACAGTCAGCTCCTAAGGGATCTGGCGGCCAGCCAAAACATGCCAAACAAAACACTTGTTCAATATCGAGACCCACTGCATCGCAAAATGAACCTACCCTTGTTCCGCAAGCTGGTACATAAACTTTACCGAATACGTTCGTGTATAATACCTTCATAAGGTGCAGGGTATAAAACAAATCTCTGTTATTTACAAACTGTATTTTAGCGCTGAACTACGATTTAATAATAAGTAAGTAACTAATTGCAATAATAATGCTACGGTCGTGCAATGCGAGAATTCTTGTGTCACCCTTGTCGATTCCCGCTCTGCCCTGCTAAGCTGTGAACTCATCTACGGTAGCCGTTCTGCCTGAAGTTATTCCCTGTTACAAGAAGTCAGAAATGACCGGAGTGAAGATTCTAATCTCCTGGACTTACTCTCTTGTAGATCTAGATTCAACGTAGGAATGTAAAGTTCTCTTGGCTGTGTCTCGAAAGCTGGCCCCGCTACCTCCTCGTCAAGACTTCGCTTTTCAACTGGCATTACTAAGCTTTCTTCCATTCCGATATTACGGAATGCGAGGTCCTAAAAGTCCGCTAATGTCAGTGAAATCTCCAACGCGACTTGTGTCAAACTAACATTGTCTTGAACGTCCACATGTGCGTTGTCATCTTCAAGGACCGTTGGTATTGTAAAGAGGCTGCGGAAGTCTTGGTAGTCTCTTGAACCCCGTGGCATTATGCGCGCAATTTCAATACAGACTTCGTCGATCTGAGCGCGATCCTTGGCCTCGACGACCAGCATTCTGTCGCGAATAAACTTGAGTAGCTCGCTAATGAATTCCGGACAGGTTTCCTCGTTGATTAAACCTTCAATCATCTAGAAATAATCAACAATGCCTTTCTACAATGTTTGAGGATGTGATTACAACTGGGGCCACGTACCTTGTGAACACCTTGTTTAACCTCGGCGTACGGCTCCCTTCCCCTGTCGCTTGTACTTATGTTATAATATTGGTCTGACCAAATGTTTGGATCATCCCTTTCATATTGCCGATCGTTTTTCTCTTTCAGCCGAATATCCTCAAACGTTTCAACGCTCTCCCATCCTTGAAGATACCAAACACAGAACTCTAGGAACACGCAACCTAGGGACCATATATCATACCTTTGGGAGATGCTGCGATACATGTCAACCTCAGGAGCGCGATAAGTGGTTGTGCAGCCGTCTATGCGTGACACAAGAGAGTTTGTCAACTGCGAATGATATCGAGTTAGCCCCAAGTCAGAGAGGACAAGAAGATTGTGGTCGTCTTCGCGTTGTTCGAACCACAGTATGTTGTTCGGCTTGATATCGCCATGTCGGCCTCGAGTCTTTTCGTTGTCCATCCCATTCCTCTGTAACGATGATTGAGCCTCTAGTTGCCAAGTTAACAGTCCATGGATACGTTTTACTGCTCGAGCCAGACCCTGACATTGTAGGGCGATCCAGTAAGTGATGTGTGCTGTCACTTGTATGTCCGGATGGTCTTCCCAGAACTCCGCAAGGTTACTGGTTGCCCATTCAAAGAGAAGATAAAATCGGTCACTGTGTTGGAAAGTAAGATGCAATTTAATGAGATGTTTCTCGGACTGGATCTGGCTGTTCTTTTGCAAAGCTTCAAGCTCTTGTCGGAAACGATCGACGTTCTGGGACGGGAGCTCTTTTAGGGCAAAATACAGGCTTTCATCTGCTCCCTGAATCGGGTTAATAATTTTGATGTTGACGTTTCTTTCTGGGTCTTACTGTAGAGCTTTTGAAGTTGTGGTGACTTGGATGTATTTGAACTCTGTGCACTGTCCCTTCGCCCCCCTCCGTTTTGCGTTCATATTTTCGCCAAGGAAGTGTAACTTTGCGGTCGAATGAATAATAACAGACATTGATATCTTGAAAATCGAAATATGGAACCATAAAAATCTGCTGATATTGGTAGAACAAGCAGAAGTCATTTCGCTCCCAGTCCTGAAACAGAGTAGTGTTTTGTCTCGCCTCTGTTTGTCGAGACGCCGCTGAATTCCTCTCAAATTGCGTCGTGAAATGTGTAGCATCCGATGCTGATTCTTTGAAAGGTAAATCCTCATCGCAAAGAGATTCTCGTACAAAGTCCTGCATCAGAGAAATCCTGTTCATGGCCACTAATATTCCATAAAGCTTTCGACGTCGATCTTTTCCCTCAACTCCCATGATCTCATCGACCTTACGAACTTGGAACTCAGGCTTAGCCTTGGGGAAACTAGCCTTGACGAGACCGATGAGTGAGTCCATATCGAAGAGCTGTTCAAACGTATCGCGGGGGAGGTATTCACTATTATCTAGTGCATTCCTTGAGAACCTTTTGAAGAGCCTGCTCCGGAAGATATCAATGGAAAGGGATTGAGCGCTTTTGACGGTCCAAACACGGCTAGACAAGTCTTTGTTTCCCCAAACCCTGTTGAAAGAACCCTCGAAAGGGTTTGGGGTTGCGCTGCGACCCAAGTCTGTGACAGGGGTAACAGTCTCACTCAAATCTGATTCGGACGGTTTCAGTCTGCCGTCACAGTGTACATCACACTCATCAACTGCAGGTAACGCTAAAGTGCCGTGACGCCATGATGTAATGGCTGGAGCTTTGTCGGTCATGGTGCCTTCTGAAGCAATATCTACTTTAGATAAGCCTCGCAACTTGGGAAGGGTTGAAATCTTTCTGAGTAGTATGGTGGACTGCTAAAAGAGAGAAATATAATGGTCGCCGAGCGACTTGCAAATAAACGCAGGGCAATTGAAGATGGAAAGTTATATTGATTTAGATCTCTTAACAGCGGCCGGGGGGGACGTCGAACGCTGGCTCCGAGCCTTATGGCTGACTTTCAACCAATATTGGGTGCATCGCCCACATTCGACAGCAACTTGCACATCTAGCAACCTTTGCAACGACCAGCGCAGCTTGAGCGCTAAGAGCCCGATGCCAGGCCTCTGCACTTTGGTGCATATGCCATATCTATCGTTACTGCGAAGTAAGTACAATCATTCACATCCATACCCAGCCATTCTTTCGGATCATATATTTCTACCCCGAGATCTAGAAAGGACAACAGATGAAATTACAATAAAATTTGTGGATCATGTCGCACTTAAATCACAATTCCAGTGCATGTGTCACACTTGTCGCAGCAGGGACCATGTCAGCACCAATCAACGGACGGCAATATGCGCCTAATAATAGCGAGGCAGACACAGCAAGACCTGGCTACCGTATTGGCTTCCTGGATGGTTGGGAGCAGGGCCAGCAAAGCAGGGAGGTTGAAAATAAGCCACGCATGATGACTTCGGTGTCAGCGAGGCCGGTCAGGACGCGGATAGCAATAGTGGCGTTGCCACGAAAGTTATGTCTCGCCTCATGACGCATCCAAAGTGCAAATGAGAGTTCCAGTGTAGATCATATGAGTCCAATTTGGTAAAACCTGCATAGCTGTCACTTCTTGGTGTCAGTGACAAGCGACCCGCCTGCGTATTGAACTTGGTGGATGGCCCCTTTTTCAATTTTGGGTTGGCTCTGACTCGACCCGTAAGCCTGATGGTGTAACGTAAGACTATCGACTCAGCTGGTTTCAACCGGGGAGAAAGCCTGATCGGCTTTGTGGGTTTTTGTTTTTTTTTCTTTTTGCTGATAAATATTCTTTCCCCACCAGCAACTTATGAGTCCTCAAACCTCACACCGCCAAATCGTCCGATATTGAGTTTAATATGGCAGCATCTCAATTTGTACACATCAGAAAAGATGAGAACTTTGAAGTGCTTGCCGAACACCCAGATCGCATCAATCCAGGAGCGCTCTCCAGCAAACTATCGTCCTTGGTGGGCAGGAACAACTTCAAGGTATCACTGAGAAGAAACATATATGTCATCTATATTTACCGTCGAACTCATGATGACTATTATGTGAGTTGGCTCTGATCTATACGCTGTTGGCAAACCTCTAACGAAAGTACATAGGCATTCAAGACGGGCTCCGACGACGATAGTTATGACGAGACGAGCGCTGCGGAATTGCTTGATTTCAAACAACGCCTCAAAGACTTCAAGCTCGCAAAAGAAAAATTAAGGGAGGCACGGCTATCCCGATTTTAAGGGCAACGAATCTAGGCTACGAGTATCACAGCATCTCACGGAGGGAAATGGGGGGACGTGAAGAGAGAATGCCTATGAAGCAATGCGAATACTTGGACTAGATTGATTAAGCTGTATGGTGCGATCGTTCTACTACGGTTTTTGATATTTAGTTTCATCTTAATTAATATGGTACAACGTGAAGTACAACGATTTATCGCTTGAGAATCATAGAAAGTTGAGATAGTTGACGTTTAAGGATTTCAACTCTTAAAGGGACATCTGATCGTTCGAACGGTGTTGGCTATTCTCGTACTTTATTCAACATTGACCCAGGATCCAGTATCTGCCACCTGAGTTGGACTTAAGGATGCAACTCCAACTCTCTTGTAAACTTCTCTCTTTGCAAAACCTCTACCTTTACTAATGACCAGAACATGGTATTTGGGGTCCTCGAGGATATATTTGGCCTTGTCATGCCCGATAATGACGCATCTGATGTCTTCGACTTTGTAGTCAGTATCATCATCAAAGACTGTATATGCCATCATTTCTGCCTTTGTCACGTCCATCCTCTTTGCGATTCCGTGAAGCACTGAGCCACATTCAGGGAATCGTAAACTTGATCCTCTGACAGTGCTCGGACACTTCGGGTTGGAGAAGACGTTCCTAAACTCGCTGGTCATCCAGTCGATGCGTTTGAACTTTAAGTCCATATATCTGATAGTTCCCTCTCTCGAGAACCAAGACCAACTGGGAACGCTTCGACCTTGTGGTTGCTTGATCCTTGGTAGCCCCAGCGCCTGATCACGCCTCCATAGAAGACCACGAGCAAAGTAGACCTCAAAGAAGCCATACGCAGCTTTTGTCCCAAAGGATTGTGCTAGACGCTCCTGTAAACCTAGAATAGCAACCGCTCGGTCTGAAGGCATGGTAAACGCAAGGCCTGAGTATCGCTCGTACAGGTCCTGAATCAGCATCTGCCTCCCATCTCGATAATACTCTAAAGCTGACTTTGGAAAGTTGGCATCTCCAAGAAAGGCAGCCTTATAGCTATAGCAAAGTTATTAGCAGACGAAACAAGGAGACAATGATGACTAACTTCCGAAGGCGGCCCAGTGTTTCGCAGTGTACTCCGGCACCGCACTCCCAATAGACTTGAGTGGAGGTAAAGAATATGGAACGTCGAGCTAGGACCCTTTCTTGAAGCACCCATCCACGCTTGTTGAGTTCCCCAAGTTCGACATCGCGTTGAAAGTCATCGATAAAAGGGCAGACATATAGTAACCCTGCATCTTGCGTCCCAACTTGCACACATTCCCGACCGGGACGGTAGCCAAGAAATCCATCCAGTGATGATTTAGCTGAGCTGGCACCAATGACGAAATATGCAAGACTGAATACTTGCTCCATTCTCGCAGCCTCTATTTCCCAGTCGATGCGGTCATCTTGAATGATGCAAACCGAATCAATCCAAAGATATTTCATACCCAGCCCGATGGTAATAGTAACGGCGTCTTGAAAGTTCTTCGGCAGCCGATGATAGTCGATACCGGCTTTAAGTTGCTCAATATTGTTCAATGCAGTACAAAACTTTTCCTCCTCGCTTAATTCTCCCCAACAATGGCTTAAAGCCGCGTAATTGTCAGGTTCAATAGCTACAGTTTCCACAAGCCGAAGGGTATTCTCAACACAGATCAATCGTGTTGGCATGATATTAGCCTGCCTTTCAGAAGTTGGCTGACACATAGTGTGTTTCGAATCGCAATTTCTTATCCATTCTTTTATCAAGAGAAGTTGATCAGAGCTGCCAGGGCTGAAGAGTTTAGGGAGACCGAGTTGAGCCCCTTCAGGAACGATAGGACCTGAATATTATACATCAATGCTATCTTATTGGTCAATGCCTTATGACTTACTTGGAGCGCTGTATATTGATAGCAGCTTCGGACCATCTTTAATACCAATCGTAGTATTGACGTTTCGTAGCTCTAGGATGCCAGACTGCTTGACTTGCTGCTGTTCCAACACCCTCAGCAGTAGGCCACATATATCACAGTCAGGCTGTAGTGTTGAGACATCGCAGGATGACGGAAATAACTGAGTTGTTTGGATGTTATTGCAGTTGGAACATAGCTTGTTTCGTCCGTCGATTGTATTTGGTTTGATTCGACCCCATCCAATCAGGTCTAGGAAATCCTTTGCAAAATCATCATCTGGAAACGCCTCCCAATTGTCATTAAGCTTACTAGATTGCTGTATCCGATCAGCAAATGAGTATCCATCTTCAAGAGGGATCAGACTCACTAGCTGCCATACATTAATCAGTCGCTCGTGAAAAAGCCACAGTCAACTAACCAGCTGCTCAACACGTGTTACCAGCCTGCCATAATAGTTATAGGACAAGGATCTAGCGTACATCCTACAGATGTAAAACCCGTTAATCAGTACCGTTAACCCTAGGAATGAGAGAACTTGATGAACCAACATACTAGAAGTTAACTGTAGTTAGTAACATGTATGAACCAGTCAACTGAACATTTCACTTACTTGTTCCTGATCACCCGGTGTGTCAACTCGCAGAGAGTTAGTCGAGACCTGAGGCGAAGACATAGTTGCCTGTCGCTCGAGTCTCACGTTGTCAAATTGGAGGTCCTGTTGGTTAGCAGGGGGCGCAGTAGGCCTCTCACTCTGTTCCTGTACTGCCAAAGCTCCGTCTCTCATGTGGAGTACCGGCCTACCGTCTCTGCGGGTCCCGGTCAAGCAACCTGGGAGCGGCATCTTCCCCTTGAAAGTCACAAGATACTGATCTTCATTATTGCATTTCGTTAGTATCCCGTCCATCTTTTCATGGACCTTCTCGGCAGTCAATCTTTGTCCACATGAGCCTCGCCCTTCGACAACTAGGAGCTCGTGTCGTACAAGGGCTAAGAGCTCCGCGTGAGCCTGATGTCCCCGAAATTCTGTCTCCAAGGCCTCGATGCACTCTCGGACGATTTCGTGAATGACATAGATACCGCTGTCAATTTGCCAAAAGAAGTCCGTGCGCATTCCAAAGGCTACCACGGCGTTGTTGCCATAGGTAAGCCAGATCAGCAGCTCCAGCAGTATACACCCCATAGACCAGATATCATACGATCTTGATCGAGGTTGGCTACTGTATCGAAACTCGTTGGTTTCTGGCGGCTCGTAACGTTTGGTTCCTGAAGGAGTCATAGTTTGAATGGCATCCCGTTGTCGGATCTCGGTATTCTTGTCTTTGTGGAATGCGGCAAGACCCAGGTCAGCAATCTGTAGTTCTTCCTTGTTTTTGTCCTCTTTGAACTCTTTGAACCAAAGGATATTGTCGGGCTTTAGGTCCCCATGCCGGCAATTGATGTCGTGGAGATCTTTTAGAGCTCGGCAAATTCCAGTGAACTGACCTATGATCCATAGTGCACAGTCCCTGTCAGACCGCGCCCGATCCTTGTCATCCCAATATTTCGAGAGACTACCTCCAGACGCCCATGGAAAGACTATGCAATGCTCATTGTTACGCTGGTAGGCGGCAATGGGTTTAATCAAGTTGTCCCATTTGTGGTCTCTCAGTTGAAAAAGGTTCTCAGTTTCTTTGGCGAAGAAGTCTCGGAGCTCATCTGGCTTTAAGGCTTTCTTGATAGCAACAGACACTGGGCCTCTTTGATCCTGGAATAAGTCAGTTAAAATATGAGATTGAAGCGCGGGCGGATGCTCACGTTAACCAAGATTGGAATATGCTTTGGATGTACCGTGTAGTGCGACACCTCTCCGAAAAAGCCACTGCTAGCGGGCTTTGGAGGTTTCTCCATGTATGGCAAGATTGTAGAATGGTGGAAAGAGAACCTAAACTGTCGTCCGTCGAATTCGGGCGCCATGAGCTGCCACTGATAGACCTCGAACAGCTGCGTGCACTGGCGCCCCCATTCATCCTCAGTCAGTGAGACGAGCGACTGTGACAAATCGGACGCGGTGTCTTCAGGTGGCTGCGACGTTTTGATCGAGTAGGCATGCCATTTACCGTCCCTTTCGGTCCATTCAACCGGTAATGTGGCATCTATCAAGCCGCCATTATGTAGCTGCTCAATCAAAGAGACCTTTTCGCTGTCTTTGGCTGACATAAGCATCAAAATGAGGAAGGTCCTTGGTGCGTTTTTAGAAACTTTATCGGCGATGTCAATTGCCTTCTTGACCTTTGCGGCCTCGAGAGCTTTCTTCACTTTCGAGCGTTCAGCCAATTGTGTTACGAGGTGGCAAGGGACAAATCGAGACCCGTCACAATTGACTACCATGTGTTTGGTGATGCCGTTTCCCTCATTAGAAAGGTATCCATAGTCGGGCCGTTTCGGCCTTCTCCAGGGGCGGGGGCACATGTTAAAAATCCAATCTAACATTGGTAGGAAGTGTGTTATAATTGGCTGAAGCGGTGATAGGGAAGTTGGACTTTTCAAATGAGAAAGGTTGAAAGAAATGTGCCGAAGAATGAAGCGAAGTTGAGTTGTGCGTAATCATACGACAGGGCAAAGCGTGAATGAAGTGTTCGCTTTTTGCATCCTTGACTAGAATAACCAGTTGTAGGAAGTTGGGGGGAGGGTATGTATTTAAACAACTGCGCAATTGCGCAAAGAAGCAGCCACGCTTTCTACCTACAGCGCCGGGGGCTTTGTGATTTACTGCACTGGAAATAATATACCTTGCACCTACTGTCACTTTCAACCTGTTTAGCGGCATCATAACTGGAACAGTCTCTTCATGTTGCGCCCACCGGATCCAAATCATCGAGGTATTAGGCTGGGTCGAGGCTCCCTCTTCTGAATGGGCTGACATGGCAGCGACAGGAAGGGAATTGTGGATAGCATACTCATACAGTCTCTACGGTCAGACAGGGCACGCTTCCCACTACTCGCCAGGCAGCACCGGGGTACGTACATAACAAGGCTCTCTTCAAGCCCGATGACATAGCCCTGTCATCCGCTCATTCAAATGTGCTGTCAGCTGCATATTTCAAGCTGTTATGTGGGCGATGGATGACGGATGGGACACATTTTTCTCAGGGGGAACATACAGGGTACCTAGGCATCCTTGTTGTGAATCACGATTGCTTGCTTGGGAAGTCCCCGGTGGAGGTCGGTTGTGCTTTTAGAAGACATTTAAGCTTATAACAAGCCCGGAAACAGGATCCTGCATAGCAAAACGGTGCACCACGTCACCACGTCAATTGTTAGTCATCACAGCCATGAGCAAAGCAAAAAGTCCGGAGATTGAGACAGACCAAGAACGAGATAAGCTTCTGGAAGGTCTCTCGTCACTCCCTTACCATGAGCGATTGACCAGGTTTCTCCGTGGCTCCACGCGACACTGGGTCACTGGCGGAGTCAATGTTGTCGACTTCCGGCCCCTTTATTCGGTTACAATCCATCATCTCCAGCGCCAGATGGCGGAAGAAATCCATGATCTGACAGACAATGAAGTTACAGATCAGCAATTGGTCAGAATCAGAGACATTCTCCACCACTACAGTCTGTTCATCCCTGTCATCACCGACTCCGCGCCCACTTACTGACCTGTTGCAGCCAATGCCCTACGAAATTTCGAGTTTATTCATGCAAACCGGTGGAACACTTTCTTTGTCAAAGACATCGCAGCATCAAGGATGGATGATGGGCCTGGATCCAAACTTCATGCAGCTCTGATGTCCGAGCTCGACCTTGCCGCCGGTGACTCGCACTGCAGTATCTACCAAGACGCAGATCTTCTCGGCTCGTTTAATCCCAAACTAATGCAGCACAGCACCGCCATCGGGCGAAGTCTAGGTACAGGTTTAGCACAGACATTTTCAAGCCAAGAGCGGCGGCTGAAGGCGCGGAGGGCCTCAAAACGATTTGGCTTTGCTGTTATTGGTGGCCTGATCATTGTAGTGCCCATGCTTATCTTGGCAGCGGGCACTGCAAATGTCAAGATGCAGGCTGTGATTTCAGCTTCAATATTCGTCTTCGCAGGAGGGGTCGCACTGTTTTCAACGACAGAGCCTGAAAATCTACTTGTTGTTACTGCGGCTTACGCAGCTGTCTTGGTAGCATTTATAGCGGATAAATGATGCGGTCTTATGTGTCTCGGTCTTCCCAAACATAAGTCGCAGGTATCAATGCCTTCCTGCTACTATGAGAATGGGCCTGCTCACCTACGAATAAGAGACTCTCATTGGGATTGAAGTAGTTCCTTTTAAGGTACAGACCTGCAATTATTTAATGTATGCTGGTTCTTGTCAGCAAATGCGGCGTTCTCATCCGTCAGAAAGCAGCTACGTGGCTGAACTGCTCGTTTGATTAGAATAGTGAACTTTCTGTCTTAAGCCAGCAAGAAGAAACAAAACTACCTGAAACCTCTTCTCTTTGATTGATTGGGTGAACAGAGCTGCGGAGAATAAAAACGGTATGTTGTTTAGTTTGGAGTCTTGGACCAAGACCACTGCAGCTCCACATTGTGGCGTAAAGCGCCGGAGCCGCTTTTAAGATAATCCAGTTTCGATCTTCCTCCATTAGGATAGGTGGGACCCGTATTCAACATCACGTATCTTTCTTATCGCTTATCGGATAAGCGATAGTAGTCCGCCCCGCTCTTTTGAAGTAAGATTCAAATTCCGCAACTTCCCCTTTATAGAGAGATCGGAATAGGGTAAGCTGCAAAGAACTGATCTACATCAAAGTCATGAACCGTATTTCAGCTACTACCAATGTAGATTCTGTTCTAGTAAACAGAGTTACTGAAATCTTACAAACTATATGTGCCTGTCTGAAAAAAAGTTATTATTATCGCTGGAAGAGGCTACAATTGCAACTTTCACTGACTTCATTCTAAACCAGCAACTACGATAATGCTGTGCGCCTCGAACAACGCATTGGACGAAGACAAGCAGGAATCTTTTCAACTGTTGTGCCGAGATAAGGGGTCATGTGATATCCAATGAAGAGGATATTATCAATATAGGTACAAAAGGGCTTACGGGTTCCATCAGGCCATTTCTGAATGGACCCAATCATGGGGCTATGCGCAAAGATAAGCGAAGATAGAGTAACATTTTCTCGTGTAATCATAACAAGCATTTCTAGTTGAATACAAGCACGCCGTCGTTGTTGGTAATGCGGTCATCGAGGTTAATCCCTTGTCGCTCCCTGTATCCTCCATCGCGCTTGGGCAGCTCTGCTGTCAGGGTAGTACCCTCAAGTCTAGCATCCTGAGCTGAGTGCGACCAGTCTATCATCGAATCAGATCAGTCAAAGGCATTATCTGAACAAGAGGCGTTAAAACGTACCTGCGCCATCCCACATGAACCAACCGTCCTGGTTTCCAATAAATTGGTCAAGGTCGATCTCGGATTCGCAGGGCTCGCCTTCCCTGTTTCTAACTACAGCCTTGAGGATGTGTCCATCGTGGAGATGGTAGCTTTCGGCAGATGCAGAGAAGGACATGATTGAGTTCTGTTTGACTGAGGAGAAGCCGATAGTGTTAAAGGTTATATGGAAATGTTAAGTTGTAATTGTCCTTGGCGAGAAGGAAACAAGCATTATATATACGATTAGAATGGGCCACATTGGGGGCTCTCCATTGAGCTAAGGTGGTAAAGTGGTTCCATCATCTATAAAAACGTCTTACCGCAATTTGGGGCCAATTGCAATACGCCACGCTCTGGCGGTGTCTCCATAGACGGTGATGGTCCCTGCGTCTTACATTGTAATAAGCCGTTTAGTAGCCGCAGTAACCGGTATTTCAATATTGGGAACATAATTATATCAAAAGGCTATCTGTGTTGAAGCAATAACTGAACATATCAACATGGACGCTCCTTGATGTGGAGTCAAGCCGTCCTACCTTTTCCCCACGTAGTGACCCTAACGAGAATAAGAAGAGTAATACAAAACAAGGACTCACCCCACAAAGCCATCCTCACGTAGCTGCGCAATTTTGCTGTCGGATAGTGCAGGCTTTCCGTTGGCCTTCAGCTGTTTTTGGAGCTCATCCTCCGTAACCCGGAGGACTCCTGCACCAAGACTGTGATACGTACCATCTGACAGCTCAATGAATGACTCGACGTCTGGACCTCCAATTTCCTCACACTCTTTGGCTTCCCATTTCGTTCCAGTGATATCTACGCCAACGGGAGGGCCACCAGAGCGGGCAGCGGCTGCCTGCTCCTCCGGGCTCAATTGCAGGAATGCTCGTTGAGCGGCCGCTGGATCCCGCCTGAGACTTTTCTCAGTCGCTTTGTTCTCTTTGCTCGCCATTTGGGAACGAATAGGTTTGTAACGTTTGTAACCGACTCAACCAGTAATAAATTCGACCTTTGAAGAGAAGGAGTGATTCTCCAGAGACTTCGAAGAATAGACACTGTTACCACAGATTGCGCGACCTTGTCTTTGTCAGTATGCCGTCCATTATTGATGGTACCAACAACCTAGATGCTACGAACGTAGACCATAGGCCTAGCACTTCTCGGTTTCTGGGACACAGAAAGCTTGATATCTTCCTGTCCAGTTGAAGTCGTACTAATAAAATGCATGAATTGATGATTGACCTTCAAAAACCTTAGATAGAAGCTGTAGTAAGGTTTGCCCCTGGAGTGGGTTCAAAAAGAAAGAAGGCAATGAAGAGTTTGACCTGGAAGAGTAGAGTCGTGGTGGCTGCGAGGTATAAATAGGTGCGAAAGTAGCTGTAGGTATGGCCTAATCTCGGTAAAATTGTGACGTAACAAGATGAAGTAGGGATTGACGGGTGGTCTGAGGTATCTTTGATGGTGTGCATCTGGTATGAGGTAACCTTGTCCTCTGTCCTAACACTCCCCTGTTCAAGTAATCGAAGCGGAACAGTTTAATCCAACAAAGACTTTCAATAATTATTATCACCTATGGTAAATAACTGATTCAAAATGGTCTCAGAGTCTGAAGCCTTCGGCTTATTTCTTTCTCCATCAACTGTGTGCGTCTTCCTGTGCCACATGCTTTTAGCCTATAACCCTACTGGTCTCGGCCCATCAAATGGATTGATCACTAGACTATCAAAACCTATCAGAGACTACTCTGCTACAGCGACTATGAACATCACAGTTGCTCTGGGTCCAGCTGCATTCCGGCCCCGTGAACAGTTGCTACCCACAACCCAGTCTAGACTTTACGAACGTTCTTCCGGCTGACCGGAGTGGATTGTTCTTGTCTTCCTTTAACCAGACTATCAACAAACCTGGATTAAGCTTCCCATGTATTTTCTCGCGATTTAACATCGTGAGATTCCATTTGAGTATTTAAATTAGTCACATCGTCACATGTTGAGACCGAGAAGAATGGGCATTTCTATACCTACCATATGTTGACCATTAATCCATGCTATATCATCAAGGTTCTATAAACAGGACCAACAAATAACGCATATCCAATTAACTAAGCTATCAACAAGCACTGCCACACGCCCTTCTATATGTCTCTTAATTACAATACTCTTTTGTAGGACTCAAAGGGATTTCTTTTTAAAGTTGAAACACTGCCATGTATAATAAATTGGCAGGATATAAGAAGTAGAGACTATCTGTGATAATTGTATTGCTTAATCTTTAAGCTGAGGCTACTCTGTATTAGATGGTTTAACACTGTGGTTACTGCTTGTCCAGGGTTCCAGTCCCACTAACACCTACGTATCCACCTAACGATCCGAGATGTGCCGGACATCCGAAGTAACAAGGGTCTCCGTGTCAAAGACCGAGCTGTTGGTCGAAATAAAGTTTTGTGGTTCTGGCAATGTGTGTTGGTTTTGACAATATGGCGCGATTGTGACCTTGCGTCAATTAACCGAAGCCGACAAGTTCTATCTCGAGCGGATAAACGGCACATCTGCCTTCGAATACCCTCGTTGTAATTTCACAACAACCAACATTTGCTTCTCTTCAACATCGTGAGATTTCAATCAACCTAGAGCAGACACCTATAAAAATAAGAAGAAATTCCTCCAAAAGTCGACATTACTTCTCATCGCAATGACTTCCACTGTTCAGTCCGAAACACCTTTCCTCGACAGCTTCATCCAGGCATCATCCGGATACCTTATTCCCGTCGCTTGTTTGGCAGCCAACCTCGGTGCCTATCTTAATAAAGATGAAACCAAGCCTTATGATATTCTTGGTCTCAACGTCCTTGCCAACCTTTTCCTCCTCTATACCTACTTCCGAGGCGATCGAGCCGCTCCTCATGGCGGGCGCAGCGATGCCAAACGCGGTGGCGCTGTATCATCTTGAAGACTTCGAGCCTCAAGACTCCGCCCTTGAGAAGCGGAGGAACGTCAGGGTTAGTACCTGCCATCCGAATATTGTGCGAGACTGACAATTTCAAAGGTTTGTGAGAGAATCCTGGCTGCCAGTGCGTCGTGCGTTGTAGTTGGAGATTTTATTAAGGTAAGAAATCCTCCTATCAGATAGAAACAGTATACTAACATCCAGCCAAGAGAGCGGCTATACAATTTAGTAAGTAAAACTGCTCTGTTGCTTTCTTTCTTTTCTTTCTTGTTTCTTTTTTTACATAAGCATGGCTAATACGTCAGTTAGGCTCTGTTGTTAAACATGCTTCCAACGTGCAGACTTGTTCTACTTTTACTGGATATGCTGGTCCAGACCGTGAAATCTTGTACCGATATCGTGTACGTAATAGACGTCTTACTTTACCATTAAGAGGGCACTGACAAGTATAGTCAACTGGTAGGAATTGCGACACAACCGCCGAACAGGAGACTATCGCTGGCGCGATCGAGCATCACATCAAGAAACACGGGTCGAAGCTTTGCGGTACGGAATGTTTGGACCTAAGCCATGGCGGAACTTGGAACGGGTACCTTGCCATTGGGCCGGCTAAGTCATTTGATCACAAGGCGTACTTTGGACCAGAGCTGAATTTTGGAAGCTGTGACTCCGGAGGCAAAGGCGACCTTCATTAAGTTCTTCGTAGGTATCAGCGCCGAACTGAAACAACCTGAGATATTCCCATAAGCCCATGATGTAGTTGGTTATGTTGTATATTCATTTTGGGCTTCAGGCCGTCTGTACTAGAGCCTACACCAAACCAAGTAGCTATGTTCATATGAGCAGCCAACGACTTTGAACGAACGTGGCTCTTTACTAGATTATCAAGCCCTTTCCAAATCTGATAGGTACCCTTATCTTACTATCATACATTACAACCTGTCTTCCCCTAGATGCTTCTTGCCGCCGAGTAACACTTCCACCTATATTCCATCGCCACAAAGCTATTTTGACATGATTCGTGTATCGTTAGTAATAGTCTCAATACTAGTAGCCTTCTTAACAGTACTGACTAGCTTCTCGACTGTCAGATACAATTTCGTCTATTAATTAGTCCTATAACGAACCTCACAGCTGTCTAGCTCTGGCCGCATGGAATCATCACATATCTCTTGCGGAAGAACTGCAGGGACTGACGTAGATTCCGCGGTCTGCTCCATCTCAGGTCTTGCTATTTCGTCGACTTGCCTGAGCGTAGGAATTACGTCGGGCGCTCTACTACGACGTCGCTCGAGGAGCAACATAGCGGTAGCAATGAGAATCGCTAAACCTACAACTGGGAGAATGACAGGAAGAATAATCGTGGCATCTTTGGATAAGTCGGAGCTTGTGTCCTTTCCGTCATTGGTGGAGGCCGTGACTGTTGCGGTATGATGATATGTGTCTTCGGCGTTACGTCACAGCCCCAAGAGGTCACCTTGGAGTTGTCGTCAGAGGCGGTTTGATAGATGAAGGGCACGCATAGCAACGAGGATCCATAGATGCTAAAGTAGTTGTCAATGTTGGATATCACACTTGGTCGGAGTCCACCATTTCATAATTGGATAGTAAGGGCAGAGTCAAATCGGGATAGGCCGGTATTTCTACTTCAAGAGCTCCGATTGTCAATGATACGGAAAGGCATTCGAGGGCATACACGAGCCAGTATGACCGGATCTGCGAGTGATTTCGAGAAGAGGATGGACCTTTGTACGAGAAAAGTCGATGAGTCTCTAGTCTTGAGGCAGTGCCTACCGTCATCCACGCACGATTGAGCTTCCCAGCTGTACGACGCGTCAGTATCGCACATGATTAGTGGAACCTTCCATACCTTTCAGATGCTTCAAAGTTATGAGACACAAAGCTTGTATGAGCTCTGTAGCAGGCACTCTCTTGGACGCCATTTCCATGACAGTCTGCTCCGCCTTTTTGAGTAGAACTCAGCAGCGGTCGATTCCTGGCTGTGGAAATAGTCATGGGTAGAAAACTGTAACATGAGTGACATAAAATTCCAAAGAAGATATTGGGAGCCATTGTTTATTTTCAAAGCAATATCTGGTTCAGCGAATTCTGGCAGTGGCTGGAGGTGGATCGTCTTCTTATAGACATCGACGGAGTGGTTGATGACAGGCAAGCCTGGATCGGGTCTTCATAAGCCTGGCATTAGCATAAGGTCCATTTTAATTCGTTTGAGAATAGAAAAGAAGACATTACTTTGTGGTAGAAAATATGTCGGAGGTCTGCTGTATAGACGCAGAGTCCAGAGTCTTCAGCGCGATGGATTCCGGACCTGGAAAGGTAAAGGGTGCTATGTCCCGTAAGGGCTGATCTGATCGTCTGGAATTCTCGGATTCTATTATGTGATCACTATGGTGATTGCTAGAGTCGGTTCCTGGTCTCTGTTGGATGGCCTCTGAAGCTGTCATGCGACTATGTCCGGTAGGTCAGTTCACACCGATGTCGAAGGTAATGTCAGCGTAACTTACGTCAGACGTCGTCGTAGACTTCTAGTGTCTGACTTGGGCTGGCCTCTTGGTAGATAATGGCATTGATCTCCAAGCCGTTTACAATAAGAGCAAATGGACCTCTCAGCTGTACATTTTGTTTTCTTACGTCTGCATCATGTTAGACATCTGAGCGTAAATTGAAAGGGAGTTGAAATGACCTGCATGGCTCACAAGCGTGGCGGGTGAGAGGCTTTGTAGTTGAGCTCTGAGGAGGCATGCTAGATATTAGTGTAGATGTTTTAGGTGATGGGGCGATGTGATAAAGTTAGTTTGATAGAGGGCTAGCGGTCGGGGCGGAATAAAATAACCCCATATTTCCTTTGAGTAGCCGGGGCCATGTTCCTCGATCATGACATTTGTTGATGAGCTAAAGATGTCCAAAGAACGCTAACCTCTTCACAAAAAGCCCAAACGATTCCCCTGATAATGAACGTAGCGGTAATGAATCTAGCAATGATATGTGTGACGCATTGTTTGGCCTCTCAGTTATACCTCCTTCTCCATTCCACGCAATAGCCTCTCCGTCTTCTTCCATCGGTCTGGCTTGAAAAGGTCTGGGCTATGATCCTCCTTCCCCTTCTCAATGGCATAATCCAACGCTGTTTTCCCATGTTTATCACAGATATCCAGTGGTATCCCCACTTCTTCGTAAAGAAAACGCAACACTTCCTCAGTCAGAGACCCTTTTATAGAAGCATGATGGAGAACGGTTCGACGTCGCTCATCACTAGACGTCAAGCTTACGCCTCGTTTCATTAGAGTCCGAAGTACTCTGTCTGAAACTCGGTGCGATCTGGCTACCAGATGTCCCAAGTTCAATCCTCCTGCTGTGGTAAAGCTCGGGTCTGCTCCATTTTTGAACAAAAGATCCAATATTTCTGGGTCATTCTGGTGCTTACAGAGTGCAAACGCGCTCAGAAATACGGCCATTGGATTCTTCCCTGCTCGATCGAAATCATTGATGCCACCGACCCTTTTCAGCAGATAGCTGACGAAATCAACATTAACAAAACCGTGGTCCAATAAGTGATGTAGTAGATTCTGACCAGAATTGTCTTTCGACTCCAAGACCCTTTGCGATAAAGAGATTGGAATGCGATTTAGGATTTCTTCGAATATTGGCAAGTGACGTTTCTTTGCCGCATAATGCAAAGCGTTGAGTCCATCAATATCTCTTTCTGTCGGATCTGCACCAAGTTCGAGTAGCTTGGAAACAAAATCACCATTCCGGCTTGCAACGGCGAACTGTAGCGGTGTCTTGTTCTTCTCTGTACGCAGTGAGATTCTGGCACCTTTGTTGATGAGCTTTTCGGCGACAGACTCAAATGAGTACTCCTTCTGCGCCGCGATGTGAAATGGAGAGATTCCGAAATCATCTTGTGCGTTGACGTCTACGTCTGGGCTATCCAGAAGGAGGTCAATGATCGCCAACCTCGTTTCTCGTATCCATTCATGGCTTGAGGCAAATTCGTCTTCGTCTTCATCATCATTCAAGCCGATGTAGTCAAGGATGCATTCCACACGATTTTCCGGTTCGTTCCAGAAGTCCACTATGCCAGGCCACTGCGGTCCATATGCACTCAGCTTCAGTGCCAGGTGCAGCGGCGTCTCACCACTCTCCGAGCGAAAGTTTGGATTGGCGCCATGATCCAAAAAGAACTTTGTCATCCGCTGACTACCAGTCAACGCAGCAAGATGCAAAGCTGTCAAACCTGCCTTTGTGGTGGGTAAGTCTAGAGTAAGACCCATGTCACTATCCTTCAGTGTATATACCACTTTTCCGTCTTGAAACTTCGGTATATATGTGCGTCTGGTCACTGGTGTATCTATCGGTATGCCAGCGTTGATGAAGGTCTTGGCAATATATTCACCGTCAGCCCTGGCATTGACTGTGTAGTGCAAAGGAGTCATGTTATCGATGTCCGGTTCCAGACTCGCTCCTCGGTCCAGTAGAAGCCGAACGCATAATTTCCAGCCGTTAATAACAGCATAATGTAGAATGGATCTCCCTTCTCGGTCATGTACGTCGATGTATACGCCTCGCTCTATGAGAGATCCAGCAATGTTCTCCATATGCTCATATCCATGCTTGCTTCCTAGTAGCAACCAATTGCTAGTAATTTTGGAACCCGATGAAAGAAACCTATCCATGCAGGGGGGCTTGATGACGGCGAGATGACTATGAAGCGTCATGTATTCCAGCGAATATCCCAGCAGCGGCTGAAGCTGCACCCCGGCCTTGTTAGGTTGCAGATATTCTTCTAGCTTCGAGAATTCAACATCAAACATTGGAAATAGAAGATACGTAACACAGATCGTTGCGATTGCCGCATTCGGGCCCTGGCGCCAGTTGAATAGTCTTCGTTTCAAGTACTCTTTCGTGGTGGAGTGGATAAGACTGACACTGTTGTCTGTTTTATCTATTCTCACCAAGCCCGCGCAAACGGAGACTAAAATTTCAATGCCTATCAGGCTCTCCCTGTCGATGTTCGAATCTGCCTCCTGGAGTATGACTGCTATCGGGAGCTCTTCAATCTTGAGGGGTCGGTTTGCAAATGTTAACCATGCCAGAACGTCCTTGGCGATTGCGGCTTCTTCTTCAGGTTGGCTCTCTATCCTTATCATGGTGTTATTATAGGCCTTGTCGTATGACGATGCACCGGTTGAAAGGGCAGCCAATGCGCTCTTCAATGAAGTGAAAGACATCTTTCCTCTAAGAGACTCGAGATGCAGATGAGCAAGAAGGAACCTGGACTATTTTAGTTTCCATTGATGGCCATGGAGAGAAACGGGATGAACTCACATTCCTCCACTAGCGGCAATGATGGAGTTGGAGATGACACCCGCAAGCTGCTGGTCACTTTTGACAACACGAACAACCTTCGTCATATAGTGATCGAGGTATCGACGTAGGTCTGCATCCGGTGCATGCACTTCGAGCCTGATATCCTCTTCCGATACCAGGTCGTTGACGATCTCAGGGCTATCCCGAGAGGTCGCCAAGATATTCGCTCCTGGCAAGAGTCTGAGCTGATCCATAACATCTCTCCATACAAGACACTCGTCAAGTCCGTCAATAACAATAAAGCATCGGGGATAGAAAGAAGTCATCGCTTTCAGGGCCTCTTTGATCTTTGGAAGTGAAGGTCGGTTACCGATACGTTTGTGCTCCTTATACATATCCTTGATAGCCTGTGGTAGACAGCTCGAACACTCAACCAGCTTTCTCAAAACACATGATAGAATCGTCCTGATACTTTCATTACTTTGTTGCCGAAAGTCGCAGTAATAGTAGGCTATTCCAGTGTTGCTGTCATTGCCGAATAGATCTAGAAGACGCTGGATCGCAATAGAGGCTAGGAATGTTTTGCCTGCTCCTGGAATACCCACGCAAATCAAGCGCCCACCCTTAGCTGTTAGCCATTTCTGAAACTCCCGGGAAACAAGCAGCCATTCGCCAGTCCCCTCTACGTGTTGATCAAAGAAATCGCTTTGACGGAGGCTATGGTCAACTGTTCCAATCCAATCGAGGATGTCATCTCGCTCCTGTTGATTGGACCGTTCACTGAGATAAAGAACTCCCTGTTCGATTCTGCAGGCCCTTTGACTATGATGATGTTAGCTGTTTAATTTTCAGATCGGATATATAGTACATACCTGGATACCTGCTGCCTCAACGAGATGAGTAACTCGAGGTAGAGCAACATTCGTCCACGGGATTCTGGAATGCCGCTCTGGTCCCAGGTCAATCGTTTGAAGGGTTTCTTGAATTTTTGCGTTATGGTCAAAGGCCTAGCTTTAATGTCTTGATACTTATCAAGATTTGATAGAAGGTCATTTACAAGACGGGTAGACTCGTCAGCGATCTTGTGGAGTCTTTCTTGGTCCTTGGTCTCGGGTCCACATTCCGATTCCAGGTCGCGAATATCTTGAATGACATTTGAAAAGTTTCTAAGGCTGCCAACCAAACGCATAAGCGGATTTGGAAAGATTTAGGCGGGATTGACTTACTCTTCTGATATTGAAGCGTATTGGCGAGGGGCATCCTGGAATCTTTTACTGGCTTGTTTGACAAGATCGAGAACTGTAATAAAATCTCCTACACTGAAACCGAAAGACATCGTGCCTGTAAGAGGTTTAAGATGAAGAGGAGACTTGGTTTGAGAGAGGAATGCAGACAACTTGACCACCTCTTTAATTATTGTGAAGGAAGATGGTCTATCACAATGTTAGAGCCATGGTATGATGTTTGAGCCTGAAATGCAGATGCATGTGTTTTAGGCAGCAATGTGGCGTGGCTGTGTTATCACAATATGCAGTTACAATTGAACAAATTACAATACCACGGGCCAAGCCTTGTTCATGTGGAAGATATACATCCAATTAGTCGATCTTCCTATCCTTACATTTCTTTGTGATAGATAGGAATGAGTACCCCTGCCTAACTACAGGTCTCTTTTCTTGCGGTTGAGATTCTTTTGCGAAGCAAGTCTCAACTTGCAAGGATTGCATTGCTCCCTACATTCAGTTGGGTATCACGCATCAATTACATTACATCCAGACGATGCATTGGAAAGCCGCAGCGCTTGGAAAGGAAGTAAGAAGTAAGGTGCTAGTTGCTAAATGAATTTATGAGAAATAATACTTACACATTCGTGATCTCCGTTAGTGCAACGGTAGGTGCCGCGTTGCCGCGTCCCCGCTGACGACCCATGTGGCCGCTTACGTCGATCTGTGAACGTACAGTAAGTCCTGAGTCAAAAGGAAGGAGCTCCAGTAACCTGCTGACTCATTATTCTTACTGGGATCTTATTCGAAGCTATACGAGGCTGTCGGCTGCCGCGATCCGCGATCATTCAGTATAGGGTATGGTTACCGTTGCACCTACCTAGCTGTAGTATTTCTGGTTTGAATTAAGCAGTCGGAACCTGACTATCAATTACTGCACCAGAACCAGTTGGCGCTATACCAGTCTAGACCCTGGAACAACTCCACCAGGTTTACACCAGTGACCTGCTGTAAGCTGCAGACACCTGCGCTTAGCGGAGGGTATCTTTTCAATTCTCGCCGATCTTCCGCACATGTCGACTTCCATGAAGCCAAGTCGGACAATCTTCTTCAACCGTTGCTAGAGAGTAAAGTTCGCTCTTGAGGTGCAGGACTTCAATCTTCTCATTACCGCTCGGGCCTGGCCAAGGCAGCCATGCCCACTTACTCAAAGATTACTACCTGCCTGGTGAGTTAATATGTCAGTCGATCCATGTATGATCTCAACCAACTGCATAACATGTTGTCTCAGCCGGCTTTAGCGAGGTTGCGATTTTACGGGACGTGGAGCCTTTTCCTGATACGGTAGTCTTGCTCCAGTTGACTATCCACTTTAGCGTGTCGAGTATTGCCTGTTGGTTGTCACCCCCAGGGATTGTCAAACAGTGACAAATTGCCTTTCTCCTTACAATCCACGGGGCTGGGTGGTGCTTAGATGAGTCCGTGCCGTATCCGTACATTGAGGTATTTACTACATAACTTTACTGTCGGGGTCTGTTAACCATTTTCCCCCACCTACTCTCATCCATGATTTGGCCTCGACCCGATTGAGATGAGCCTTTCATCGATGGCTCCGGTCTACTGGGACCCGATATCCTTATTGCAATTCGAGGGTGCCTTCGGGTGTCTGGTCATCACTAAACGAGGTTCCCGGTGTTTGTCTTCGGGTATCGATCGTCAACGAAATATTCGCCAGGCGATTGCTCGGCTATCGCACGAGCGGCCGGAGCATGCGTCCATTGCAACATTGGAGACCTTGGCATCTCTGTCTATGTGCGGACTTCATACGTCCTATCCTCCGCTACTTTCAAACTGGATAAAAACCATCCGAGCAGCCAACACGCATCACCAGTATTTACTCCAATTTGACTTAGCGGATCTACGTGGAGATTTGAATCGGTCGAATAATCAACTCAACCAGCTTTATCATGAATTTGACATTGTGAACGACAAGTTGAATAATGCCGCTGCCATGGCATCTAAAACGAACACACAATTGAAGTGTTTGATGCTGGAAAAAAGAGATCTGGAAAGGCAAAATACAGTCACTACCACCAAGCTATCGAACGCCCTTCAACGTGAGAAGCAATTGCAGAAGGAAATAAGCATAATTACGGACAGTTTGAGTAATTGTAAAAGGGATGCTAGTCGCCTGCACGACGAAAACAGGTCTATAATGGGAAGGAATGATCTATTGGTAAAGGAAGGGGCCACCAGCCAAGGAGAGATTGCACGGCTTAGCATGGCGTTGAAAGACTCGGAACTTGGAAAAAGACAACTCGAAGAACACCTGAAATCCCAACTCAGAGACCTGGAATCACAACTCGGAGCTAAAGATGACCGCTTGGCACGTTGTAGTAGAGAACTACGGGAAGCGCATACGCGCAATGAAGCCCAAGAGAAAGGCATTGATGATCTTGAGACTATTAATGCTAAGCTAAAAGAACAGCTGTCCAAGACGTACGGGCATAGACTAGAGACTTGGCTTTCACATTGTAAGCTTTATATAATTGAGAGGTGGATACGACTTCTCGGCCTCATAGCCACATGTAAGATATAGTTGATCAATGTTGTTGAATCGTCACGTTCGAGTGATGGGTTGAGTTCATTAAGTGATTCGATACGTCGCTAGCTCTAACAGGCAGCCCATGCCGAGAACATTTCCTTCTATGACACAAGATACATGTACCTGTGCGTGCGTTCTTCAGACCGATAACGCGCCAAACTGGAGATCAGAAGTGGACGCCGTATAGATCTGATCAACTCAATTGACAGTCATAGTTGAGACTTGCACCAGCTGATTGGGGACTTTCTAGAGCGGCTGACCCTGACCCCTGTTAACAAAGTCCTGTGGACGCCGCTGACTGCAGAACTGACCCGATAGTTCCGACTGCCCATGGGTGGGTTCTTTGAGATATGTATAAAAAGATGACATGGACCTTCTAAATTCTATCTTCCCCAAAGCATCTCCAGTCTACCCACCATGAGGCCGTCAATTATCGTTACCCTTGCATTGTCCAACCTGGTTCAGGCTCTGGATCTAACTAGCCTCACCCAGTTCTTGATCCAGCGGGCTGATGCCGAGTTCCCCACACTGAAGGGAATGGGTCAGGATATCTATGATAATCCTGAGTTAGGCCGCGCAGAGTTCCACGCTCACGACCTCGCTGTGAACCATTTCTCGTCCTTACACGGCTGGAAGGTCACCCCACACGCCTACAGCCTGGAGACAGCATACTCATTCCTCTTTGAACACCGTCCCGAAGGCTTTCACGGCGAACTCAAGACCATTGGGATTCTAGCAGAGTACGACGCACTTACGGGGATCAATGGCGGATCAGCACATGCATGCGGGCATAACCTCATTGCCACAAACGCCTGGACCGTCGGTATCCTCGCCAGCCAGGCTTTGGTTCACTACAACATCCCTGGTATCTTACAAATTGTCGGCTGTCCCGATGAAGAGAATGCTTCAGGCAAACACGACCTTGAGGTTAACGGCGCTTTTGACGGCTTTGAGCTTGCCTTTATGGCACATCCGACGTCCGCTAGTTCCGTTCAAGTCATGGAAGGTCGGATCAATTCATTCTACACCATGACAGGCGCCACTCACGCCGAGGCTGTGAAGAAGGCGTACAGTGCTATGGTTACCATTGACCAGATCCACGATGACCTACCTGGCACTGGCTCGACTGCAGTCAGTATCGCAAACATCGGCGACTACGCTACCAATGTCGTTCAGCAGAATATAAGCCTTGGTTTTGCTGGAGCTGAAAAGCGCACTGTGCAGCAGATCGTATCCGAGCTCCTCGGTAGTGGCAACTTCCCGAAAGTCAACGCTACGATTACGGAAGACCAAGACGGTGTCGTGCTGGCTGCCCTGGGGCCTGGCGGTCACGCCTCTGAATCCACCAGAGGTGCACTGGAACTTACCACCGCAACCTTTGAAGCACTCTCTGACGATTCGTCGATAACCTATTTTCTACCTGGCAACACAACGTTTAAACAGTACGATATCACCTGTGATATGCGCACACGCTATACGACCGATTTAGCGCCACTCGCCGAATTTGTCGACAAGGCTATAGGGTCTCTAGCGCACGGCGTATCTCATGATATTGTATATCCTTCTCTCGAGATCATTCCGTCACTGGCCAACGCCTTTGTCAATCTGATTGAGACACCAGAGTATGGGTTGACCGATTTCGTCATCGGTCCGGATATCGCTGCCTCTACCGACGCTTCATGGTGTGAGCTTCCCGTGCTCGACCCTGAAACCCACGAACTTCTTAGTGTAAAGAGAGCTGTTCTGCATGCAAACTACAGAATTTGTGAGAAGGTTCCAGGAGCTCTCTGCGCTTTCAATCACGAGCCTCTGTTTCATAACGTCTCTGGAACCGACTTCGCTTATGACCAGACTAAGATCGTGGCCAGAGCCGAAGCTCAGCTTATCATCGAGGCGCTCTCAAATGACACGTTTTATGAGGAACTTACTGCACTTGTTGTCTAGTTGCACGTTCAGGGCTGGGAAAGCTGCGCGAACAGAGCTTAGTTTCACGGTTGAATGGTCCGATGGTGTATTTGTCAGACAAATGGCTTTACTTGGTTAGACTCAGTAAGCGGGAACTACCAAGCTCGGAAATACAACTGCACTCTGCAGCCAGGCAAGTAGAATAATTGTCAGCAATTCCATTCTATTTTATGAATTATCAAGCTACTGTAGATGTAATAAATGGCGCTTCCACTCGCTAATGAGTCCGAAGCATTTATATATAAGTCGGTGATTGCGAGTTGTTCTGGGTCTCAACTGCATCCTCCAAAATTATTACCCCACGATAGGCATTAACCAATAAACACGACACACAGAGTCGAGTTTTGCAATGAGAGCCCTTGTTTTGAATACTTCTTCCTCAGAGGTAGTGGTGGAACATGTCGCGCGACGAACCCCAAATCCCGGCCAAATTCTCATCCATGTTCAAGCAATAGCATTAAATCCAGTGGACGAGCTCTATGTCACAAGCCCCATCGCGACCCAGGAGAAACGGATCATCGGCACGGACTTTGCTGGCGTCGTTATCGAAGCTGCAGCGGAGATTGCGGATCCTGATGATGCTCGCGTCAAGCCAGGCGCGCGGGTGGCTGGTTTTCTACAGGGCGGTACGTCTCTCTAGTGCGCGATGTAGCTTATAAGACTGACCATTGCATTAGCCTGCTCTGTGAACGACCGTCCTGGAGCTTTTGCAGAATACATTGCCATCCCGTACGACCTTGTATGGGCCGTTCCTGAACGTATCTCCCTAGAGGAAGCTTCGACAATAAGCATGTGTGGCTTGACAGCTGCTCAGGCTTTGTTCGTCAGATTGGGATTGCCGTCCCCATTTTCGAATGCCACTTCTTCACAGCTCATTCCAGAAGGTGATAAGCCGATCAATATCTTCATTTACGGTTCCTCCACTTCCGTCGGCTTGTACGCTGCACAACTGGCACATATCGCTGCAGCTACAGCTGGTAGACCCATCAAGCTTATCGGCGCAGCAAGTTCATCAAAGCATTCCATGCTCCGTCAAAAGCCCTACAGTTATGATGTGCTAGTCGATTACAGGGATAAAGATTGGGTTGAAAAGGTGAAGAGCGCTACTAAGGGAGATAGCGTGGACTTTGCGTTGGATTGCATTTCCGAACGTGACACTGTGTACAACACTCATGAGACCTTGGCTCCCTCGGCAAAGTTCGCTGTCATTCGTGGCCCAGCTGGCGGGGAGTACGACCCTACGCAGATGTCGGTCAAGCCCATGTATGGTGCTGTTTGGGAAGGGCTTGGAGTCGAAGTTGGATACAATGGTAAGCAACCTGTCTTTCCTTTTCCAGTAACGCGAGGTGGGCACATATTTCTGACCACTGGAATCCAGGATCTGTTCTACCAGCGAATCCAGATGCGCATAAGTTTGCGAAAGAATTTTACAATTTTCTTAGTAGCACGGGACCATCAGGTAAGGCGAAGCTTGAGGCAAATCCGGTTAGACTTATGCCCGGGGGTCTCGAGAGAGTTGTCCCAGACGGGTTCGCTCTCTTAGGTAGTGGTCCCGTCAGCCAAAGAACAAAGCTCGCGAGAATCGAGGAGTATATGCGCCCGATTAGTGGTGAGAAGTTGGTCTACAAGATTGGTTGATAGTCCGGTTCAGGTTGGTGGGAAACACGAAACGTAGTTCACAGAGCCTTGATCCATAATTGTCAACAGCAGAATATAGTCCAATTGATCAAACTATCGAGACATATCCCCATCCATCTACCTACCTACCCAACGTTCTTGTTCCCCTTCTGTTACTCAGGTGCTCATGTCGGTAAATGTTTCAGTGGAGAATTGCCCACTCAGCAACTGTTGCGCCGGTACCATTCTTGGCTCGGACCTCAGCAGTACTCAATGCCTGATTTCCGACAATGAACAGCGACGCATATCTAGCCAAAGGAACGTGATTCTGAAGAGTCACGTTGGTGCTATTGCCAGTGGGTATAACAATCTCGTCCAGATCCGCTGTTTTGACGTCATAGGGAGCCGATTGAACGACTTCCTTGGAAAGTACTACATCATAGTCTGAAGATTCACTGAGGGCCCTAACTGGATCATCAAGTGTCTTGTTGTGAAATATGACCGTCGCGTTGACTGGAGGAGCGTCTGCCCAGTTGAAGTAGAAGCCTGTGATCATGGTTCCAACCTTCTCTTCAGCCATTGAGACTGTTATGTAGTTGATTTCAGCGGCCTTTGAGGGTTGCCATTTCGTGGAAGTAGCTCCGTCTACCGCTCCCATGGGGAACTGGCCTGGCTCGTATGCATTAGAAGACTTTACTGGTCGGCATTGAGCGAGGTTGCCAGCAATAGTGTCGTTAGTCCCTATTTTTCGGTTTCGGATAACGACAGGCTTATTGAAAGTGAGATGGTGTAGTGAAGGATCTTCATGGCTCCCAGCGTAGACGTTGATACTCTTATTGGCATACTGACGATCGGCAACATCGAGGGGCTCGGTTGTAGGATGCCGCTGGATAGTGGTATGAGTGTAATTTGACCATGCTGATATAGGCCAGCCACGCCAATAAAAGGTTCGGTACCTCAAATATGAGATCTGGGGTGGCAGATTAGGCATGACATGCATACCATCGTCGGGCAACAGCCGCAATCCAAGGTATCCGAAGATCGTCACCTGGTTAGCACCACCGTGTCCAGTAAGGAAGGGATAAGCAGGATGCGTCCCGCCGTTGGTCGTAGCGTTGTCTATCAACTGTTCGGAAAGTTGGTAAAAAGGTGCACGTGTATAGGGCTTGTAGGAATATTGAGCGTATGTATATGCCGAGCAGCCAGAGGGTGATAGCTCGTCAGCAACGATGGAGTATATTGCCCACGTCATGGCTGGTCCATCGGGAGACTGCTTGTTGGCGTACTGCTTAGTTGTTAGCATTTGCTCAGTAGAGTATTGATTGGAACAAGCCTTACATAGTCCAGGTCATTCAGCCCATCTTGGTCGGTGTAGTTATCATTGTAGCCAAGAGGAAAGGCAATGAGAACCACATCCGCCTGTTTCACAACGACGCTCCCGTTCATGGTCGTGTACTCTAGGGTGACGCCATTTTCTCGGATCAAAAGTACATCGGAAGCTTTGTTATCCCATGTCTTGTATTCAGACAGCCCGAACTGTTGGCGAAATTGGTTGGCCTGAATTAGAGTTTCCGAAGCAAGGGCCATGGTGAAACCACCAGCGTCAATATGGTTTGCGTACTCGTCCTGTTATCTTCTTATCAGTTTCTGGAAAGGGAAGGGAGCGACGATACATACCGGGTCGGTCATGTTAGTTATAGTCCAGGACGATCCATTAGGCTTGAGTAGATCCGAATAAAGAGTTGCCACCGAGTCATAAATTGGTAACAAACTCTCCTTGAAATAATCGGTATCGCCAGTTGTCACCCACTGATTCACCATAGATATCCCAATATCCCCATTCAGATGGTACTCGTAGTCCCAGCATGGACCAGTAGCAGTACAATTGCCAAACCGCCCACTCGTCCATGGATATACAGCTGCTGATGCGGAAAAGTCGGTGTCGTTCTCAGAACCAGTAAATGAAGTGGCGATATTTGCCTTGGCTTGTTCATATTTGGCCACGCGGTAGTTCGTTATACGCTGTGCAGCTTCGGGGTGTGACGTTGTTAGGCCTGGTTGCATGAAGAGGTCTGCGTCCCAGAAGATCATTCCAGCGTATGAGTCAGATGTAAGGCCGCCTACGGAGATACTATCGACATTGACAGGGGCTCCAGATACCGCTTTGATTGCATTCTTCCCCACTGTGTTTTGTAGTAGGTAGTAGGTGTTGGTGACAGCAATTATTGCGGAATCAATGATGTACTCATCATCGGGCAGCGTGCCATTTTCTGGAAAGGCATAACTGTCGACAGAGTCATCTGGCATGACACTCGCCCATTCTGTGACGTGCGACTGAAGAGACTTTTCGTATCCGTTCTCCAGCGCCTTGCGTGAAGCTTCTTTGGCTGTCGTCTTGGGATCATCAAAAGCATCAGAAGACGCAGCTCCAACATATTTGGTGATATGTACAGCTTTCCCAGCCGAGAACGTGACAGGGATTGCTTGTGCCACAGACGAATCATTGGTATGCACATAGGGCTTGCCGTGTACCAATTGACGCTTCGACAGATCCAAGGATTTGGAGCCAGTAACTTGTGCGTAGATATAGGCGGTTACGTTGGCAATGCCAATTGGTCGTACAGCTGAGAAGATAGCTCCATCTTTATCTTCGCCGGATTCGACAAAGTCGGTGCGCACTGCTGAGTATCCATCAATCACATTCGCAATTGTCGCTTCAGAGTCAGTAGATGGGATAATAGTAAGATCCACAACAGCCTGATTGACATGAAGCTTGTTGGCGAACAGGCGGTACTTGATGCTGTAGGAGCCATTTTTGCCCTTTGGCGTCCACTGGTACGACCACTCAAGAACCGCAGCTTTGAAATCATATGTAGATGTGAAGTTGGAAATAGTTTGGTTATCAACCGTCGCGTCCAGATATGTATCGTCACCGAGGTCAAGAATGAGCCCACTCCAGTGAGGTACCCCGCTAATGACACTCTCCCAGCCATATTGCAAAAGCCAGGGAAAATTGGTTCCGTTTGTTCTTGGCTGGGCATCGAAAAATCCAGCAATGGTTGCAAAGGTCTGCCGTCTTGAGAATAACGGCCAACCATTAATGACGCCGCCTTCTTCGTCGATATCTATCTCGAAGAATGGTCCGACAGCTGCAACATTGATGCCCAAGTAGCCATTAGCTACTGACCCGCGAGCTTGATAGTGGCCCTGGTCAAGATTTGTGGTACTGAGAAGCCAATTATCCTCATCCCAGGTCACTCCGGAGAAAGACGTGTTGTAAACATTGTCGCTGGACTCAGCTGCAGAACTCGACGTGCTATAACGACGAAGACAATTCTCAATGCGATTGTGACTCTGGGAACCGGCGACGAGAATAGTAAGGAATGAAAGAAACCCGAGAGCTATCAAATTCCTATGCTGTTGAAAAGGTATCAGTAGAAGTCTTATATTTAGAAGTAAATCCGTGACATTGGGAAAAAGAGCAGCGTTGTCCAATGCGGTTCAGAGTGGAACAACACATCCTACACATACCGCTAATATCATTCTGTCGTCTTGGCAAGTGTCTTGGCAGGGTCACCCTCTTCTTCTATTCAATCGGCGCGATCCAGCTCCTCAGAAGCAGCTCTTTTACTGTGAATAAATACAATTTAATGTATGAAACAGACAGACGAAACGTAACAGGCAACCGGAAGGATCGGAAGGGTAAATGGCAGAGGAGCAAAAGTACTCGAAAGTGCCGCCAACAAGATGGTTTATGATGTCAGTACCAGTTCTGAGAACTTACCCTGAATACCCCGCAAAGTGGCTTGCATAATACGAGCCATTTTCCTCCAAGAGGTGCCATGCTCGCTTGACATTGCTGACATTGAGGGGCATTGTTTCCTTTCTCAATCTAGCGGCTGTCACTTGGAAAGCTGACGTAGCAAGAATGAATGATTCGAACGGTTTCTTGCAACCAACAGCCAAGTTCCCCACAAGCCCTGCCAAGTCCTCCGGCTGTTGCCTTCGGCTTTTCGGCTCTGTGCGAGCCGGTTGAGTTGAGGCTGATAGTGGGCCATCCATCCATGGGCTTCGGACCCAGCAGATTAACATCATCCTATCACAGAAGTCACCGCCAATCATCCGTTATGACTCGTGTGCTGAAATTTGAACTGTTGGTTCAATAACAATTGATCATAGCTTCCGAAAACCGCATTCACCGAAATTACGTTGCTAAAAATTTCCATGTGTCCAATTAGTATTCTATTCACAACATTCTTTTTCTTTTCTTCCAGCCTTCTTTCATCAAGGTTTAATTGAGTAACGCTCCTCTCATTCCACAACTGGCAGGTCTTATAAGCGCTTTGTCCGTATTTTCTCATCTTCTTTCAGCTTAAAGCCCAGGAGCATGTTGTTTCATCTCTTTGCCCTGCTCTTTGCTGGGACTCAGGATGTGATCGCTCAAACCTATGTCCCCCGCAATATGCTGAAACCTCTTAAAAGTTACGATCGCACGACCGATCCATTGTATCTCTTCCCAAAAACAGATGAGATTATGTCTTTTGCGAGTGGGACCCGCTTGGACTGTGAATAGTATGAACATCGGGTCGCGGGCGCCTGACATGCTTTGCTAACCACTTTCGCAGCTACCATTGGTACCAAAACACCAGTGATCCGGCTTTTGCCAACTGCTATGCATTGTCGATCCTCTATAGCATTGAATTCGAGGTAGGTTTGTGTCTTGTGATTCAAAGACATTTAACTCAAGCGCGTTATCTAGGATTTTATTCTTTGGAATCCATCGCTGGCTGATACTAGTACGACTGAAGATTATAATGGAACAGATTCAGCGTCGGTTACAGATAATGTAACTTCCGCGCATGATTTCACGAACTCCTGCACCATCTCTTCAAATCGCCTATACTGCGTCGCTCTCTCAGCGTCTGCAACTTGTGAGTGCATACAGATAACTTTGCATCCACTTGATGCACTTGCTAATGCATATAAAGCCACCAGTGCAAAGACTGGAATAGCAACACCCACCCCTCGCGCTGGTGGCCGTGAAGTCGGCATACCCAGGTGGTACAGTGATGATGAAGACGACGATGAGATTGACCCAGAGACTTACCAAGAACTCTGAGGTTTTGCGTGGTAAACGGGTAAAATCGTCGCTGCAATGCCGTTCCGGCTGCTGAGATTGAGCTTAAGAGGATCTGCAAGTGGAATCAGCTGCTAAAGCGCGACTGCTCTGAGCTTTGACCTGACCCGTATGTTGGTGTTGGTTCTGCTCAACAGCTAAGTACATGTAGTGGATACTAGTCAATACGACATTAGAAAAAATTGCAGCCTGTTGAAAAGAAAGAATAGCAATGCCGGAGAAAGGTGTTATAGATCTAAAAACTGGCATATCAGGCTGTCCCGGCGTCGTTCATAGAGTTCCGTCTATTGCGAATCTTCTTAATGATCGCGAGCCTAGGAGATCAGCCTCGACTAACGTGGTGTGGGCCCTGAGCCCCTGAAACAATCCCACACGCTCTGTGGAGCAGCCTAGCCAGCTGCCTAGAATCAGTGCTAAACAGCTGGGGTATAAAGAATAACAGTCCTCCCAACAAGACTGGTAGACATTCAGCACTACAAAAACTTCTCAACATCATACTTGATTATGACTCAACAGGGTGATATATCGCCATCACCTACCTTCCACGCGCTACCAAATGAGATAGTTGGTGCCATCTGCAGTCAACTTTCCAATCGCGACATCAAGAGCTTGCGACTCACATGCCGAGTTCTGAAAGACATATCTCACCTACGCTTTGACCGCGTTTTCATCTCAGCCAATCCACGCAACATCGAGGTTCTGCTGGCCATTGCCAATCACGAGGTATTTCGCCATTCCGTCAGAGAGATCATCTGGGACGATGCCGTCTTGAAGGATTTTCCTCGTTACAGGGAGTTTACTTGGGACGGTGTCGTTTATAAGACCCCGATCCAAGGTTACGATTATCCTTGCGGCTATAGCGCCGGTGAGCATGACCCTGATGACATAGCTGCGAATGAGGATCAAGAGTGGATTCCACGAGGCCTTACCAAGCGGTGTAAAGAGAGCCTTTTTGATATCGAAAGTCGTCTGATAGCAAAGAATAAGTATCAGGGCGACAACGAACAACAAAGGCAGATTGATAATTTGATGCGCTCCCGAGACTCGCTTGCCTATTGGAGAATCCTGTTGAAGCAGCAAAAGGAGGTGTTAGAATCTGGAGCGGATGAGGCAGCATTTCGATACGCCGTACAACGGTTCCCGCGACTCACTAAGGTTACTGTCACGCCAGTGGCACACGGCCTTCTGTTCATGCCCTTGTATCGAACACCGATGATTCGGGCGTTCCCTCCCGGTTTCGTATATCCGATACCTCGCAGCTGGTGGTCTAATGATACCCACGATGGTCGGGAAGGATATCCAAAGGGGTGGGAGAGCGAGAAGGAGAGGAAGCAATGGCGCGGGCTGGGCATTGTATTGAAGGTGCTGGCCGACTATGCTGACACGCTTCAAATCTCTGAGCTCGCCTTGGACAGTCGTAAGCTTCCAAGAGGAATCGACTACACATTCTTCAAGACACCCAATGCCGATTATGATAACCTTTGCAAAATCGTCGAGCAACCCGGTTTCAAAAGCATTGCTCTTCCGGTTATAACGGGATACATCTCAGACTGTAACCCTGATGACCTTGAGTTTTATCGGCACGGAAGGATCTCTGGACTTCTCGCCAGGGCACCTGACCTGGAGAGCTTCGTCTACCAGACTGATTATAGTCACGAACCTGGAGCTGCCGAAGACGAGGAAATATTTGTCTCCTTGTTAGATATATTCCCCATTGATATGTGGTCCACAGGAAAGCTAAAACAATTTGGACTCCACGGTATACTGGTTGCCCAAGATGATCTGGTGTTATTCCTCGCTAAGCTTCCGTCAACAGTTCAATCTGTTGATCTAAGCTTCCTCGCCATGGTTGACGGAGACGATTATGCCGGGCTCTTGACAGATATCCGGGACAAACTAGATTGGCGGCGTCGACCCAAGTCCCAAAGGATTCAGGTCGCCATTTCTGTAACATCAGTGAATGTCCCCCATAAAGGTCGCTACATTAATCTGGACAAGGAAGTTCAAGAATACATTTACGGTGATGGTCCCTCGCCCTTTTGTGTTAAAGAGGGATCCACTTCCTTATCTATCCCGTTTGGAACTGGTATTGTAATGGACGCGTTCGATACCAGCTTCAGAAGAACGTATAATAAATACGGTTGAAATCCTATAGGGATAGCTATCCTAGAATTGCAGAGTATAGCCATCAGAATACTTTTATATATTAAATGTTAAATGTCTACTACTGGTAATTTAAAAACGAAAATTCTTGTTATAAAGAAATTAACAGATATTTATCTAGAAGCTGCAAGGTTACATAAATTAAAAACTTTAAGCGTAGTTAAGTTTAGTATTTAGTGAACGTCGGGGGATCACCATATTGGTGGTAGATAGCTAATTCTAAATTAAAACAAGTATTCTTTAAACTCTTGTAACTACCTCGCTGAGGATAGCAGACCAGATACAGTTTCTGAGAATATTTACGATTTGAATAAGGTAGGGAAGACATCCGCCCGAGGCTCCGAAACAGGCTACCTGACCACGACGTTCCAATAGTGGATTCTTAGCCCGAGAGAGCCCACTTCGCTGGAATAAAACAGTTGTCAGCAAATGCGGCGCTCTGATTGCTCATCGACTTCAGAACAGTGCATTGCTCAAATTTCCAACACCTCAGCGGATTTCCCTCATTTCTCAACACATACCACCACCCATTATCATGGCCGTTATTAACAACGATAGCTCTGTGTTCCAGAGAATTCCCAATGAACTGGCCAATAGCATTTTTGACTTTCTCCCCAATCGCGACATTAAGAACCTGCGTCTAATATGCCGCTATCTCGATCGTCATGTGCCCTTACGGTTCAATCGCGTTTTTATTTCTGCAAATCCACTTGATGTTAAAGTCTTCCTTGCAATCGCAAACCATGATACCTTCAGAAAGCAGGTCAAGGAACTCATCTGGGACGCTACTCTTCAATCCCCGCGAAGTTGTGGGAATGATTCGGATGACGACTATGGATCTGATGAAGACAGTTCCGATGACAACGATTACCAAGGTCAGTCAAGGTTCCAACGAGGCTGCAGGGAAGCAATCGAAGACGCGGAGTCGCGGCTCGTGGATAAAGCGGATGGTAATGAGCAGCAAAGCTTGCTTGACAACCTTATGACATCAGGCAGAGCACTTTCGTACTACGAGCGACTTGTTGAGGAACAGGCTGATGTTCTGGAAACCCGAGCTGATGAGGAGGCCGTTTGATATACTTTGCAAGAATCACGGTTCCCACATCTTATCAAAGTCACTATCACACCGGCAGTACATGGCTTTCTCTTCTTCCCCCTATACGAAACCCCAATGATCCGCGCATTTCCACGTGGCTTCGTTTACCCGATCCCTAGAGGGTGGACTTACGCTATTGGTATCTATGTACCAGGGAGGTCTCAGCCTTGGGAAGACGAAGATGAAAAGCGAAAATGGCGAGGGGTTCAGATCATGTCACGGCTGCTTGCAGACCCGGAACTCTCTTGCAACGTCCCCGAGCTGTCATTTGATAACCATCAGCTTCCCACCGGCATCAACCATTACATCTTTGACCACCCGAATGAAGAGTACGACAACCTCTGTCGGATACTGGAACGACCGGGGTTAAAACGAATTACGTTATCAGTGCTCATGGGATGGCTATCAAACCAAGACGCCGAAGATTGGAACTTTCTGAAGAAAGGAAAAGTCCGAACTGCTCTGGTTAAGTCTTCTGGTCTTGAAGAGGTAACCTTTCAGACTGACTATCCAGTCGATCAACATTGCTGGGCTAGTCCAGCAGTGGATACTGTATCGCTTTTCGATATATTCCCCATTGACGAGTGGGCGACTGGCAAGACACTAAAACACTTTGGCCTATCTGGAATGCAGGTGACCCAAGAGGAGCTGATATCTGTCCTCGGGAAGCTGCCGCCTACCCTTCAATCCATTGAGTTGAGCTTTCTTTCTGTCATTAAGGGTACAGGTAATCATGCTGGCATCCTCGCTGATATTCGCGGTAAGCTGGGATGGAAACATCGCCCCGCCAATCAAAGGGTCAAAGTTCGCATACTCGTTCGATCCAACCAAGACGTTGGTCGTTACATATGCTTGGATAAGGAAGTCAATGACTATCTTTATAACAATGGTCCTCAACCTTTTGGCGTTGATGGAAGCGGAGGATCATGGGCTATGAAAACTTCTGGGACTGGCATGGAATATGATGAGTTCGACCCAGCATTTGTTCGACCATTTGAGGGGTGACTTTCGATAAGATCGTCGGTTTTGCTTGGCGGCCGTCTCACCGAAAGTCCAAAAGCCTTTTCTGTTATTGGAATCCGAGAGCCTGATGTAGCCGTCAAACAAGCACAAGATGAGTTGGCAAACGGCGCTGTCATGATGCAGCTCAAGGCAGGTGATGATCCTGTTTCTGATGCAAAGCGAGTCAAAGCAGTTCGTGCTGCTCTTCCCGGCCATGTTATCATCTGGGTTGACGCAAATGGCGGTTGGACCATGGACCAAGCCCTGACCTTTTCTCGGGCTATCGGACAGGATATCACTGTTGGACTTGAGCAACCGTGCCGCACTTTGTCAGACTGCGCAGAAGTCGGTCGCCGAACAGGATTGCCAGTCATGCTAGATGAGAGTATCATCACTGTTGCAGATCTGTTCACAGCTCACGCAGGTGGCATTACAGGCGTGAATATCAAGCCCTCTCGAGTTGGTGGACTCACTAAGGCTCGTACCATTCGCGATGTCGCTGTTGCTCTCGATATGGTCATTAATTGCGACGATACTTGGGGTGGTGCTTTGACTACGATTCAGAATATGCTGTTAGCTACCACAACCCCGGAACATCGCCTACGGGCGGTTGATTTGATGTCTGAATGGATAGAACCTCCCATTGCCGATATTCCTCGCATGGGAACAGATGGTCGAATCACTGCGAGTAGTCAACCTGGAAATGGTTATGAGCGCATTCACGTCGATTTGCTTGGTAGGCCTCTATTTCAGATTAATGGAGAAACACTGGCAGGGACTCGTGGATTCAGACTGCAACTATCATGAGCACAGAGCCGCGGGCAATGCACAACATTCGAATAATTGGGAACGCACTCGAGAATTATTGGCAGTTTACGATCCAACACAATTGCGTCGAAGATCTGGGATGTAAGTCAACCTTTGTTCGGAGGCTGTTTATTATTCTGCATAGAGCGGTTTACAATTGTAGTCTTTCTTTGTTTCGTTCATCTTATCCACGAGAGGTAGCGGACTAGAGCACCCGTAGACATGACTTATTGGTCACAGCACATTCGTGTATCCTCCGCTCAAGATGATCTGTCGATTGCTGATTTGATGCTCGATCTGTGAAGTTGCCATCATTGGAGGCATCCATAATAAGACTGTGTTCCATTAGGGTGGCCAATTGCGGGGTGACTGACATTCTAACTAGGTACGATCCCATTTCGTAGTGGTGGCCGGGGTCTTCCCCGCATTCTAATGGCCGATACAACTTCAAATTCTCGGTACATCTATGAGCGAGCAGGATCAAGATAGTAATCCGGTCGATGATCTGGCACGGCAGTTGGCATCGGTAATACTACATACAGATTCGATCATGAGAAGATCACCAAAGTCATATTACAGTAGTTTGTTCTTAGATCGATAAATACCCCTCTGCTGTTCTGTAAGTTGGATCAAGTTCTCCAGTATCTAAGCCAGCGTTCAATATGGCCTTGACAATTTCCCGAGTCTCTTTTGAGCATTACCGTACTGCCCTGGGGATTGCCGAGACTGAACCACGAATCTCTTGGAGATTTGATGGAGACGTTGCGAATTGGGAACAGAGCTCATACGACATTGAAGTTACTCGGAGTATCAAGGCTGAGTCTAAATCCTTTTCTTTCAATTCTTCCGATTCACTTTACCTTCCTTGGCCGGACGCGCCCCTAGACGAAGCCGAACTTGCACATCTTAGGGTTCGCGCGCATGGGATTCAGTCCTCAACACCCTGGTCCGATTGGGTGTCTGTCGAAACAGGTCTCTCCAAGAAAAGCTGGGAGAATGTCACACCCATTGCTTCAACCATCAAGGTCAACGTGAGTGAACCGAAAAGGCCTGTGTACTTCAGAAAGGACTTTGCAGTACCTGATAGTTTCGAATCGGCGAGGCTTTATATCACCGCGTTAGGTATTTATGAAGCCGAGATCAACGGGAAGCGAGTCGGAGATCACGTCTTAGCCCCAGGGTGGCAGTCGTACCATCACCGTCATATATATGACACGTATGACGTTACTGACCTTATTACTCCCGGCGCGAATGCGGTTGGAGCACTGGTTGGTGAAGGATGGTATGCGGGACGCTTAGGGTTTGGCGGAGGACAACGAAATGTTTACGGGAACTCAACGGGTGTCTTGGCGCAACTTCACATCAAGTTGAGGAATGGCACTGTGTCCAAGGTTTATACCGACACGAGCTGGAAGTCAGGATTCGGACCAGTTGTTGACGGAGAGATCTATGATGGAGAACATTATGACGGTAATCTCGAAACTGAGATTAAAGGATGGTCAGAGCCCGGATTCGTCGACGCATCCTGGTACGATACTTGCGCCCTTCCATCACTTGACAGGGTACTCGTCCCGCCAGACCAACCTCCTACCCGACGAATTCAAGAGGTCAAACCAACAGAGTTCTTCAAGTCACGATCTGGGAAGCAGCTTGTCGACTTCGGCCAAAATCTGGTCGGTTGGCTGCGATTAAAGGTTGACGGGCCTGCCAACACAACTATCACATTGAGGCATGCAGAAGTTTTAGAAGACGGAGAACTGGCCCTCCGACCGCTTCGAAAAGCCAGGGCCACAGATACAGTCAAGCTAGGCGGAAAGGGCCTTCTTGAGTGGGAGCCGAAGTTTACTTTTCACGGTTTCCGCTATGCTCAGATTGATGGATGGCCCGAGGAAACATCGCTGGATGAGAACAGTGTTACAGCGATTGTTGTCCATACTGATATGGAGGAAACGGGCTACTTTAACTGTTCACATGAACTGTTAAACAAATTCCATTCCAACGTTCGCTGGTCAATGAAGGGAAACTTTCTTTCTATTCCTACGGATTGTCCTCAGCGTGATGAACGTCTTGGATGGACTGGAGACGCCCATGCATTTTGCCCGACATCCAACTATCTCTTTGACACAGCATCATTCTGGAAGAGCTGGCACAAGGATGTGTGGTCTGAAATGGCTATTAATGATACCATGATTGCCCCGTTCTTCGTCCCTACCGTTCCCTCGGCATTTGGGACACTGCCAGCTCCTGCTTCAGTATGGGGAGACGTCGTAGTCTCTAACCCATGGAACATCTATCAAGCATTTGGTGACAAAGGACTTTTGCAGGAACATCTTTCTCAGTCCCAAGGCTGGATAGATAAAGGTATTCCCAGAAATGAGGTCGGTCTATGGAATCGCAGTACTTTCCAGTTTGGGGATTGGCTAGACCCCCTTGCCCCATCTGATGATCCTGGAGGTGCAACGACTAGCAAGTTTCTTGTGTCAGATGCGTACCTGGTTAGGATGACTGAGATCCTCACACATATTGTTACTGCGCTTGGAAAGGTGGACCTGGTTGACAAATACAAGGCACAACATTTGGACCTAAAGAGCGAGTTCCAGAGAGCTTGGACAACGGATGGAGAGTTGGCAAATAGGACCCAAACCGCTTACGCATTGTCTGTGGGCTTTAATCTCTTCAAGGATGAAGGACAAAGACAAGAGGCAGCGGAAACATTGCGTGAGATCATCCGAGAGAACGACTATCTTGTCGGGACTGGATTCGCAGGTACGTCGCCTCTCGGCTTCGCTTTGAAGGATGCCAATGCCACGGACGATTTCTACCGAATGCTCCTTCAGGAGAAGGTCCCTTCATGGTTATATCAAGTCGCCATGGGTGGTACAACGACCTGGGAAAGATGGGACAGTCTCCTGCCGAACGGTACAGTCAACCCAGGCGAGATGACCAGTTTCAATCACTACTCTTTTGGGTCTGTTGCGACTTGGATGCATCAAGTCATTGGGGGAATTGCGCCCCTCGAGCCAGGTTATAAGGTAATCTCTATTGCGCCTATTCCAGGAGGAAACATTACACATGCAAGCGCAAAGCTTGTTACTGGATATGGTACAGTCTTGACGGATTGGAACTTAACGGATGCGGGATTCCATTTGAAAGTGAGGATTCCACCAAACACTAAGGCTAAAATCACCCTGCCTGCGACAGATAAGACGGAAATTGTTGGATCTGGCTTACATAAGTTTCACCAATCGACCTGAACTTTGAACAACATACAGGTGGGATTGAGCAAGAAAAGTGGCGGTGTCTCAAGTACCGTATGTCATTCTTTCATTACCGTACCTCGATATCTTTTTGCGAAGAATAAATGTAGCATGTAGCACCAGGCTCTTATTGTATCAAGTCTTTTCCTTTCGGTGCATATCGTTAAACCACCTAAAATCAATACTTGTGAGACTAGACACTGAACAATCTCGTTCTGAAACGGACCAATTTCTCCTTGTGGCATGTCCCTTTTCTTAGAACATGATTACCGTCCTACGCTCTTTAAGCGAAAAGGCAATCTTAAATTCTAAGCTATGCTCTAAAAGGAAGGAGCAGTCTTTCAGCTTGCAACCATCCTTTTAAATTCAGGACGTGACTTGCTTGTTACATCCCCGCCTAGCCCCCAAACTCAGAACCAACATGCAGATTATGAAACCAATATACAAAACCTAGAACCAACATGCATATGAGCGCAGATTGAACTTCTTCAGGCTCTCATTATTCAAATAAAATGTTGTTAGAATCTCTTACCTGCTTGCCTCGCTTCGTTGACTTTTACTTCACGCTTTTTATAACTATTTAGCTACATTCCGTCACGATGTTGCCTAGCATTCTACTACTTACGCTTATCTGGATGAGTCGTCCTCTACTTGTTTGCGGAGTTATCCCACCTTTCTTTACCCGCCATGTGCCTAGATCTCCAGACAACAACAAAGATGATAGCATACGAAGAGTTTTAAGCACCTCCGACTCAGAGCAGAGAGAAATCAAGAAAGAGAACACCATGTCCCTCGATAAAAGTTGGGAAAATGCTATATTGTTTGCTTACATGGCGTATGTCGATGGCCCTCTCCCCTTGTGTTGTACTTTCGGAATACATTTTAACCACAGAATTATTTCTATGCAGTGAGGAAGACTTGAATTCTGAGCAAGGCAATACCTCCATTTCAGCTGGTATAGAAATAACGTGCACAGCATGCTATATCAAAGGAGCAGTCACGACCAGATTCGTCTCCGAGAAGGACTTCAACATCAGCCGAGCTCTGGATAATGTAAAAGATCAAGTCCAGAACGAGATCTACAATCTAAGGACCGAAGTTGCGAACTACACAAAGGAATATGTAGATCGGGTAACAGATAACCTGGACGATGGGTTTGACATGGATGATTTTGATCCTCCAACCATGGATTTCGACCTCAGTATTGATCTTCCTGAGATTCCAGAGTTTCGACTTGAATTCCAATTCGATGGCTTAGAGTTGTACATGCTAATTAACACAGTATTATCTGCCGGAGCTACCTATACCTTGAATCTGTATACCTCTGCTACACCTGCAGGGTTTGCAGTTCGTCATAACCTGGAAGTTGGTGTCATTCTTACTCTTGACCTCATTGTGTCTGTAGAAGGTGAAATTGACATCAGTACCGGATTTCATCTAAAGCTAGATGACGGGGTTAGGATCGAACTTGGCATTTTCTCTAAAGAGATAGCAAATATGGTTATGTAAGTCACCCTTTGACAGGATTGTGAGAGTTAAAGTTAACAGCATATTTAACAGCAATGGTGGCGACTTTGAATTTCTCCCAGTCACTGTAGAGAGTGCTGGTGTAGTGTTCAAAGCTGTCCTTCGCATGGGGATACAGGCGGGTTTTGAAATATCGTCATCCGACGTATCTATTGCTGGAAAGGACATTTTTCGTATCGGAGCGGGCATTGAAATGGGTGTTTATGCCAACATTGCCGAGCTGATCACCAATATCACCCTTTCCATGGACGAGGACGACCGATGTGATCTTCGCGTCGAGGAAGCATATCGACTCGCTGTCGGAGCTGCTTCAGGAGCTTCGATTGCCATTGAAGATCTCACATGGGGACCAGCTGTTGAAACTGAAGTTCCTATCTTTTATACTACATTGGCACAAGCTTGTGCCGTAGAAAGAAGCAGTGCCGTGGTATCTGCATCCCAGGAAACTTTGACATCTGCTGCTCTCGTAATAAGAGGTGAGGATGGAGATGAAACCGAGATGGAGACAACTACGATTTCTGAAGAAGCAACTTTCATTGCTGTAGCATGCGAGTCGGAGGGACTGGTTAACTGCCCAGCATCCCTTCAGACAACGTCAAAGTATACAACTACTCGAACACATGTCACCATAGTCCCGACCGACAGCGAAGCCTCTTTTCCTGAATCGGTCAGATCCACTTCTGTGATACCAATTCCGTTTGGAGATTCTGCAAAGAAGTTATTTACAACATCAGGCATTCCTGAATCCTACGTTCCTCGGCCCTCGACGCATTCGGCCACAACTAGCGCAACCGATGATGCTGATGATGGTAATGAGAATACAAGCTCAAACGAAAAGAGCGAGGGATTGTCCGATAGTGTTATTATCGGCCTGAGCGTCGGGCTTGGGGTGCCTTTTCTCTTCAGCGTACTTGCTTTCATCTTGTCAGTGAACCCAGCGCAGTCTTCGTTTCCCGCTGAAACACCTTGACTCTGCACTTTTGAGTCCTATTGAACTTGATTGCTAATGTTCTTTCTATTTCGTCAGTGTTTGGAAACGCAAAATACGGCTTTTTACGAAAACGTTGTCAACTTCTGTTGAGAATGTTGGGCATATAGCACCGTCTTCCAAAACTACAACTACATCTGTAGCCGAGCTGAGAATGCTTTGATCCTATCGATCAATCCGGTGTAGGCGTTTTATGTTGGAAAGAATCTCGTTGAAGAGATAACAGGTGTTGATGGTCGTGGTGGACTTAAAGGATGTAGGCTGTATGTAATGTGAGCTCATTCAAGAGGGAGACGTTGCTCTGAGAGTGGACATGTGGAGCCAAAAGAATCGTTGTTGATAAGGTTGTCGGGACTTTATGGTGTCGAGGTGATTATCATAGTTTCAGAACATGGAGAGATATCCATACAAATCAGCACTAAGAAGTGTCGTTTATTCACCAGCAAATAATAATTCAGTCGTAACTGGACTGTTCTAGTTTTTTAGCAGATGGCTATTGATTATCACGCGGTCATTCTGTCACGTAATGCGACCGCGAAATAAATCGGGGCTGTCCTATATAACTGAAGCATGAAAGCATCTGTCTGCATTTTTGTGAATGTCCTAATTTTAATTACTATCAAGGAAACAAGTATCAGCGCTTGTGAAACCATTGTGGATCCTCTGTGGCGCTTTTTCAGAACAATATTAAAGGAATGTAAAAGAAAAGTCGTGCCGTACACCCCTCATTTGACAAGTGGCTTCTAGAGCTAAAAGCTAGAGTATGTGTCTTCGGGTTGCTAAGAGGATTGTCGCGACGGAATATTAACCTTGTTGAAGGAAGGCCGAGGCAATCCTTCTCGCCATCAGACCATACCACCGAATCCTTCAACCCAATAACGGCCTCTTGCATGCATAATCAGCCAATAAGTAGTGGGACATTGAGGGAATTATCCCAGCAATGAGTTGGAAAAGCTTAAGGGTCAAAACAATCTGCATGTGGTCTATAAAGAGCACAAGTTCGCCAGTTCAGTTGAATAAAGCAGAAGGTTCCCAAGCACATCGTGGAGGACAAGAAAGTGTTGAGACACTTTAAAACAGCCAACTATCGAAAAGCCAACACCAACCCTTTTTATCATCATGCATGCTATTTTTACTTTCATCACGCTCGCCCTTTCGAGTCTTGCCTCTGCTTCGCCCCAAGGCGTCCCCGATAAGCCAATCGAGTTCTATGGCCGCATGTATGCCGACTCTGCCAATTGTAGCGGAACTGGAACCAGATATGCCTACCTAGGCTCTATGGGTAACTGCATCAATAGGCCCGTCCCTGGAACCGGCTCTGCCACTATGGTGGTAGGAGAGGTTAGCAAACATTTCTTTGCAGGATGGACCGGGCCTGACTGCACTGGCAAGGTGGTCCTTATTGTATCCAATGTTGGAGAGTGTGTTGACTTGGGTGGCACGGATGTTCAGAGCTGGTCCAATGATATGAAGCCGTTTGGAAAGTGAGAGAGAGGCTTCGTACGGAACAAGATTACAGCTGGCCCTTAAATAACGACCGATATCGTACTTGGATAACATGTGGATGGCTGTTAGGTACTGGCTATACGAGGGGCATGTGTATGTAGGGATAACAAAATTGACGACTACCAAATCTGACTTGCCTGATATCGCTGTTTCGCTTAGGCTTGATTGTTATTAGAGGCTGGCTTTCCGGCATGATCGTTATCCAGAAGAGTACTTGGATTCGATGCTTACTTTCTTCTCCGGGGGCTGATCCTGTGATTGGGTGACAAGGAAAAAACCACGAGAGTGGCCATTTCTCCCCCTTAACTGCGGCAAACGAGCAGTTTGGGTATTTGGGGACAGTTGAAGAAAGCTCAAGACCGCCAATAGGTTGCTATCTGTTGCCAATCACGCAGACAACTTTTCTGTTTCCACAAGCACATGGAGGTTTACCGAAAAAGTAACCACAGCACGCTCAGCCGCAATCATTCTTCAGGCTAATGCCTTATTCTTTCAAGGCTCATTACACTCTGGCTTCAATTCATATCCCGTCATGAACGCCGCCCCAATCGTCATCTTTCCCTGAACCAAATACGAACTCCCACATTCGCTGACCCATTCTCGTCTCGTCCATCGGCTCTTAAGCCACCGAAGCAGACGTTAGCGTGTTCCCATGTAAATGATCGATTGCCGTTATTAATACTAAGATAAGGTTCCGGTCGCTCTGCTGTTATAAAGCAGGCTTGAGACACATTAAATCTAGGCTCGTTAAGGGTATTGTGAATTATCCCTGAGCGTTATTCTGTGCGTCATTGCGTATCCCAAGCGCGCCCGGACCCAACTGAGTCTTGTTTTTGAAAAGAGAATACTGTCCAGGGTGCGTTCCTTCTAGACCTTTGAGAACCGTGATGGCCAGTGAGTATGGCCTCTGTACCAGTTAAATTTGTAGCCAAGCAATCTTGTGTCTTGGCAATGACAGACAAAACTTGGCTCTGACGTCATGGAGTAAAAATCAACGGGTTTTAAATATCTTTTCGCATTCCAACTGGACAACCACCAGCTGCCAAGCGCAGTGAACTTGCGGTAAATGCGTTCAATTTTAATTGAGAAGCTATAGGTAGTTTGTGGTGACATGGTCGATAAATCGATCGAAAATCGATCAATAGGCAGGGCCCTGACTCATTCACACATAAATACAAGGGTATACCCGTCTTTGCTCTGTAGGAAGCAACGACTTATCAAACATTTTGCCATCATGAAGTTCTTCAGTCATCTCCTCACAGTGTCTTCAGTCTACATTGGATTCCCTGTCGCGGCCCAAAACAACAGTAGCAGCTCCGATACCCAATGCTCCCCAGTAACTGAAGATCTCGCCGAGGGTGATGTTTCGTTCAACGCTACTGGCACAACAACATTCTCCCTTCTTGAGCAGGAAGAATGGCACTTATCAATGACATTTCGATTTCGCCTTGCCAGGAACACCACTACCGTCAAGGATGTCTCCTCTTATGGTGAGCCTGCCGTGTGGCTCAGCGTGCCAGAATCATTCCCCGAAACGACGAGAGGCAAAGAGATTGAACTGTGCTACTACGAAATGGACCCTGTGAATGCGACTTCAGACTCAGAATCCGGAGGTAGCAACGCGACCTGCGACGGGATACTCAGTGAGGAATGTCAGGAAGCATTGCGAAGCGCACCAAGACCACGTGACGGGGACTGCCCTGACGTCGACGTCAAGGAAGCTTGCGGCCGACCAATAAGACTATGGACAAGTATGTCTTCTCTTGTCCACTGACCGCCATAGATGGAGAGTACTGACATCACGCGACAGGCAAACCATTCAATCTCACGCAGCAAGATTGTACATTCAACGGCCTACCACAAGTCGATATTCCAGACGACTATCAGACGCAGAGTGTAATGTGGCAAGGGAAGTTGCTTCCTGCTGCAGAAGAGGAGTTCCTTGATTCATATGACTTGCTTGTCCGACAACCAGTTCCGGTCCTCATCACAGCGCGGCTCCCAGGAAATAAAAATGATGCCGCAGAGATCGCCTGCCTAGCTACCAAGAACATCTCGGAAGGGAGCCGTGTTCCGCAGAGTGAGTTTCCACCGAGCGGCGCGACTTACCTGGATGTTAAGAGAGGTTTAACCTACTTTGCGGTGCTGTCTTGTTTAACTGGCTACATCTTGGCGTTGTAGTCATCAATAGGGTTGAAGCATTAAATATTGCAAGAGTCAGTCCATATTTCTAGAGACTTAAGTCAGTAATGATATATGAAAAGACCCAGTTTCATTTTGTAACACTCATGAGTTGGTTGTAACGGCCATAGCACCTTCGATTGGTGCAATTCGACGCTAATAACTGTAGTAGGTGATGAGTAGAAGCTACCGATAGCCTTCTCCTTTTCTTGCAGGGGTCACAAAAGTTACTTTTGCCTCTTTACCCTACAGGAACTCCTTTCTACCATAAAGTCATAGAATTGTTGGATAGCTCCCCGGCATGGGCCAAACGTGACTTTGATTGCAACATACCTTAACGCCGAAGCTGGCACAGCCACCATTTCGTTTAGTTACAACTGTAAGCGATTTCACCAACAAATTCCGCGACCTCGTTCGACGAAGATACAAATATTCGTGGTATGGCAAATCCTCCTACAGCTCTAAAGTAATTGTTGACAAACGTTTTGTCCTTGTATATCTCGACCACTAATGGGCCTTGACCAATTACGTTACCCTGTAGGTATAAACAAATGTATGTATCTTATACGCGGATAGTTCGTAAAAAAAGCTAGATACGAGCAATGCTGTCAGGATTCCGATCCGCACATTGTCACCACAAGACTGCAGACGGAAGGAGAGGGCTGTGCAGAGGAGAACGGTATGTGGCATGTCATCGACTGATTTTCATTACCGAAAAAGTAACCACCGCAAAGAGGATCGTAGATTGCGCTTCTTCTAAGGAACTTGCATGCAGCTCGTATCTCGCTACTTGTTATCCTCCTGCCAAAAAGTCTGCTTCAAGTAAAAACTCCGAATGCTAAGCCTCAAAGAGGATTCAGGAGCTAGTGTAGCAACCTTAACGATCAGGATGTAGCGGGGGAGAACATTGCGAACCAACTGTAGATGCGCTTTAGGTCAGGTTGCGATTCCTTCATGCCACCTTGTGGAGCAGCTGATGAAATTTGCAGAACCTAAGCTTACTCACTCCACATCTTAGCGGTGAGTTATCACAACCTGGTCTGTAGTGCGTTTCCAACCAAATATAAGAGGTAGGATCTGTCAGTGAATTTTTTTAAATCCATCATCGCAACAATGAAACTCACCATCTTCGCTACTTCCTTTCTTACCGCCGTTGTTGCAGTGTCGGCAACCGCTCTGCCAGAGCAGCCTAAACTTGCCGACGGATTGTACAAGAGCCATCTGGATGATGCCGGCAACGAAGTGACCCATTTTGTTCCATGGGATCAGCTTGGTAACTCTACATACGTTCCAACCGTTGAAGTCCTCCCCTCACCCAACGTCGATAAGCGCTCAATCCTCGTCAAACGCAAGGAGGGCTGTCATGCCAGTGTCAACAGACCTTCATCTGAGACAGATAAAGCCAACAAGTGTCTTATAGACAGTTTCGCTAATGATCCTATTGTAACCACTGCAAATGGTTATAAAAGATTCTCGGTATGTGTATTCCAGATTGCTTCTGAGTTTTTTGGCCCCTTGCGTCAATCAAGATCTAACATTGCTTTAGTGTGTGAAGGGCAACTCGCTATCGTATATCTGTTCCTACAACAAAGGTCCAATTATTGGGCCTGGGTCTACCACAAGAAAATGGAAGTCAGATATTAAAGGCTCTTGGGACTACGTCAAGAGAACGCTCTGTGGCCAGAATCGACTCGGATATGCGCAGGTGATCAACGGTGAGGGGGATGTTACAGCTGGATACACATACAATGGTGATAAGTACTGTTGGTAATTAACTACTCTTTGTACGCTTATTCAATCAATCTCCATAGATTATTTAGCGGCCACGTAGGGCAAGAAATAGTCTAACAATGTTGTATGCGATCAAAGGTTTTACGGTTCAGTGAAATGTTCTTTAAATCAAAGAAATGAAGCAGTAGTTTATTAATCTGAAAGTAGCCAACATAGGGAAACACAATAAATTCTCACTAAGCATCAAAAGCCTTTGGTCGCCGCTCTTCCAGTTCAATATACTCATCGCTTATCTCTGACCTTGAAGGAACCTCTCTGACAACGTGTCGGAACTCGGTCACCGAGCTATCATCACCTAGGACCGTGAATGGGTTAGGATCCCTGATGGTGCTGCGCTTCGCATTATCTGTCGTGGTGGTACCGCCAGTCCTGAATCTACTTGGCTTGGCTGAAGTCCCATAAGAGGACATCTTGAGTGTCTTGGGCATGAGTGGACGCAAGCCGGGGAGGCATGCCGAGATGATTCCCGCCACTGGCTCGACACCTGCAAGGGACCATACGGTTCCCTCGTCATAGAGGTCCTTCCATTGGTAACCCCTTGTGAAGACAACGCGAGCCAGAGAAATGAGACAGGTACTGAATATCGGATGTCAATAAGCTGGTTCCGGTATGAGCTTGTCGATGGATTGAGGTCACTTACATCAAGCCGAAGCAAAAGCATATAATGATGCTGATCTTCTTCCCGCGGTTCATATTCAGCCCCCAGATTGACTTGAGCGGGAGTGCAAAAATCAAGAAGTCAGTAAAGACTGTCAGGGCGTCATAGGCGATGTTAATATTCGCCATCGCCAGGAATTGTTCTGCTGTGGCATCGCCCCATGCCCACCACTTCTCGATGGGTCGTACGGCTACAAGGTAACCGATGAAACTCCCCAAGAAGCATATCATAGTAACAGCCGATGCCACGTAGATGATGATCTTCATTGGGCCATTGTGACCTTTGAAGACTCGGTGATATAAAAAAAGAATAGAAGCTTTGCATGTGTAGACTGCGAGCACGAGGACGACATTGTTTGCCCAGCCGATCTACAAGGTCATGGTACGTTAGCTCAAGGATCATTGCCAGCGAAATGAACTCAGACACACCTGATCGTGGATCAACGAAACATCAGTTGGCTCCGTGGTACTGGTATATGGATATCCAGGAATGCCGATGCCTCCGTATATAAGCACTGATTTGTTAGCTTTTGAGTCTTGGTTAAAGGCCTTGCTGTGATGCACAAGATGGAAGACCCACTAAGAATAAGAAAAACAAAAAAGAGATCTGTGAAAAACTGTCAAGAGTGTTAGAACACGAGTGCTATGAACAATCGGATCACTTACAGCAGATGCTATGATCATCCAATCGCTCCACCCATAAGCGCCTCTCGTCTTCGTCTTGGCATAAAACCTAAGGCCAACGATAAAATTCGAAAGCATAGGCAGAACGACCCAAACGGCGATCAACTCCCTCTGCCGAGGCAGGTAAATGGGAAAAGGTTGGACCATAACGTTAGCTGTCAAAACAAAAGTTCCTGAAAGAAAGACGCGAATGTAGGTCCATTTGCAAAAGTTCCATCGGCATATATTTAGGGAAGGTGATTAAGTCCAACTCCTCTTCATTCTACTTCCATTCGAGTAAAGTAAAATGTGTCGCGAGTCAGCCTTTGCCCGTTATCTTTGGTGTGGCGTTTTCGAGCAGGAGTGGCACAGGTAGTCGAGTAATTTGGCTTTACGCTATGTATCATGTGTATCAAGTGGGCAGTCTTCCGACAAGACCAGCCACTCTCAGGCTGCTTCTAGCTTGCTTACCAAGTCCCGGGCAGACAGAATACGGGCTGCTGGTTTTAGCAACAGCTGTGTTGGATTGGCCATCGCTTGCGTTGTAACCTCTATAAACCTTTTAGATAATCCCCTGGACTCCCTGGTGATCAATTTGATACGGATGTTAGCAGTAACCGGGTAAGGTATATCATTTGCCAAAGGTGTCGCTGCTCATCTCTGTGACCCTCAGTACGTAATAGCTAGTCCGATTTGCAAAGAACATTCCCAGCCAATTGGGAGAATTGTGCGACTGGTATAATGAGTTAGTCAAACAAACCCCTGAGTCCTCCTCCTCACTAAGAGTTGATTTGCATCAGCACTCAAATGCCATGAACAGGGGTCTAATGACGCAGGCTGAGTTTAGTCTCCCCGGCATGTCGGATACCCGAACTAGATTAAAGCGATGTCAACAAGTGCAAATGAACGGCAAGGGGCTGGTTGCTTGTACCCGGTAGTGAGGCATTATGTGTACTTTGTTTTAAACAAATCAGTACAGTGAGAAAATTCCCAGCCATTCGTTCACAGAAGAGCAAGCCTTGCCGTCTGACATGCAGATATAGATTCTTCGAATCGTTCAAGAAGACGTGCCAAGGAATGACCTGTCGGAAGATCTTGATTCTCAAAAGGCCTTAACACCAACCTCCGCAGACAAACGGGCGTCTTGAACCAGGGCTTTGAGCAACTACCGTTGAAATGATCAATAATGGACAACGCTGCCCCGTTGCGGCGTTGATGGCGTCGAAAGCTGAAGAGTTAGTGTCACTCGGACCTCTTCCACTCATAATGACTGGCTTGTGAAGCTATTCGTTGACGTTTGAAGGCTGACAGAGCTAGTCCACGTTGTGCTGTGTGGCTTAGTTTGGACTCAGTCTGGAACTTTGGTACACCCACGGAAAGTTCCGTCCTGTCCGGTTGTCGAGTCATGATCCGCGGGCACCGAGCATTTGGGAGAGCGATGATCTGGGGTAAAGCCAGCCTTATCGCGATTCCACTTATCAAGCATTTTAATAAGCAAATTGGTTAAAAGCCACATTCGCTTGTGAAGCCAACAGGGATAATATGTGCTCAACTGTCATAAGCCAATGTCTGAAGCTAAGCTTATTTGAGCAGACAACCTCAGCTGCTATCTCTAGCGTTTCTACAACGTCGATTCCGCCATCCTTGGACTAGCAATCGACATCGCTGCTCTCTCCTTAACATAAGAAGCCGCCGAAGACATCGGAATCGCGCCTTGGGATCTGATCCAGGAACCTGGCATGACATTTGAATTATCAGAACTAAGATAGCCCATAGACACTATCTCTTCATGGGCATGGTGTTGTCCAATCGCTTTCAACAACACAAACAGAGCGAGGACGGAAGATGACGGCGCTAGCATGGGAACCGACTAGTGCTTTCACAATATTCTCTACGTTGAGGGGGCATTTTGAAAGATCTTTGCACCACGTAGACCACGCAAAGTAAAGCCTGAGGATGGAAGAATAAGTGTGATCAAAGCTTTGACCGAATTATTATATTAAACCTTATTTCTGTTCTGTGCTTGTACCAATTTGAACGGATTGAACGGGGACGGGCTGGACGGAACCATTACAGATTTCCTGTTGTGATTCCGGTTGAGAGCTGCCCTCAATGTCAGATACCTCCTCATCTGGAACTGATTGAGCTGGTTGCGCTCGCAACTTATAGAGAAGCATCCAACTGATACATGCTACCATGAGAACCGCTGTAACAACGCCCAAGATGATCTTTCCAGGATGTGTGTCAAGATCATCGTCAATCTTTTCAATCGACCACGGATAACAATCTGAGTCGACAACGATGAATATTCCAAGGCCGATATAGAAAAACGGTACAACCACAGCTGCGTACTTTTGAGCAATATGTAGGATATGTTTTTGTTTCATGATAAGATAGGCAGCAAGACACCATAACCCAAGTAAGATGTAGTACACAACCACGTATATCGCAACCTCATTACCCTTCGCTTGTGAGAAAAGGGGAATGTATGTGCTCATGTTATCCGCGCCGTTCATCACAGTCATAGAAGCAACCTTGAAAATGCTCTTAAGCCCAGCAGTCCTGGATATTTCAACAGCTGCATCATCCTCATCATCCTCCTCCTCCGTTTTGAAGATGAGACCAAGAAGCCACCTGATGCCGAGTAACATGGGTATAAGACCAAGAAATCCAATTGGTTCTGCGGGAATAAGCAGGGATGCGCCGAATCCTATCATGCTGACGGCAATGATAACCGTGAAGCCGACATATTGACCGATGGCGATTTTGAGAGGGGTCAGTGTTTGACTGGTTGATGCTTCGGTGAAAAATGTAATGAGGACGAATATGTCGTCGACGTTTGTGATTGCAAATGTGGCGCAGGCGGTGCCGACGGCTTTGCCAAAGTCGAGGCCCATTATCGGGGCAGTGCAGTGGAATCGAGATTGTAGGGTCGTGATATAACAGCTCTCTGTCGTGTCATTATAGGAATTTTTAAGAAAGGGGTTTTATCGGAACCTTTTATTCCGGACCCATAGGCTCTCTCTGGCAACAGACTCTTGGCAGCTTGGCGAGTCTCTATAATGAATGTGCGGTGACTAGCTACGGATATTCTGCACTGATTCTACTGAATCAAGCATATATTAAAGCCTACACAGATCTTTGTTCATCCTGGCCTAGCTTATGGGGACTTCCTGCTAACAAAACCACTTAGGAGTCCACAAGTAAGGCTGTGCAAAGGAGCATCAGGCCAAGCCGCCGAATTTCAGATATAGTGTTATTCCCGGCGGTATTCCCACTTGACCCAGTCCAATCCTCCCTGTGGAGAAATGGCAGCCTAACAATTGGCTCTGCCTTATCGGGCTGCCAGCTCATACCCCTCCAAGAATTTCTAAAATCTCATGGCTCCTCAATAACCTCCATCAACTGAGATAGCTGACTAGATTTTTTGCTATGTATTCTACCAATAAACCGATTCCGTCACAACACCGGCCAACATGTCCTCATTCACAACCACCCAGCAAGCTCTACTTCGCATACGGAAGCAATATGAGCGTTGCCCAAATGGCCCAACGGTGTCCTGAAAGCGTCTTCAAGGGACCTGCCATTCTTGATTCCTTTCGATGGCATATCAATGAGCGAGGCGTCGCCAGTGTGCTCAAGTCCGACGGCAATCACTCCGTGGAAGGTCTTCTATACGAGATCAACGCCAAAGATGAACTTGCATTGGATCGCAATGAAGGAGTTTCGAAAGGCTTTTACCAAAAGCGTATCATGAAGGTCTCAGTACAGCCTCATGATCAATACACAGACTTCAACACAGACGGGTTAGCTCTATTGCTAAAACAATTGCGCCAAGATGTGGGTGATGACAACAGAGTTTCAAGGCGTTCCCCATGGAAGAAAGTCCCGGCACTTGTATACGTCAGTGAGAATTACACTAAGGATGGCCCAGCTAGAGAGGAATACATTCCGAGGATGCGCAACGCTATTAATGATGCTGTGTATCTTGGTGTGTCGAAGCCATTTATTAACAAATACATTGTTCCGTATCTCCGAGAACAAAAGAAATTTCCAGAGCAAGCACCAGCAGCGGAAGCACAGGGCCCTGTCGCTAAGAAGGTGATGTCGCGACAGAATAGTGTCAAGGCGAGTCGCAGTAGAAGCAGGACGCGTCGCAATACAAGCAAGACGCGTGGAACCGAACAAAAAGGTATGATCCCAGAACCATGAATATCGCTCATGAGCTGTATTCAGTAGATAGCTGACCTTCTGGCAGTGTCGCAAAGCCAGCCAGGGAAGGCGGGAGGTCCCTCTTCCGACATGACTGATCTTCTAAGTCACGATGACTGCCTTTGCATATTCCCAGTTGAGATGTTGAAGGCCATAGATCAGGTCCGCGTTTTCGAAGGAAAGATGATAACAGACCATTACATTGTTGTGGAAAGGAGAACAGCAACTGAAACAAGCGTCAGTCTTGACGTAAATGCACCAAACCCCCGTCGTGCCAATGAGCTTGTCATGAAAACGTTCAAGGATATTCTTAAGAAAGAACTCAAATCCTCTGAAGCTCAGGGCATTGTTGGATCGTTGGGTCAATTGGCATGGAAGATGGAACAGCGTCAGCATCTTCATCTTAAATGTTCAAAGCCTAGGGAGAAGCCGTGGTTAGTAGTACGGGTACATGTAATAGGTTATGGATGTGTATAGACTTTCAAGTTTCTACTGATCACAGAATTAGAAGCTCTTCTGGTTACCGCGAACACGTGTATCTGGCTGACTTGGTCTACCTATCTATGGAGGTCTGTCTATCCCATTTTTATAAAGAAAAAGCATTTATTCCCACGATAGGCTATCTAAACATTTTCTCTTCTTAAGGAAGCAAAGCAAAGACCAGAAAAACGAGGGCCCATACAGGAGGAGAAATAATTGAAGCTGCGTCCTCTTCATCTTCCTTTCCAGTCTCATTCTTTCCAGTCTCGTTTGCTTCATCACTCTTACCATCATCCTTGTCGTCTTTATTATCCGAGCTGCCTGTTGGTTTCGCGTCCGCACTCGCCGCAGTGATGGGATGTACGATGGGGCCATCCGTCCATGTAAACGTGGCGCCACTGAGAGGACTAGTGATGCTGCCTTCCATATTGGACAGTGTGTTGGTTCCATTCTTGGGAAGTTCACCAGGTCCGTAGAACTTTGCTGATTTGTCTTCGCCTGGTGGCGTGAACTTGAGATCTTTTGCGCAACTGTAGACATCGTTGTAATCGCCGCACTGAGGATAGTCTTCGTCTTGAGAGATGAGTATGTTCCAGTATTCGTCGGCGCCTAGAAGTGAGGGCTTTGTATCAGGGCAGATACCCCAGAAGCTAGGTCAACAATTAGTATTGGAACTGATTTAGTAATTTGGGGACTCTTACCTAGAAAGTATACCGCTGCTTGTGCAGCACTTGCAAGCCTTGATAAAAACCTCCTGTTCATCAAGAGACAGTGAGTCCCATGTGTCCTGGTTTCTTTCGATGCACGTGTCCAATTCCTCTACAGCACGGTTCAGAGATGTAGCGACCTTGCCAAGGTTGCATGAGCAAGCGTCGGGGGCATCGTCGGGTGCCGGGAAGAATGGGATGTCCTCGAACTTCTCATCCTGACAGTTGCCACCTAGCTCAAGCACTGTGTTTTGATATTCGCAACTGTACACCTTCAAGTTGTCAGTCTAGTTGTCGTTCAGTTGCTCTATTCAGCTTACCTTGTTCCAACAACTGGTCAGGGCGCAGTCAACGACGCCAAAATTGAATGCGCAGTCACAGGCGCTGATGCAATCTCTGTTCTTGTTCTTGCAATTCTTGTTTATGCAGTCGTTACGCGCAGCGTCTCCAGTCTTGTAGCATTGTTCATAGCCTGATGGATCCACACAATCCTTTGACTCAATGTACCCGTATTTAGCCGCTGATATGGGGCTGATGATAGCCAGGAGACTGACTATACGCAGGATCGATAGGTGTCGAGGCATGGCGTAGAGACTATTGAGAATAAAGTTTAATTCAAGGTCAAAACATGTCACCGCATGGCGAGCGAAGTCCTTGGGTTATGAAGAGACCATTACCTCGGCCAACCCTGCCCGATGAGTCCAGGGTCAGTTCAGCTGAAGGATCAGGATCCATTTCCCGGTCCAGGCTGATCTAAATGATTGGACATTTGTAGGGTCGCGGAACAGATCACCAGTTATCATCAAGGGGCCCTGGAAGAAGAACGATTGACTCCGATTGGTGTGTAAGAGCCTCAAGGATGAAAGTGCCAGCTGATTCGCTGTGTGTTCCTCTCTCACCATTCTTGGTGGAGACTAAAACGGAAATAAACCGCTCTCATGCGGAATTTAATACTCCCAATCCTTGCTTATCGGGCCCATTACGGCTTCGCATTTTAGGCATCCAGGCAAAAGGTCCAGTCAGATCATCTATCTTTGAGTCAAGTGGACGTACATTCCCCGTAGTGCGCGATTTATCTTATCCCCATCCAGATGAGCCTGATTCAAGCCGCCCTGCTTCTTAGTAAACTTACGATTAACCGCTTTCGCACTTGCCACACTTGTACCAGGCTAATCACACACGCCACAGGAAAAATCCAGAGTTCGCTATCGACACCTAGTACTGTCTACCCTTCTCTCTAGTGGACTATGGCCGAAGCACCTGAAACTAAGTCCCCCGCAATCTACTCTCCGAGATGGGTAGCCGATTGCTCCACTTGCAAAGCCATTTGGCACCAGTTTGCAGACCCTGGTACTGCACCCCCGGTCAACCTTGGGACTTATGAGAAAGCGCTTTCAACTACTTGTCCAAACCACCGACCACTCGTTCAAAATTTTGTCGATTTCCTCAACTCTGAGGAAGCTTTGACGGAAGACGATGAGATGGGATTTAATCAAACACCTAAAGGCTGTAGCGCAGCTCTTAATCAATCCTTGTCTGGAGGAGGCTATGTTCTATATTTACTATTGGTGAAAAAAGACAACGTTGACAACCATCCAGGCAATGGACGATTGCTAAACCCGGACTTTGCCGATCTCGAAACTGTCAAGAAATGGAAGCACAGATGCGTTTCTGCTCATGGACCCAAATGCGACAATCCTCTCAAAGTGTGGCCTGTACGACCTGCGTGGTTAATTGATGTCAAGAATCAATGCATTGTACCTGGTCATACCACTGACAAGTATGTTGCAATCAGTTACACCTACGGCAAGTATACTCGACCGAGCATCACTTCAAGTGACTTCACAAGGCTACAAGAGCCATTTGCCTTGACAGCCCCGGAATTTGCAAACCTTCTCTCACCGATGATTCGCCATGCGGTGCGTATGACCACCATACTTGAGGAGCGGTTTCTGTGGGCTGATTCACTCTGCATCACTCATCATGACCCAAAGACTGCTTCGGAGCAACTCGGGTTAATGGGAGCCATCTATGCTAACGCAATTATAACTATTATCGCTGCAGATGGCGACTCCGATTCTGGCTTATCTGGGTTGCATGACATATCTGGCCCTCGGGAGGCGAGTCAAGACATTATTCCGTTCGGAGATGAGACAATCGTTGTTAGAAACACTTTCAATCTGAATGAGATGATTTACTATTCTTCTCAGCCTCAAGCCTATTATCAAAGAGGATGGACGTTTCAAGAATATGCTCTATCGAAGAGAAAGATCATATTTTGCAACGATGAGCTGCATTGGATTTGTGCGTGTAGTGTTTGGCACGAGGAGCTGACTCTATATACCGAGATCAGTGACGAACTCTGGTCTTGGTCTGATGCGGTGATGGCCGGCTTCCCATATGAATTTGCTATCAGTAGATACCTGACGACGTATAATCAGAGGTTGTTGACATTCGAGGAAGACGCCCTGCCAGCTGTCTCTGGTTTACTATCGATATTCAGTCGATCATTCGAAGGGGGGTTTCTCTATGGGATTCCGGAAATGTTCTTTGAGGATAGCCTAGGCTGGCGAGTTTGGGTCAACAACCTCCAACGTCGCAAGTCATCGGGGAGGCCCGCTGAGGACCAGTTTACATCGTCTGGGCTTCCATCGTGGTCTTGGCTAGGCTGGAAAGGTGCTGTGATTCTGCGACGCCAAAGCGCAATGGAAGTCACACTCGCGGACACTATTCAAGAGGCGTTTCCAATTACCGAGTGGTACACGAGCGATATACCGTTTGGTCCACCAGAGCAACGACGAAGAATCCGGTCAACTTGGTACGAGAAACGAAATACTTTCAAGGATCTCAGCAAACCTATGCCTGCTGGATGGACGCGCCGAGACGTTACAATTAACTCGCCAACTTACAAGAAGCCTCGTGTCTACCCTGAAGGATGTGACAGATATGTCTTCCAGCATGAATCGATGGTTGAGTGGAACGGTCAACCCTTAGAGTGGTATTACCCATTCCCTGTGAATAGCATCCAAGATTGGACGGGTCCTTCCATGCCTGAACAAACAAGGTACCTGTTCTGCGAGACGGTAACAGCCACGCTGCACGGTTTTCGAGAAGACACGGATATACTGGTACGAAATTCACGGAGCTTGGAAGCATCTCTTTTTAACAGTTCCGGGACAAAGATTGGGATTTTGGATCTCGTAAACGAGGAATCCAGGGATCGCTTTCCCAAGCATGCGGATGGAAGTGAGGCAGGGCTACCTGTTGATGTAGTGGCGGTATGCAAACTGAAAACTTACTCGGAGACTGAGGATGGAGAACCATGTGCATTTAAGCCACTAAGCAAGGATACGTACCTTATACTTTGGGTTGAATGGGAGGATGGCATCGCATATCGAGTTGCAAGTGGGGAGGTAATAGCAGAGGAGTGGGAGAAATTAGATCTAAAGACGGCATCACTTGTTCTTGGGTGAATAGTACGTTATTAACCATGTGCTACTATTTCTAGATATTTGTTCTTTCGGTGCTGCCCCATCCTTGCTTACTTAGTGATTTATAAAAAAGAGGTGAGAATTGAGATAACTACTGTGTACCAAAGCAGGGTAATATACAATGCTCTCAGGACAATTAAGATTCAGCTTTCATTTAACAAGAACACAGTTATCAGGTATCATGACTCTGATGTTAGCACAGAGCCTGTTTCGCCCTACCGTAACGTAAGGTTGCTGCTGTACAAAATGTCCTTCTTTGCTTCCTTCCATCCAGCCAGTCTTGTTCTGCCTCCCTTTACTAACGTTATCCGGGAAACACCAAACACAGTGTTACACAATCCATCACAAGGATATGTTGATTGCGGCGGGTAAGATTGTTTCACAGCCAGCTTAATCATAGTTCAAAACAGATAACTTTCATATTCACATCTGTTCTCCTCAGTTCATCAGTAAAGCCTTTTAAGTATAAAATGGACTCTCTTCCCAGAGGTTCGATTCCATCTTCTGCTATAACTTCACCTTGTAATAAAATTTATTCCCATAAGCTATACTAGTATATTGCAGTCCACTCTATTAGGTATACTAAACCCCAATCATGGATCCCAACCAACCATACTATCAATTTAGTAACACTGGTGGTAGCAGTGCTCCAGTGCGGTACTTTGGAGAATTTAACGAGAGCCAGTGGGAGGATCCAAACTTCGGATATGGAGAAGAAGAGACCCTCCAACCTCTCCCGAACGGAGCGGATATCTACCCCGACGACCCGTTTCCCCCGAGCCTCCAAACTTGGCCATATTTCCCAAATCAACAATACGATCGGTATCCACAGAGTGAAAGATACAACCACTTTCAGACCCACCCGCAAGGTCCTCCTGGGCCTACTTTCTCTTGGGCACATGGAACTCTTACTTGCCTAAATTGTGAAAACCCGCCTGAACTCTATGGTGTACGTTGCCAGAGCTGCAGAAATAACCGAAGCATCTCTCCAGAAGAAGTACGACATTGCATGAAGTGTCTGGTTCCTATTGAAGCTCCTAATCTCTTTTGCCCTGCACATCACGGCCGCCCATACTTAACTTCAGCAGAGCTAGATCACTTGCATCAGTGGGGCGTCTGTTACTCTTGTTATTCACGAGAGGTAGGCCCACAACACGGGTCATGTACGGAATGCAGAGCCCACCGAAGCATCGTGAGGCGTAACCTCGAACGGCGCCGTCTCAGGGAAGGTTACTGTAAGGTTTGTGGAAGGAACCGTTTAGATAACTCAACCGAGACATGCAACGAGTGTCATTCAAAGAACAATTTCAGCCATCAAATTCACAGGTCCAACACAGCGTATTAGAATTCTTTGCTAAGATAGTCTAGATATTAAAGTACTTAGGCTTTGTCTTTTAGTTATTAACTACATTTATTTTCTTAGTTACTACCTTTACCTTTAATACGCAGTAGTTAATACTGCTGACTAGGTAGGTACTACTAGTAATTATTTATAAATAACTTTATTTTTTAGTAACAACATAAACACTGAATCTATTTATAGGTTACACTGCCCACTGCTGGGTGCGTTCTAGAAGTAGGTTCTAGACTAAACTAGGGCCCCTTGTGCTAAATACGAGCTAACGGCACGATTTCCAGCCCGCCCCGCCCCATCAGCCGATCTCGTATTGCCCCGTTGTACAGAAAAACACATTCCGGCAGTGACGGCATTGTATGAAGATCGTCATGATGTTAATGCCTATAAAGACCAGATGTGTTCGACCTCTGGACTTCTTTTCCTCACACAACCTCCACGCTTACGATTTCCACCTTCTTCAATTAACTTACCTCAACCAACAAAGATTTTTTCTACTTGTCATTCTACAATTACCATCAAGATGCACTTCTCTACCCTCTTCACCACCGTCCTCGCCGCTGGCATGGTTTCTGCCGCCGCACCCGGCGAGGTCACAGGCTACAACGCCGTTGCCCTCTCCAAGGGCAACAAGGAAATCAACAACAAGGCCCTCCAAGCCACTAACGGCCGCTTTGCTCTCAAGGTCAAGAACCAGCACGCCGCTTGCGACAAGGGCCTGACCGAGAACGAGGTCACATTCAACATCAACAGGTTTGGTGAACTCAACCTCTACACCTTTGGCAAGACTGCTCAGAAGGCCTACCTTGACCGCTCCGGCATGGGTCAGGGTATTCTCGGCTACGCCACCTACGCAGACAAGGGCTGGAACCTTCCCCGGAACGCCGAGACCAAGGGCTGGAAGATCACCAAGCACGGCGACCTCACTTTCGATGGCAAGGGCTTCGTCGCTTGCCCTAACAGCAAGAAGGCTGGTGGCTCTTACACTCTCTGGGCCGATGTCGGCATCAAGAACCCTGGTGGCAACAAGAACTGTGCTCCCATCACTGTCCGCACTACCAAGGACAAGAACCCCGTCGCCTGTGTTTACTCTTCTGCTTAAGCTCAGTACGCAAGCTATTCTCTGTACATTATTTTCTAACGCGTCTGGCATTCTACATAACGAAACAAAGCGATGTTTTTACCTTTTAATTCTTTTCGGCGTTTTGGCATGCGACCTGATTTGTATATAGAGAAGTGTTCTACTGACACTGGATCTATGTACTCCAGTCTCTTCAACATCTTCAAGGCTTCAAGCCATGCCTTATTAGACTACCAAATATAATCTCTTGAAGGGCATATCTTAATATCTCATGTGTACTGGGTGCTGTTGTTAATTTGTTGAGTAATCATATTTGGGTGTGGGGCGATGTTGTGCGGCGCTTAGTACTACCATTTTGAGCCAGGCATAATATTAAGGACACATGCAATCTAACGACATTGTAAGTTGTAGCCCTTGTTTCGGGTAAATCGTATTTAATTAGTAGATCCTTACCAGCTGCAATTAAAAACCCAAATGCCTAGAAATTCCAGCAATATTGATAGATACCAACCGCTCCCAAAATAATATTGTAGAGAAATGCTCATTCAGTCATTCCCTCTGACTCATCGCTGGTTGCGCTTCCGTTCGGAGACGGACCACTATCAACGGCACTATTCAGTCCATCCATGTTATCTGCATTTTGCTCCCCCTTCGCATTCTGTAATGGCTCAGCGGGCACGAAGGCTGGAGTATCGACGCTGAGTTGAGAAGCTTCAGTTTTCTAACAATAGGTTAGCACAGGTCATGATGGGTTGTCCAACGTCTAGCCCTCGATCTGAAAACATTTGAGCTTATGGTTGTTTCCAAAGGCCATTACTCGCCTGACTGAGTTCGTCATTGCTCGTATGTTCCGTTGTTGCAATATCTGTTTTCTTCTCTGCGATAGATAACCCAGCGAGCCCTACATCCATCCTAAGACGAGAGTCGCCCTGGGGTTCATTGACCGTCTGGTAGTCTTCCAGACTCTTGGTATAAGATACCGAAGGCGATCTCATCTTCTCGAGCAGCTTTAAACGAGCTTGTGGGTCATTCTGTAGAATTTCGTCCCATTCTGCAGTGTTTCCACGTAGCATCCCCTTATCGGTAAAGTGGTCTACAACAAAGTCCATATAGAACTGCCTCAAATTCGAGTCCGGAGCCGTGGAGCTGCACACATATTGCACATCCTTACAGCTTATTGCTGTACTTCCGAACAACATGCCTCTCTCTGCGTGGTCGTCGAACAGACCACACATTGCGTAGTCCTTGAGTTCGTCGCATAGAAGATAGTCGGCGAGCACCCAGCACTTCGCATGGATGCTTGGACTTGGCTCAAATGTAATTGATTCGTAGGTTTCGTAATAGATCCATTCCACGAATAACCCGAAAACAATGGGGTCTTGTTCTGGCAGAGAGATCTTACCAGTCATGTTCCATAGGCATGCGGCTTTGAAGTATTCGGAGTGCTGTGAGATCAGTTTGACAGGAAGAGTCCATGTGTTCTCATCAGATGGTGGTTGGCTGCCGACGTGGACTTCGACGCCTTTCCCCCGTAGACTGGTTATGTTAGTTATTTTAGAATTTTAGAAGTTATTGTAAGACATACGAAGCTAGTCCCATACTAGTCGATAATTTCGTGCTGGCCATATTGCATGTTTGTTGAAGAGAAGGTTCTGCTACGCTACCAGTTCTAGTTTGCTTGTAGTCTTCGAGTCTGTGTTCCTCAACACTGAAAGCGCTGTACTCTGGGAGAAAAGCCATATCCATATACAAGTTACTTTGACCTCTTTCCGTTATCTTGAGTAGAGGAAATTCCCCCGCGCCCCGATTCCACGTGCCAAGGGTTTGTTTACGGTCAGCGGTCATAGTTGGCTGAAGGGGATTCCAATGCTGTGGGAGTTAAGAGTTTGTCTAGATATAAACGGAGAACTGTCTTTGCGCATTAGATGGGAGCTTCCAAGGTTCTTGTTGTTCTTCTGCTGTGTCCTTGCTGAAGGGATAACCCACTTTTGCGATAGCGACAAGACTATTACGTAATAGAGCAGCGGGAGTTAAGTAGCAGCAAGGTACTCTGGAGGTGAAACAAACACAAACTTCAGTTGATAGCAACTCTTTGTCCTGAAATAAGCGTAATAGAAAGTTGCAGAAGCTTTTATTTTCTTTCTCTCGTAGAGGGAGAAATGGACGTACTTTTGTTCAATCAAGCGTTGACCCAGTGATTATTGCTCAGCCAATTAGAACGCTATTTTAGCTTACAGTTCAAGAGACTTGGGTTGAAAATAAACAAAGTTTCCCTTTTTAAAGTTCAAATGAATAACCTTTTCTACGGGACACAAAACACTGTATCTATAAGCTTGGTGGTTAAAGGCCTGTATTACACATTTCTGTAGCAACCACCTGCTGCAGAAAACATAGATTAGTCTCTGAAGAGATACTAACAATGTGGAAAAACAATTATATCTCTACTTCCATGCTTCCCAAACCTCCTTAACTGTAAGACACTTGATGTCTGGAAACTCAAGTCTCAGGTCATCGGTTCCATCGAGATCATTTGATCCTCGAGCAAGCCCGATTCCAGACAAAGCCAGCATATTTCTCAGACTTCCTTGCATCTCCTCAGGCAAAACCCTCTTCATACTGGGCGTGAGATCAAACTCACCCCTCTCCATCTCTTCCACAGAGAAGTACTTGACGTCAAACTTGGTACCCTTAATTTCTTCAGCCAGTCTAACGGCCTCATTGAGAGTCGTTCGATTTGCAACAATCGAGTGTCTGCGCTTCCAGTGTGGAAGGTCAAGCATTGCGATGGTAAACTTGGCTGCATCATGTGAGTGAGTGAGCACCATGGGAGTGTTTCCGTCACCAGGGATTACTGCAGCATTGTTTTCGGGGTCGATTATGATATTTGCCGCACGGAGATGAGTTGGAATGCAAGGGGCAGCCCAATAGTCCAAGAACAGACCAATTGAAACAAGCGAAAACTTTAGTTCGGTCTTTTCAAGGGCATCAACAGCTTTGAGCTTCCAGTGGTAAGATGGGATGTGGGCAATGTTGCTGATCGCTCGTTAGTTCCAGTGTGGACCTGTCCGAAAGGGAAGTCACTTACTCTTCGCGATAGACCGTTCCGAACTCACTCGGCAAGAAACGCTTCGTTGATCTCGACAGGTTCGCCGCCTCAATGAGGTTAAGCTGGGCTTGTCCACTTTCATCACCATCAATGGGCAGGCATGATATCACAATATCAATCTGCTCGGACTCAAGAAGAGACACCAGGGCATCTGTATCGGAGTAGGAGACAGCGCGAGTGTCTGGAGCGGTAGCCGTTCGTGATAGGATGATGAAATCGTGAGTCTTTGCCTCTCAGAGGGCATCAACCATTGTACGGCCCAGGCCAGATGAGCCTCCGGCAACAGCGACTCTTCCCATGACTGGTTGATTTATGCAAAAGTATGGATTGTAAATCGGTCATTGTAACATATGCCTGTTACTCTTTATATACAATGGGTGAGTAGAAAAGCTAATTGGCGGAGTAGGCGTCTCGCGGAGTGGGCATCTGCGGAGTTTCGGGGGTAAGGGATTATATAGCACTGGCCTGCATTAGCGTCCGTTTTGCTGGCTCCTACCCTGTTCTGCGTTCACACAGCTGATGTTTCTTAGTTTCCAAATGTCATTGTGGTTACTAGTCCGTTTACTGTAACAATATTCTCAAGGTGAACGGAAACCAGCTCCGAGTTAGCCACTACAGGGTTGGAAGCATTGGTACCCTAAATACATACATCCTCTGTTGCCACACAGCTATTGTTGACACTGCCGATTTGATTTGTAAAGCATATCTTTCACTGTTAGATTATTAGGTATAAGAAATGGGAGTCAGCTATGTGATTATGTTTAAGCATCATTGATAGTATTACCAATTTAGATCCACATTATCTTGACAAAGTTGAAGATTTAAAATCACATGACCACCATTTTTACACGAGATTTATCTTTGCGTGATAACAAGTTGGGTTAGACATACCACTTATTAGCGTCGGGTAGACTGAATAATTCAGTCAATGCTAACTTCTAAGTTTAAAGACGCCGGTGCATGTTTTTATGCATACACAGAGCGCCACAGCACGTAGGGTTCGCGCAACAAAGTCTATCTGTCTTTTGCCAATACTCGCTAGATGGTTTCATAGCGCCGGTAGGTAATATTAGTTACGTATAGTGGCTCAGCTATTTGCAAACCTCTGCGTCATATTACAGAAGTATATGTACAGCAATGAGAACTTGGAGACGATTTTCTAGTCAACCCGAATACGAGCCGTTGAAAAGTCGTATTGAAGTGCAAATTCGTTTATCTTGAGTCGTCAATCCTTTTCCCTGATCGGTTATTCGCTCTGTCGTATGAGTCAACCCTGTTGCATTACATTGCATTGAAACCGGGGCATTCTCCAAGACCCGTCTGTTTCAGACCTCAATGAGCCAATTGTATGATCAATATATCTAACAATCTTTCTCGGCACTTGAAGACCCACTCGGGTTCGGGACTCTACTGATCCCCGATACCTGCTGTTCGGGCTCTCGGGCGTTTTAGTATAAAGATCTTCAACACCACCAGATTAGGTTCTGACGATTACCTTATATAAATATCTATGTAAATTAACCAGCATTCAAATCCTTCTACTTCAAGCATTTTAACAACCGCTATCATGTTGACCAAGCTGGATACCATTCTGGAGAATCCCCAGTATGCTATCCTTTGCTGTATTACTGTTTTTACCCTCTTCATTGTACAATCCTCTCTTCTCGACCGCAGTGGAAAGTACCCTCTTTTGAATCCGAAGGGTTCCTTCGAAATCTCGACCAATCGAGTTGTCAGAGAGTTCATCAGCGATAGCAGAAACCTCCTCGACAAGGGCAAATCTTTGTACAAAGGTCAACCTTACAGAGCCAACACAGACTGGGGTGAAGTCGTTGTCATTCCTCCTCAGTTTCTCGATGCGCTGAAGAGTCATAAAGACTTGAATTTCATCATTCCTGCTCAGGATGTAAGGGATCACTAAGAATCGTTTGGATAATGGTTGTAATTAATTAAATAGGACTCGCACTGTTACATTCCCGGCTTTGAGCCATTTGGTGTTGATCCCAATCTGAACAAGGTCATTGTCAAGTACTTGACGAAAGCTCTAAGTTAGTCTTGGTTTTAGTATCTGGCGTTTCGATTGCTAACTGTTGACCTTTAGACAAAGTTACAGGACCACTGTCTGAGGAAGCGTCTATAGCATTCCGCACCGTTATCGCCGATTCGCCTGGTACGTATCTCGTTACAATACCAACAGGGATATCTTGAAGCTAACCACGGTGACATCTTAGAGTGGCATGAGATTCAACCCCAACCTGCCTTTGTTCGTATCATCTCACGTATGTCATCCCGCGTCTTCATGGGCGAGGAAATGTGCCGGAATGAAGAGTGGGTAAAGCTTGCTGGAGACTATACGGTCCTGTCGGTCAAGGCTGGCGACGAGTTGCGAATGTATCCCCGATGGTCTCGGTCGTTTGTTCATCACATTCTACCCTCTTGCAAGGAGGTTCGAAGGACTCTGAATGCAGCTCGAAATTGTCTGAACCCGTTACTGGAACGTCGAAACGCTATCAAGGCTGAAGCAAAGGCCAAGGGTGAACCGTGTCCATACGACAATTCTTTCGAATGGTTCGAAGAGGAATACTCCACGCACGACCCAGCTGTTGCTCAAGTGAATCTGTCCCTTGTTGCTATCCACACCACCACCGACCTTCTCATGGAGACTGTTTTCAACATTGCTCAGCATCCTGAGTTATTGGCACCGCTTCGAGAAGAGATTATCCGCGTCTTGTCTACTGAAGGTCTGAAAAAGACTGCTCTGCTTAACTTGAAATTGATGGACAGTGTTCTCAAGGAATCTCAAAGACTCAGACCGGCCATCCTAGGTAAATACCACTCCATTACGTATATCGAGTTCGTTCCTTTAACACATTATACAGGTAGCTTCAGGAGACTGGCTATGGCGGATGTTACTCTTCCCAATGGCGACGTTATCAAGAAGGGAACGAAAATCGTCTGCTCCACTTCGCACATGTGGAGTGCTGACTCGCATGAGTCTGGAGAACAATTCGATGGTTATCGGTTCCTGCGTATGAGAGAGAAAGAGGAGGCCGAGCAAGGCAAATCCTCGCACCCTCATTTTGTTAGCCCTAGCTCTGACCACTTGGGTTTTGGGTTCGGCAATCACGCATGCCCAGGACGTTTTTTTGCCGCCAACGAGCTCAAGATCGCACTTTGTCACATGCTCTTGAAGTATGACTGGAAGCTTGCTGAGGATGCTGTGCCTAAGTCAGCTTCCTTCGGAATGAACCTTATGCCTGATCTGCGAGCCAAGCTGCTTATTCGACGACGTTCAGAGGAATTGGATATTGATTCTGTGGAGTCCTAGAATATTGGAGACTTTGTCTACTTGTATAGTCAGTAGCTTTCGTTAGATCATGCACCTGTGATGAAGGATCAGTGGTAGACTGCTATACACTCGCTTACCCCTATAGAACTCATGTTCCATCTATTATTCCCCTACCAACATAAAGATCTACATCAAATCTGAATCTGTTGAGCTGTTGGTTGTACAGACCCACAGTGACATTGACTCGTATACGGATTCGCGTCCCGCATTTCTCTCCCACCAATCTCCACTAAAATCGTCATAAGCTCCCTCACCGCCTCAATGGGAATTTATAGGCTTTCGCAAGATTCCGCATTCCATGAAGTAACTTGACAGTGAACTCATTTTTTTGTTTCAGATAAACCCCCTTTCAATTCAAAACATCGACTTGACCTTTGGTACAATTCTTCACAACCATCATGTCAGCCCCCACGTCACCAACCATGGATGAGACCGAGTACGAGAAGACCCTTCTACAGCTAAGATGTTTCGACACAATGTTTCTCGTCGACGATTCTGAGGCCATGCAGCCTTACTGGCCCGAGATCAAGACACTCGTAGAGCGTATTGCTCCCATCTGTGCGAAACACGATCCGGATGGAGTTGATCTTTACTTTGTCAACCACCGACCTGGAGGCATGTTGGCTAAAATCCCTGGAGTGCAGTCAATTCGAAAGTCGGGCTACACGCACATCGGAGGCTTTGTTGGCAACATGCTCTTAACAAGCAAGGGAAAGCAGGTCGGCAGCATCTTCGACAAAGTCCAGCCGGGAGGCAAGTGCAACATGGGTGCCAGACTGGGAGGCCTACTCAAGTGGTACTGCGACAAGTTCACAGCCGGAGAGGAGAAGGCCGCTCTCAACATCATCGTCCTCACAGCGGGCCAGTTCGACGATGACATGAAGACACCTTTGATTGAAGCTGCCAGGGCTCTAGATGAGGCTAAGGCGCCCATTCATCAGGCGGGTGTCCAGCTCTTCCGTCTAGGTGGACCCAATCTTGAGCGACAGAAGACTTTGCAGCATCTCGACGACGAACTGCACAAGGAGGCTGGAACACGAGACATTGTTGACACAGTGACATGGAGTGGACATGGTACAGCGATGTCTGAGGATGAGCTTCTCAAGGTTGTGTTGGGCGCGGTTATCAAGAAGATCGACATCCGTGCTTCTGAGTTGCACTTGGATAACACAGCTCCGACTGCACGTGCTGATCGCGATTACGACGAGGAGAACGTGATCTAATCGCGGGACAGGATTTCATCCTTTGCAATGTATTGCGCGTTTTATTGGGATGTGTACCGAGGGAATCTAAGTAAAAAGGCAGAAAGGGAACACTGGTGATACCATGGGAGGAGCTAAAGGTGGATGGATATTTAGTACTTTACAGACATCAAGTCGAAGTCTGAGTCTATTAAAGTTAAGGATACCTTTCCATGTAGGCTAGTAAATCTAAATTAATACATGAATGTGTAATACAAGAGTCCTGCCTCCATCTCTCGTCGTGTATAGACTCAGCTTGTTTGCCAGACCAACGTACGACTTGACCAGCGTTCTCATTCTCCATTGCCAGTCTGGGGCTTACTATATTCACAGGTCCACCTTGAAGTGAGTCCGCATTCTTTCTCCATAAGTGCAGAAGAGCCATGGCACCGGAGTGAACAGAAGACAGATGAACCCAAGAACACTGTTACCCCAGTCGAGACCCAGGCTCTCATACAATGGTGACGCTGTGAGATCCAGAAAGGCACCGAAGGGAGACCTGACCAACAGGTTGGCAGCCATTGCCGAAGCAGCAGCCTCTGCTCCGAAAGCATCCACGAGATAGATTTGTCCAGGGATGACCACGAAGAGAGAACCGAATCCAACGACAAACGTGCCGATGATTGGCACAATCCAGTGGACGGCGTACTTGGCCGTCCAGCCGTATATGAAAAGACCCAATGGGGTAATTGGACCCAACCACTTCATCAGAATAAGGCGATCCTCGGGCCTGGCAGCACCACTCTTCTGCTTGAGCATCTTGTCGCTGAGAACAGAAAACAGAACCAGACCCAGTATCATACCGATACCCAGACCAAGGTATGCCAGTCCAGCAGTGCCTGGACTGAAGCCGTATACATCTTGGAAGACGGACGGGAAAGTGGTGAAGAGTAGGAAGATCAGACCGAAGAGGATACCAGTGTAGAGCGAGATGAGTAAGACGATGGGAGAAAATATGAGAAGCTTGAGTGGGCGGACGATAGCTCGGGCGAGCATCTGTTTTGGTGTCTCGTCGCGGGTCAACTTTGGGACAAGCTTATCGTTCCCAGTCTCCTTTCGAGCCTGTTGGGCTTTCCTTTGGAGAAGGACCGTATAATTTGTCTCGCGCATCAAGATCACCGTTGCGACTCCGATCAATCCCGACTGTTTCACATTGTCAACAGCTATCGCAAGACTGGTACATAGGGTTATGACTTACAAATATTAGGATGATGCGAAATGTCCATCGCCAGCCGACATTCTCAGAGACAAAACCTCCTATGATAGGACCAATCACCTGTAAGACATGTTAGGCCAGCAATCATAACATTCGAGACGAATACTTACAGGGCCAAGTAAAGGTCCTACAGTGAACAAAGCCATGGCTTTACCACGCTCCTCTTGCGGAAACAAGTCTGCTACCGTACCACCTCCGATACTCATCGGACCTGAGGCAGCGCAACCGCATATGATTCGGAAGACCAAAAACATAGCGACGTTTGTGCTGAGAGCACAGCCAATGGTGAATGCGATGTATACAAAATTGCAGCCGTAGTAAATTACAAGACGGCCATAAAGTTCTGACAGAGGCGCGAGAAGAAGTGGACCGAGAGCGAAGCCCAGCACGTACAGACTGACGGTCATGGCCGTGACGGTGGAGTTGGTGATGCTGAATTCAGTGGCCAACTCTTCTGCTCCAGGTGCGAACATGGTGGCAGCAAGATTTCTGATCAGATCATTAGTCAAAGTACTGTTACAGCAGTGGAAAGGGAAATTGCTTACGCTGCCAGTGTGAATAAACTGACAATCACTAGGTGAAGATTCTTCTGAGTCTTGGACCAATTGAGTGGATGTTCAGGATCATCAGGTCCATCCCAATCAACAACATTTGGGTCTGTAGGCTCGTCGACCATTGTTCCAGTGGAAGACGAAGGCTTCTCGAGTGCATCACCAACGTTGGTGCCTGTGTTTCCTCTTCCCGCCTCCAGCTGGAATTCATCCGGAGCCACGACAGCTGGGTCTTTTGTCGCCATTCTTGCCGATGTCGTTTGATGTAAGCTGATGTTGTCTCAGAAGGTGTTGATTATTTGGACGCAAATGTAGCGACAGGGTACAGACTGCATGCGGCAACTCGTTTTTCTGTGGGGATCTGCTGTCACAACCGATAAAGTGCGATACTGCTTACAAAACCTAATGTTGTGGTGTAGACTTTATTGTGTTGTCTTCTTCTTATCTGGGAGCGAGTTGCGTGGAGGATCGGCCCGGATATGCACGACGGAGGATCGGAACGGAGGATCGGAGCGGAAACAAAGGTCGGCCCCGAAATGACAGGTAGGGATCTACAGAGGGTTTAGTGGGGACCTGCATAAGCATAAGCAGTCAGCTTCAACAAAAACCGTACCATGACTGAAACTTGCCAGAGGGATTATCTTTACAGCCTTAATCCGTCGCTCCATTCTTACGTAGAGAAAATTTCCAACTTTTGACTTTTCGCGACGCTGATTACTCGGCACTCATCTTACCGACATACGCTCGCTTCCCTTTTAAGCCTATTCCTTTCATCCATGGCGGATCAGGCCCAGGACGTCCGTCCGACGGAGTGGGGTCCGGGCAAGACACCACAGGGAAGAGCTCGTCTACCATCAAGTAGGCCAAGGGAGAAGCCACAGTTATCGTGCAACCTCTGCAGAAAGAGAAAGTTTGTATCACTCTTTGTCTCTTACCGCTCAAACCCCCACGTGCTTACATGACACCCCGACAGGCTTCGATGCGACCGTCAAAGGCCCTGTAGCAGCTGTGCACAGCGGGAGCTTGGTCTGTCGTGCACCTATGCGTCAGATAAAGTTTCGAGTAACGGTGTGGCACATCAGACACGTACCACCACCCAAGATCGTGTCCGCCATCTTGAGAGCTTGGTATATGATCTGATGCAGAATTCATCCGCCAACGTTAACCACGACCACGTCGGAGCAACCCCGTCGCCCGGTGGCCAACCCCACGTCCCTGACTACCCAACTCCCTCTGCAGCTCATGCTCCATCTACCAATGAAGAGCCGGCAAGCGTCGCTGTTTCGCCGGCGGATTATGGAAGCATGCAGTCAACAGGTGGCGGCGCCAATTACGTGGGTAGTGCACATTGGGCTGCAGTACTTGATGGCATTGCCGAGCTCAAAGACCACCTTGATAACGAAGAGTCACGTCATTTTGATAACCAGGGGGTCGATCCTCCATGTCTTCAGATCACTGGTCCTCAGCTGTTGTACGGATGCCCCAAGCCGGCTGACAAAGATGAGATTCTCTCGTCGATCCCTGCTCGTTCGGTAGTCGATCGGTTGGTATCCCGCTACTTTAATTCTTTCGAGATGTCTCCAGGTTAGTATACCCGAATTCTTATTCGTAATTAACAGCGGGCTGATATCATAGAATAGCTGTGTTACACAGCGTCCAGTTTCTGGACGAGGTGTGTTAGATTTGTGATACGCCAGTGAAGCCTCCCATAGCTGATATTATCCATTAGTATGAAGAGTTTTGGGAAGATCCACCAACAACATCACCCATTTGGTTGGGCTTACTATTCACTATCATGTGTCTAGCCACTCAATTTGAAAAGTCCCGTCTCGATCCTGGCGTCCAATCACCAGCAGTTCTCTCTATGGAGCGAGAGTTGCAAGAAATGGTGGATACCTTCAGACTGAGGATTCCCCAGTGCCTGGTTCTCGGGAGTTACGCCAAGGGTGGACCCTTCGTTCTAGAGACACTCATGCTGTATATCGCAGCAGAGATATTTCTCAGCAACGATGCAGAGATTGAAATATGGATTCTGATGGGCAATACTGTCCAACTTGCCTTACACATGGGTTATCATCGAGACCCCAAACACTTTAAGGGCTTATCACCTTTTTCTGCTGAGATGCGCAGAAGGGTTTGGGCTACCATCGTCGAGATGGATCTTGGGTTATCAGCTCAGATGGGTCTACCACGCATGATCAAGCATTGGCAGACTGATACTCAAGAGCCTTCGAACCTTCAGGATAGTGACTTTGACAGTGCTACAGTCGAGATGCCACCGTCAAGACTCAGCACAGATCTTACGCCTATTCTATATCGCCTCGTCAAGGCAAGGTTGATGACAACTATTGGATACATCTGGGACTTTTCTGCCGATGTCAGACCATATCCCTATACAGAAGTGCAGAAGATGGATGACAAACTTGACCAAGCACGCAAGTCAATCCCTGAATGTCTCAAGTGGCACTCTATGGCACGCAATATCACCGACTCTCCTCAGCACATCATGCAGAAGGTTATCTTGGAAACTGTCTTCTACAGAGCCAAGATTGTCCTTCACAGAAAGTACATGTTCTTGCCTCTCGCACACTCGGCTAGCTCTAGACGTATCGTGTTGGAGTCGGCACTCAAGCTTCTTGATTACCAACACATTCTTCAAGAGGAGACGCAGCCGTTCTGCCAGCTATACCAAGAGAGATGGAGAGTGTCTTCTTTAGTGAACCACGACTTTCTTCTGGCTACAAGTATTCTCTGCTACTATCTACAGCATGCCCGTGGAGCAGCACCGCAGCTTTCAGAATCTGATTTTCTTGATGAAACCATCATGGCGTCTCTCAAGCGATCACATGACATTTGGCTTCAGTCGAGCAACTCCTCCAAAGAGGCCCGCAAAGTTGTGCGAGCCCTGGCAGTTGTCTTGGGAAGAGTCAATACGCCAAGCGCAGATTCCGCGGGGGTAGCTGGCCTTGTCTTTGGGTTTCAATCAACATACCCATCTTCTACGACCAACGATTATAGCCAAGGTAGGCCACACTGTACAAGGGTGTCTATCTCTTCAGTACTAAGAGCGCTAACATGCGGGGTATAAGAGACTACAGGGGGACTCGGCTCTGAATTCCCGATGTTCAATTTCGCTCTGATGCCAGACTGGGCAACGTCTGCGGATGATCTTGTTTCAGCGCCCACGATTACCCAAACAGCTGAATGGCAAGAGATGGACGGTCAGTCATATTGGTCGTGTTGAACCAGTGTTTCTTAGTTTTACACAAAGTGCTTAAGCTATAATATATATAATTAAATCTTTCTTTTTCTCTTTACTAAGATGTATTACAAAGAAAAGTTCAAGGTCTGAAAAGTATTGCAAACCTCCTCCAAGAAATACTGTACCCTCTCCTCTTTAAACAAATGCGCCCTCGCAATGACCGTAACCTTCAAGTTTATCCCATCAGGCTCAACCTCTCCCGCTATCGCCAAGTCATACAGCGGCTCATCCTTCCTAAGTTCGACATGCTTCGACAAGACCCCCATCTCAACACGTTGCTGTTCCACTTCACTCTCGGGATGGTACTCAAAGTTATGGTATGTGACACAGCATGCGAAATTTGTGGTGGAGTCAGGCCAGTCTGTGCAGTTGCGCTTGATCTCCTCGAAGCCGAGGGTCTCGAATGGCAAGCTTCGCAAGTATTGATCTTGCATGTCGCGAAGCAACTGGTGATTGTTCTCGTCTGGACTTATGTGTGCGCGAACAGGGACGGCGTTTGTGCAAGGGCCGATGATGTCCTGGCAATTGACCGGTAATCCTTGACGACCTGAGACAATGCGACCGAAGACAACATCGCTAGACCCAGACTCTTTCGAGAGCACCAAGGCACAAGCAGAGTTGAACACCGTCGCCTGCGTAGCGATGCTGCTGCGGATGGCCTTGGTAGGAACGTCGACGACCTTTGACAAATGCATGGCCTTCGAAGGTGATACTTCCCGACGACAAGCCGCGTTACTCGTATCGCTCAAAACAGTCATCGGAGAATCGCCAATCACGTCACGCCAAAACTCAAAACCCTTCTCTCGACTGTTGGCAGTATACTCCATGTACCGCCTGAACTGCGTCGGTGGAAGAAGCGACATGCCGTTGAACAGGATGTGCAGGTTACGCACGATAGGCTCTAAACTCAAGCCATCGTACAAAGCATGCGATAATCTCAGTAGTACTCGTACTGAAGATGACTGCTTGAGAATAGCGATGCGAATCAATGACTCTCCAAGACGAATGGGGTCTTGTGCATGCTTATCTAGGAAATCGTTAGTGGCTGTGTTGACGTTTTGGTTGGTAACAATCGTCTCAATCGGCACGTCGAGATGCTTCAGAACCACTTGGTAGAGGTGGCCTGGAGCTAGTACAAAGACGGTTCTGAACATTTCAATGTGCTGAATAAGGGAATGACAGGCGTTGAGAAGAGTGGCTGGGTCTGAATCGACTGGGAAGTCAATGTAGAAGGGCGTGAGGGGTCGTGGTGAACCAGTCCCCGGACTGAAGAGGAAGGACTTTTGCATCTGCGTACATTTGTACATGTCCTGGATTGACTCAAATGAGACGTTGAGCTGTGAGCAAACCTCTCGCCGAATGAAGTCTTGTGGATCCTCCAGTGAGAGAAGCTCGAACGGTTTGTACTCATCGACCTGACCCTCGTCATCACCCGTCCCCGAAGCAGCCGATTCAAGCTTCTTGGAAAGCTGGAACAAAACCGGGTAGTCAAAAATATCCTTGACCACTATAGTAGTATCCAACCGACGACCAAGCCTCATGGCCAGCTTTGTCGCCATCATCGAGTGTCCTCCAAGGTCAAAGAAGTGATCCGTGATGCCGACTTCAATGCCAAGAAGCTTGGCAGCCTCGTCACATAAGATGATCTCAGTCTCAGTCCGAGGAGCCACACGGGCTGACCAGCCTTGCTTGTCTTGACCATTACTCAAGGTTGTGCGTGAAGAAAGGCCTTCACGAATGACGACTGCAAGATGCGCAAAGACGGGATTGTCAAAGACGTCTTTAACAGTGACACGAACGTTGAAGCGCTGTTCAACTCGCGAGATGAGCTTTGTAGCCAAGAGGGAATGCCCACCGAGTTTGAAGAAGTCATCAGAGATGTCAACCTTCATTCCAAACGTCGCAGTCGCCTCATCGCAGAGTATAGCCTCAATGTCGCCAATAGGCACCGCTTGTGCAGGCAGTGCAGTTTGCTGCTTGGGTATAATTCGAGCCTGGCGCGCAAGCTCTTTCCTATCGACTTTACCGTTGGGGTTGAGAGGCATTTGATCCAGGACCACGATGCTGGAGGGGATCATGTACGATGGAAGTAGAGACTGCAGTCGCTCGCGGACTCGAAGCGCGGCACGACGGCGCTGTAATCCCTGTAGTGGACGGTTGGCAAGGGTGACTGTGCTTCGGAGATGATTGTCGGTCGGGAACTTGATCAGCGTGCGACGATTGTCTGAAGGCGACGGGAAGTGGTGGAAGATGGCATCGAGGGCACCGCTTTGAGACCACTGACGCGCTGTACTGATCTCCAAGCGGAACCCAGAGTCCTTGGCTAGTTGGTGAAGGTCAGGAACAGAAAGAGATATACGGCTCTCAGCATCGGAGCGAACAGCTGAGATCCATGCAGCACCATCCAACTTGTAATCTTCCTCTGCCTCGAGGGATTCAACTATCTGTCGCTCAAAGACGGTCTTGCCGAAGGGGATGTTACTGATGGCCACGGTTGATGAACCCTTGGAGCGTCGTAGAAACTGTAAGAGAGACGAGCGATCCATTCGTGATGCGCCAAAGTCGACCCAAGCGCCCTTCTCAATCGTATGCACAGGAACCGAGTCATGATCGCGTATGTGCACAACAGCCGCATACCTATACGCGCTAAGTTCATTCGTAGCATGCATGTTCTTTGGCAGAATCTCAACATGATGAACCAAATCAGGGAAGCGATCTTGCAGTGTCGTGAAGAACGCTGGTTCAACAAGTAACTCTTCCTCACGCTCCTCCAACTCCGCCATCTTCTGCCTAACAGTGTCCTTGATCGCACAGTCACCCAGTGTTCTGACAGCCCTAGCAGCGAGGAAGTGCTTATTAGTAGCGTTCGTTCGCATGTCGCCAAAGAACAGTCGCTGGACACCCGGGAGGTGGATCAGAGTGTCCGCTACTTGGGCCAAATACTCTGGCGAAGGGAAGTACTGCGCGACTGAGTTGATCACCACGAGATCTGGGTGAAGATCGCTCAATCGGCTGATATCCTGCGCTGTGCCGACGTGGACCTCAGCCTTGCCTGCGAGAGATGGGACCGACTCGATGACGCTGTTGGTGAATGCGGCAGCTGATTTGGATGGCTCAAGACCTCTGTAACTCTGGAGACCATCGCCAAGGTTGAACAGGATCATACCGCTACCTGTTCCAACCTCAAGGACATGACCTGGAGCCTGACCATCACGAAGCGTCTTGATAGTATCATCAAGCCACTCCTGCATCTCCTCCTTGTCAATCTCACTCCCGTCGTACATAGAAGTCCAACCCTTGAAGTCCTTGCCAATAGTTGACGGATCAATGCCCCCGATATCAGCATACATCTCAGTCTCAAAATGATCCTGCCAGCCTTCGACCTGGTTATCATTCGCATCACCCTCCAACGAATGATCGTGATCAATGACGACGAAGCCAACCAAGTCGGTCTTCTCACCGTCATCCTTCTGCACGACAACAGCAGCGTCGCGAACAGAACCATGACCAAGCATAGCAGCTTCCACCTCAGCTGACTCAATACGATTGCCTCGGATCTTGAACTGCGTGTCCATGCGACCGAAGAACTCGATCAGGCCGCCGCCTACTTGGTAGCGCACGCGATCGCCTGTTCTATAAGCTCTTACACGCTGGCCATCGACTTCAATGTAAATGAAGCGGTCCTTGTTGAGGGCCGGGTCGAAGTATCCTCGCGCAAGACCATCGCCAGTGACGACGAGCTCTCCCATGACGCCGACACCAACGAGCTGCTGGTTCAGATCGGTAACGTAAGCTCCGGAGTTGTTGACAGCTATTCCGATGGGAACACCATTGATGAACGAGTCATCAACAGCGATAGGATACCTCGTACTCATGATACCATTCTCCGTTGGTCCATACCCATTGTAGCACTGTCCCCTCACAAGACTCTGCGCCTCAATCGCGTCCTGTCCGTCGAAGCGGTCTCCAGCAGCCATGAGAAAGTCGAGTCCCCTCAGAGCATCGCGCGCATCAGTGAGGTAGAGCTTCAGCAACGCAGGTGCCATGCACGCAGCATTAATCTGTTCCTTGATGAACACGTCTTGAAGCGCCTTGACATCAAGAGTAGTCATGTAGTCAATGCAGACCAACGTCCCGCCATTGAGGAGAGTGAAGAAGATCTCGTAGGTGGCGCCGTCAAAGGCAATGTTGAACATATGGGCTGAGCGTGGTTGGACTGGGAAGTCAGGGATGATGTTGCTTGTCATGAGACGGACGATGACGCGGTGCTCGACCATGACACCTTTAGGTCGGCCTGTAGATCCAGAGGTGAAGAGGACGTATGCGAGACTTGTCGCGGTAGGGTTCGACGTGTCGGTATGGGCAAGGTCGTTGAGGGTGTCAGTGTCGCCTTGCTCTACGGCATCAGCGACACGGACAAACTCCAAGACAGGCACCTCCAGCTCAGGAACAGGGACGTTAGAGCCTAGAAGTACTATTGTAGGACCCGGGAGACCAGATAGAATGTCGTTGAGCCGAGCAGAAGGAGATTTGACGTCAAATGGGAGATAGGCCAAGTTCGCCTTGAGAATGCCAATGATCGCGACAATCGCTTCGCATGAACGCGGTGCCAACACTCCAACCAGAGTCTCAGCCAGCATACCTCGTCGACGAAGCCATGTCGCAAGCAGATCAGACTGATGGTCCAGCTCCGCATAAGTAAGTCGCGTCGAAGAGTCCACGACTGCGAGAGAGTCAGGATAAGCAGCGACTTGCGTGCGAAAGATGTCCACCAAGCTTGCATCCCTCGGATAGTCAACCTTCTTAATCCTGAGTAAGTCCAAGCGCCGAAGCTCCTCGATCCCATCCGTAAGAGGAAGCACAGAGATCGGGACCTTAGGCTTCTCAAGACCAATCCGCAGAATCTGGAAAAACACACTGACCACATTCTCAACAGTCTCAGGCTTAAACAGATCCGTCGCAAAGTTACAACCGCCTTTGAG